TTATTTACATACTGTTTGCTGCCGTTGGCCGCGGCCAAGGCCACGACATAAATAGAACTCTTTATCATATCTAAACCATAGATCTTGTGCCGTCCGAGTTCTTGGCATTGCATCCGCTGGCTAGAGATAGAAGGTGAATGGCGGCATTTCGGTAAGCGGTGGGTCTAGCGAATGGACTACATTAGAACATTCGCAAACTGGCGGCTCTACCCTTCCGTTGATGACTACAAAGATATATCAAGTTTATTCTTAGTGTCCACCTCTGAGGAGGGGGGAGAAAGCAAGCAAGTACCTAAGCAAGTCAGCATGTCAGAGAATGGGTATACTATAATTGATTGGGTTGTGGTGAGAGACTGACGCCAGTCAGATGGTCTTTTTAGACCATGCTGCAGGCCATTATGAAGCTAACACTATATACAAATTTATCGGTTTATCGAGAGCGGCAAGCACCGCGCACCTAGTATGTAAGGCAGTTACTCTTACCTAATACTAAACTGGCAATACTATGCGCAAGTACATCGGTACCTAAATCATGTACTTCGTACCTAAAGGTAATTTCGGGTTATCTTAGGTACATAGATAAACTTGAACTCGACCAAGCTTCGTAAGCCACCTTTTTCTCATTCCTGACCCCCACATGTGAGTACAAGCGACCTATCAACAAATCATTAATTTAAACAACCCAATACGAGAAGCCAATCCAACTGTGGCTTCGGATCCAGGAACGCCTTGCTTGGTCTAAGTTAGTTTAAGAATTAGCGATCTCGATACCAAGATGTGACCAGTACACTATCTCTACTGGATCTACTACAAGCTGCAGCACCCATTCTGAAACACGATGGACTCGACATCACGAACGTTGTTGAAACATCTCGAGGTGTTGCCGTCGTGGTTGTACTCAACCATCATGTCTATGCTCAATCTTCTACCGAATCACGGGACGTAAGGCGAGATGGGTGATCTCATTGGTGTACCTGAATAGTTGCATGAACATTGCGGTAAACAAAGCACCGAGCGAATCCTTTCGTACTCCTTGCAAAAGCCAAAGCCAACTACATACAGTACATACAGTACATACAGCTATCAATCTTCAAGACCCCTAGTCTCGAGCATCCCCGGGTACCTTGCATTCTCGCTATGCGGTCAGCCCTCTTGGACCCCGCCCACGACTCTCTGAAACAGACACCTTCGGCCTTGGATGTGGATTGTCTAAGGGTAGGCCCTTCTGCTCTCTTTAGCCAAGTAACTACGTAAAACAGGCATAGCTCGTCACAAGTTCTTCCAGAACGGGCATAGAATTACGAAATACAAAGATTTTGCAGCCCAGCATAGGGTTGCCGTGCTACCAAAGCCCATCATCACACCAGCTCTCCATCGCGGCCCAGGTCGATCGATTTAGAAATGATGACCCGCCGAATTCCCACTACTGCGGTATCATCCCGCCTATGATCCGTACCCATCGCCGGAGTAATGCGCGCTTTGGGCGCGTGCGTACAGGCCACTGTCGTTAGCTCCAGCCTATCCGGCGAGTTATTCGGAGTCCTAGATGTCACGTTGGCGGCAAGACGCATAGTAGCACAAGCGTTGTGGCATTGAAATTAATTTGGTGAAGCACGATCACGGATGTTGGCAGCGCGCACGTACACTACTATGGACCCTTAAGTTCATCTACCAGCAAATATGAACTACGGATTTCTATATGCCTCAAAATCTCACGAGGTTTACGTCGGTTGAAGACCTTGGCATACCGATGAAAGTTATCATGATGGTTTGTTTGTCTGTCTGTTTCATAACTCGGCTTTACTTTCCTTTGAAGTCGTGATGGCCTCTACTAGCAGTACTGGTTAGCTTCTTGGCTCCCCAGAGATCGACTTGTTTCATTTCTTCGGACATTTTACACCTTCCCCAATCGTCACCAGCCATGTATTTTATCTGCAATCAGAGAGTTCTGAATTACGAGCCCCTGCCTACAATACGACGCTGTTGAGCTACCAAAGTGCCATCCCTCGTGGGTCGTTGGTGCATTTAGGTTAAGCTCCCTTGTCAACGTTTATTTCTGAAACGCTGGCAGCCAAGTGATTCCTGTTTCAGCCTTCTTTAAGGTCTACATACTCTACAGCTACCTGGCGCCGACCTGACCGAAGTATGGGCGCTAGGTAATTGTAGTGACCACCATACTATGTACAATACCATCTGACCAACAAGCAATTCGCATCTTCAACGTCGTCATATGCCCGAGCTATGACTTGTAAGATCGCCACCACCCACACCCGTCCAGTTATCCGCCGTACTATGTACTACTCCAGATCCCATAAGCGCCACTACATTAATTCAAAGTCATATATGAAACTTAGGAGCTATAGTTCTCTGCTTACTGGCAGTTACAGGCTACCCATAAACGAGTGTTACTACACATTCACGAAATATATCGTCTAGGGATCTCGAAGACCTCTCGAGTCCAGACTGATCCGTGGTTGAGTCGTCGAATAAGCTAGCCGGGACTCTGCCGGCCCCGCCGACAGGGAGAGATCGTCTTTTGAAACTCGTCACGGGGGGCTGCTTGGCTCTCGCCTTGTGCGAACCCTGAATGTTCTGCTTGGCAGCCCACTGCGGCATAAATGTTAAAACATCCAGAAGCATTCTTGACTGGGACCAGGATTCAATGATATACCAACTAGTGGCGATATCTTCGCAGAACGAATGTCTCTGCCCGGGCCGAAAGTTGCGAAGACCACAAGCCCCTCGCCGCATCATTACTTGATACTCTATGCAGGTACAAACAAGAGGTCGAATCCTTCCAATAGTAAGCTCAACCCGGAGAGTTGGGTATCACTAGCCCCGTATATGCGGATGCCCAGACTAAGGATGCTATTTCGGGATCGGATCGGGGTCTAGGCTAGACAGAATATCTGGCGTAGGTGCCACTGGAGATCATGAACGCCACAAACTTAAATTTCTGTGCCGTGATACCCAGCTCCGCCACTGCAAAGATTGATATGATTTGTGCCGAGTGGAGGATCTCATAGAAAGTTGAAGTTATTGACCGATTTAGAAGGCGAACCTCTTCCGTCGGCGAGGCACGTGGAAGACCCGCCTAATAAAGAACGAAGGAATAGATCCTCGGCCTTGACGGCTGAAAGACTATTCCATAAAACGCAGCTGGAGGAATATTGACAGCTTAGCAGCTACTATATCGAGAACAAATCTCGCCCTATGGATATGATTTCGAGCTGGTTTTTTTGTGTGTTCTTTCTACAAGCCGGGACCGTCGGTAGTATTTCACGATCGCCAATTGACTAGCGTCGTAGACGGCACCATAAAACCACATGGCATATTCCGATCGGATCTGAAGATCGAGCTGGGCGAGCTTTAACTCGTTGTGGTAGGTGTTCTCTGCATAAATCTTTACGTATAGGTTCTTCGAGTTTCTCAAGAATAATATTAGAGTTACGAAGGGAAAGAAATCTAGTCAGTGTTGTATCTAATGGCTATATTTAGCGAGTCAAGTAATCATGAGAATATTCATTTGTTAATAGCTACGATAACATAACAGATTAAATCCTAACAGTGTTCTTATTGTAACTATTGTGGTTACTGACAGCGATGATTGTCACACTAAGATAACCCAGCGCATATGGTATTCTAGAATATCTCCTTTGACGGAAACAACTGTGCGTAGAAGTCCTATAAGGTGTATTCATATCCTAAGGGACCATAGATATGATAGTGTCTTGTTTATGGTCTCTCCTCGCAACAACGTATCGGAGGTGGTAGGATTTGTTAAAGGTTTATTTGTGTAGTATTTAGCTTTAGCAAGCGTGAAGTGTTAACAAATAGAAGCTTGAAGCTCATGTAAAGTTCAGGTTTCTGAGTCGCTTATCGGGTGGCGTCTCGTATGGTTTAATAAGGTTGACTTATATGTAGAAAGATAACTGCCATGAACAGTAGTAACTATCACAATAATCTTTGGTGTATGACACGGCACATATGTCAGCCTCGTTTCTAAAAGATTAGATTCGACTATAATTGCTTTTATTAGCTCTTTTTATTATAGCTTTATTAATGTGATAAACCCGAAGAGAACCCTAATATTAGCATCATGACGGTTATGGGGTAGCTTATGAGGAATCAGTAAACTCCCGACTATTAATTGTTGATTGATGATATCCTGCGTAATATGCTTGCGCGCCAATGGCAGTAGGACGTTGGGCATTTACCTCGACGAGACTATGCGGTGCCCATGGGAGTCGATTATGAGTCTTCGGGGTGACGAAACTGGCACCAAATCTTGAGCTTAAACCACAGATAGAGTCAAAACTCGGCCGGTATCTCCCGTTCTGGGGTAAGTATAATGCGCTTAACCTTAGTAGATTGTAGACTATATAAATGACACGTAGTGCCTGTTAAACCATTAACATCTCTACTCAATATACTAACGAAGCGAACAACCTACGCATTCGGAGATGTCGCGGGATGTCGCGGGATGTCTAAGCAGGCAGCACATTAGCATCTGAATAGGTATCGAGCCTCATTCGTTGATACTCATCAATACGTAATATATCACTTGTAGATTGTTGGCATTTTTACTCGTAAATTGTCTTGCATTGATGTGTCTAGGCTGATTATAACTGTAGCTATAGTCTGTTACTACGAACCAGCGGGATACTCAAGTGTGATACTATATTTGTAATTATTAGATTGGATCAGAAAATTGGATTACAGTTTTGAGTAAGTGAAACTGGTGATAGGTAAATATCAAATGTTACTCTTATCGCATTATTCGTGATCATTATTTCCAATCTTAAAACTCACAGTTTATCAAGAGCTACATAAACCATTCTACCACACTAAACACAATCTATATCTTATTAACAACAACAACAACAACAACAACAACTCGTAATATTGTTCATAGCAAGCATCCAATACACCCCAGTCCTAGACTGCCAGGCGAAAGACACCTTCTTCCTCACGAGAGAGTATCATGCTTGGCATCCCGCTTACAAGAACCCGTCTGTCCTCGGCTCTGGCGGCGGTTTCGGCTTGACCTTTACACCCAGACTCGTCAGGGCAGCCTCCAGATCTGGGAGTTCACTAGAGGACGCAGCGACCCTGCTGTACTTCACCATGCCGTCCTGATCGAGGGCGAAAGCGCCGCTAGTCTGCCACCTGTTACCGCTCTCGGTGGCGCGGTTCCAGATGTTCTCGTCCTTGCCCAGGCGGAATGTCTTGTACAGAGACATAGGGCCCATAATCTGCCATGTAGTCCCAATACCTAGACCCCAGTGCGCGTACAGCTCTCGCTCGTAGTCGACGACCACTTGCACCTCCCAGTTGCCGCCGACCTCTATGACCCAGCGCTCGGTAGCCTCGGGCGAGGAGTGCGAGACCGCGATGAAGTGTACGTCCTTGTACTGCGTCGATGTCGAGGTTAGGTTCTTGAAGGCCTTTTCTGCAACTATGAGGAGTTTGCACGATTAGATGTATGCGTATGATGACGGCTTCTAGGATATCGGGTACGACTATGACTTACATGGACAACCACAATGGCGTAGGAAAACGATAACGGTGGGCTTGTCTGTTGGAAAGGTGAGGTTGGGATGTGCGGGAGCTGGAGAGCCGACTTGCGGAACTGGTGCTACCTCCTTGACGGGAGGTGTCTTGAAGGATTCCCACTCCTGAGCTAGGGACATTGTTGATAGTATGTTAGTACCTACGACACTGGTCTAGTAATAAATATAGTAAGTAATCTAGTATACCGATATATACAAATTATTTGGAGAATGATGGAAAAGCTGCGTAATTTTTGAAATGGGTCTGTTGAATTATGTAAATACCTAAACTCTAAACCTATAAATTATGCAGATACGTCAATTCCGATAAGAACATGAAACTTTATCGGCGGCAATTTACGGCCTTATATAAAGATTTATCTTATCAGTATTCTATTATGAATATTGCATAAAACATCTCATTGTATACATCCTTAGGTTTAGGTAACTTGGAAGGTATGAGCTACTGCTACTATCCATCTTTCTATCTACCTAAGTCGCTCCTCCTCTTCTCTACCTAAATTTTCTATTTTGGTAAATCGCGTTTTTCTACGATGCGTGAGATCGTTACCTTGCAACTCGGTCAGCAGAGCAACTATCTAGCAACCCATTTCTGGAATGCTCAGGAATCATACTTCACATATGGCGCTGACGAGGAGTCACCTATTGATCATGACGTCCACTTTAGACCGGGTATCGGATCTGATGGCTCTGAGACCTATACGCCTAGAACAGTCATCTACGACCTGAAAGGAGGCTTTGGAACTTTACGGAAGATCAATGCTCTATATGATATCGACAATGATGCGGCCTCGAATAGTCTATGGTCTGGCCGAACGATAGTGCAAAGACAACAGCCTATAGAGGCGAGTTCATATCAACAGAGCCTTGAATCTGGTCAAGCACCACCAGAGCTTACCACAAGTACAGTTAGGTATTGGTCTGACTTCAACCGCGTCTTCTTCCATCCTAAGTCTATTATTCAGTTGAGTGAGTATGAGCTCAACTCGACGGTCATGCCCTTTGAGAAGTGGCATATGGGGGAAGAGCTTTTTGCCACGCTGGATAAGGAGCACGACCTCTTAGACCGAGATTTGCGTTCCTTCGTTGAGGAGGCTGATCAGATGCAAGGCCTCCAGGTCATGACAGGTATCGATGATGCCTGGGCTGGGTTTGCGGCCAAGTATATGGAGCGACTTAGGGATGAATATGGTAAAACCCCTATTTGGGTTTTAGGGGCTCAAGAGCCTAATAGAGGTTTATCAAGAGTATGTCTCTACTTCAACACTTACGCGGACGTCCATTACTTATACTTAACTAGGAAAAGAGATTGCTAAAGCTTGCTAACAAAGCACGAGCTCTTGCGGAATTTAACTCACAGGCATCTCTAATCATCCCCCTTGCACTGCCGGAGACCCCTCTACCCCTGTCTGTGCGACTGGATCCTACATCAACTTGGCATATAACTGCTTTGTTCGCCGCAGCTTTGGAAAGCATAACTCTGTGTACACGCCTGAAGACCTCTGATCGCGTCTACTCAAGTAATCTTGGAAATGTTGCTGACCTTCTCAACGTATTTGGAAAACAAACCATCGCGAACTTGGAGATGAGTATATTTGAGCCACAAAAGTCCCAACAGAATGGGAATGGTACAAACGGCGTAAACGGAAACGCCGATGCCCTGAATGAGCGGGATGAACGTATGCGAAACTTATACGGCGCCGGCACAGGTCACGACGCTGACTCCGAGTCCGGCTCGCAGAAAGGGATCGCAACTCTGGACATAGACTTATCCTCTCCTCAGGACCTCAATCTTGGTAATGATTATAGGAGACGGCGGCGACGGCGTATTTTCAGCCAAATTCGAGCTGATAGAGGGTCAGAGAGCCTAGAGCGGGCCAATCGCGACGATGAACTGGAGACGAGGGATATGTACGGCATACGACGTCGTCCGAAAGTCCACAAGTAGGTCTAGCCGGTCGATAACAAGTCCCCTTGAATCGTCCTTGGAGCAATTTTTTTCTTCCGAGGCTAACTAGTTTCACAGCTATCGGTCGTCAGTTGCCTTCCCACTCATTGACAGCTACCCTAAGATTTTTCGAGATAGCAATAGCCATCCAATTAAAGACAGCGTATCTGTTCAGACGGCTTTGTCTACGGATTCAACCGTCACGGATAAAGTGAAAGCTTTACGCAGTACTGTTATCCGTTCCATCGGTCTAGAAGATCGTGAGACGATTGGTAATGAACTTGCTGAAATCGCCGATAGCTACAAGGAGGGCTGGTCTAGTGATAGCGATGACGACGATGATGAGTGAAAACTCAGTCTTCCACTATTCGTCGTGGAAAAGAGAACGGGCTTGTTTTACAATGCAACCGAAATTCCACCGTATTTCTTTACAACCTCTACACTAATATCATCCAGGTGTACTCTCGCCTCCTCTTACCCACACAAGCGGAGCTCGGGGATCCCCCCGTCCCGCTTGGGCAGGTAGCCACCGGTATCGAAAGTCTGAGTTGCATTGTCGTGCCACCCTCCTCGAAGAAGCGATCACAGTTGCAGAGATCTAATTTAACAGCAGTTTAATGGAGGCCTACCGTAACGTACAAGCGTTACTACCAGAACTCTGCCCAGAACCCGAGGCATCTAGAAGCGAAGATGACTTCTTAGCCGTCAACACTCCCATTAGGCTCTTCCGTCGGAATACGCCTATTCGAGGTCACTCATCATCTAAGCGACTGCTTAATTCATCAGCAATGAGATTACACACACACACACACACACACATGGATCATCCTTGTGCAGAGGACCTCTCACATAGCAAACTCGCTCACCGCATACTACCTCCCTCCCTCCCACCAGCCACATCCACGGGCCGAGAAAGTCATACGCGCATTTACCAATACGGCCCGATTGTCGGCATCCTTTACGATCCGTTACTACCACCTACCCACTAGGCCACATCCCGACGAACCCGAAGCCGGTCAATCCGCTCGACGGCCACGGCCACCGCTCTACGCTGGGGCACAGCTACAGACCCACCCATGCTAGAGATGCGATGTAACGTGTAAGCGGCACGTAGGGACGTCACGAGGCGGATTTGGTGCTCGCTGCGTTCTGCCCGCCTGCGGCAAAGAGCTAAGAGACAGATACTAAGCGGGAGACCCAGACTGAAGACCCCGGGCTTTGTTACCTTAGCCTAGGACTTGAACGTACCTTAGGTACCTACCTCTACTTACTTACGAAGTGGGAAAGGGGATTATGAATAATGAGTGTTTACTACTATACTAGTATGTACGCTTATAGACCGTCTAGGCAGCATCTAATGTTTCGAGGCCATTTATCTACGACAACATATACTATTCATCCTAACAGATTCCGTTGTCGTAATTTGGTGCTAGTAGACATAGTAGATTCGTAACGAAACTGTAAAGAGTCTCTTACTCACGAGTTTGAATTTCGACATATTTCGAGATCGAAGTCAGTTGTATAAAGAGTGTCCATAATGACTACATGATATTATATAAACCGCGAACTACTTCACATCCGTCGTATGTGTAGTTGTATGTTTCAAAGGATTCCGTCTAGATAATCATGATCCTACTAGTTGCTAAAGCAACAAATAACGGACATTGTGATTGTGTTAGATGAAAATAGTGGTGATATTGTCAGATATGAGGAGTATAGAACGGAAGCTAGCATACATGCATCATCTGCGTTCTATTCCACCTCTTGCTCTCTCGTTAGAAGTTACCCGTGATTGACGATAGATCGACGAGCTACGCATAGAGATCATCGACGCAACGGGGTAGAAAACCAACAGAAACAAGAGTAAGACCAACAGGTTCGGGCTTGGGGCGTGATACACCTACCTATTCTTGCTCAGCTTCGTGCTCCTTCTCCAGCTGGGTAAAGAAGTCGGCGATAACAGCCGCGACCTTGTCGACGATCGTCTCTACGACGTCTTGAGTGACGTTATACGCGGGCATGATCATGATGTGGTCGCCCTTGCCCTGCCCGGCACACCCTTGGCCGAAATACAGTGACACGTTGTGCGGAGCTTCCAGAGCCGTCTCGTGGACGCGGCGCGCGATCTGAAGTTTGGGGTCGAATGGCTCTTTAGTCTCTTTATCCAAGACGAACTCGACGCCCCAGAACAAGCCGCGGCCCCGGATGTCACCGACGTTGGGGTGGTTCTGTAGTTTGTTGCGGAGTAGCTTCTCTAAGTACTGACCCTGGGCCTGGACGTTGGGAAGGAGGTTATCGCGTTGTATGATCTGCTGTACCCGTAGGGCGGTCGCGCAGGTGACGGGGTGATCCATATACGTGTGCCCGTGTGTAAAAGCGACATTCTTGGCTTCCATTACCTGTGTGATCTTCTTGCTAGCTAATATGGCTGAGACGGGTTGGTAACCACCCCCAAGGCCTTTCCCAACCGCTTGTATATCGGGAGTGACACCCTCTTGTTCCCAGGCGTGCAGGGTGCCTGTTCTTCCCATGCCACACATGACTTCGTCGAGTATAAGCAGAGCTCCATACTTATCACATACAGCCTTCATCGCCTTAAAATAGCCATTGACGGATGGCATACAGCCAGCTGCTGCCCCGACGACCGGCTCTGCGACAAATGCTACTACAGTATCCGGGCCAGCCCGGTGGAACGCCTGTTCGAGCTCTTCTGCCTTGCGGGAGACGAATTCATCGTCTGACTCTCTGGGAAGTCTTTGACGATAGGGGTTACACGCCGGTATATGATAGACGTTGGGTACTAGAAGTGGTTCAAACGGGGTTCTTCTAGTTAGGTGACCTCCCACAGACAGCACGCCTAGCGTGATCCCATGGTAAGATTCATCCCGAGCGATGTAATTCACGCGCTGCGGTTGCCCAATCCACGTAAAGTACTCGCGAGCAAGCTTTATTGCGCCTTCCATCGCTTCGGAGCCTGGAGGACGGGAGAGATTTAGTATGAGTCCGCATGATAGAGCGACGGGAATACAACATACCAGATGATGTAACCCATGTCTTTGTGAAGTGCCCGTTAGAAGTTTGCGATAGCCATCTATTCAGATCTCGTCGGCTCTGGCTATCCATGAAACCCCAAGGAACGTAGGAGATAGAGGCAGTTTGAGTGATAATTGCGTCAGCAACTTCCTTAACTCCATGTCCGAGGCACTATTCAGTAGAGATCAGTGAACTTTCCATTAAGAGATAACTTGGTAATAATAATGCGGTTTAATATCTAGAGATTTGAGCTCCTAGGTTTAAGGCTGAGAACCTCTAAAATAAAATAGCCAGCCTACTCACAGCAACAGCCGCCCCTCCACAGGCATCCAGTATTTCACGTCCATCTGCCAGGTATATATAGTTCCCCTGTCCTCTTAGGACAAGACGCCGACAGGGCTCATCCACATCATTTGGTGTTGATGAGGACGACGAAGTACTAGACGTGATATCGCGGTTGAGTACTGATTTCATGGCTTCGGTTTCTGTCGACCGCCATAGTAGGCTGCTCTTCTCTAGATGGCCTTGTGTGATGTCTCTGGGTTGTTCTACGAGCATGATGTCGGCTGTGAAGGGATTTGCTAGAGTAAGATAGTCCTGATTATCTACCTACCTTTGTTTCCGAGGAATGGACTCGGCCTCCAAGGGTGTTTTATACCCGCGTTCGTTGGATCGTCGGACGATCGTCCTCGGTTCCGTCTGGTAAGCGTAAAATGGTATGGCATACGAGTAACGCTAGACTACGCCCGACTAGACTGACCGTGTCCAATCACAGAGATAGGTAATTATGCACTCAAGGAAGTATTACCGGACGTACGTACCGCAGGGAGACGCTGGCTAACTAAAGTCATTATTATGCTAGAGTGCATAGTCCAAGCGAATCAAAAGCAACCGGCCGGTAGGTGGTGGCCTTTATGATTTCTCCGAAGACGTGGATCCCTGGAGACTAGACGATATCTAGAGTATGGAGTACATAGGAACCGCACGAGATCTAATGACTAGAAAGGTAGGTAGTTAGTTTTGCTGCCCAGGAAAAATTATGGGAGCCCAGCTAATATGTCCAGTTAACGAACCCCTAAGCTTTCCGGAACCAATGGCGAGAGGGAAGTCTTCAAGCACTTGGTAATTCGATCACGTTGCGGTACTTCACCGCTAATATAGACTTATCCTATAGTTGATACGTGATTGGTTGAAATCAAAGCAACCCTTCCGATTTCCCTGGCTATCGTAAAAACCCACGCCTCCTGCGAGCTGGAGTAACATTGTAACCGGCGAGATTAGTCGACAGGGCTGGACAGAATTCTTCAACAGATCCCTGTCAGCTGCACATCACAACGATGTAATCATAGGAAAGCCGAAATCGCGGATATTTGTAGACCAGGTACCCGACCTTAAAGTAACGCCGCCTCATTCTTACTAGATAGATGACCTATAAGGGAGCTAAGAGGACGAGGACAGCATCTTCGGTGTGATGTTGAAGAAATTATGATAAAACGATGCCACAACTCGGAACTTAACCCGAGTGCTGGTAGAATAACCCGTAGTAAAGAGGCTCGCATAAAGAGGCACCCATCCGGAAAACAGCATTTGATTAGTCGTGCATTTACAGAAGACCCGATAGGTTCCTAGGCTGCCGTACGACCAATACAAAACTATTGAATGAGCCAATCCTCGTCAGTTCTAGTTGCCAAGCCTAAACATGTAGATAGGTATTGCTAAAGCGCCCATTACCTGTGCTACTAGATTACCAGAACCGGCCCGAGTGGTCAGCTTTGGATAGTCGTTCTTATATTTCCGGGTCTGTGACATGGGTATAGTACGGGCCGAGAAAACGAGGGGTGACCGGAGCCCTGGATAAGGTATTCGGCAATGCACAGGTAGCCATGCCACATGCGAACGTTTGGTGCTAATGCTGGAGACGTGTCACTGACATTCCTAATTCCCGGTTGTTACACCCCTAGCACGAATCATGTCATGCCCCGGTGAGAGAATTTGATGTTTTGAGTAGTGTTTATCGATGTAGATAGCTTGTAGCGGTGTATGGCACGCATGATAGTACTTAATTCGACTGAAAACCTCTGTCGGGGTTGAGAGGTATATAGCAAGCAACATTGTAGATGGAATGTATTTTAAAGACATTTTGAGAGATGATCGCTCTTTGATTGGAGACTTGTAGTAATGTTTGGTGAGCGGTTAAGTGTTGGTGGGTTTAATTAGATTAACTAGAGCTATCGTAGTTTTTAGCAAACACTACGCGACTAGTCCTCTAATTAGGTAAATCGAGTCTAATACCTACCTGGTACCTACCTATATGTAGGTACATAGTATGTACCTAAAGTACCTATTAATTTGAAAAGCTATAACTTTTACTTTTTGGAAGGTTTACTCGGTTATACTTGGTTACACTTATTAAAGCAAGGACTACTATATGGAATGTACCATTGAGCCCAATAGCCAATAATGCGGGGGGTGCTTTCCTTGAGAGATCCAGCGCCGTGCCTTTGGGGTTACTACGATGTGCGCTAATATGCGCTACGACCTTCCAGTGCTACAGCTCTTTCTATCAATACATAGGCTAAGATTTGTTCAAGAACGAGGCTGATACGCACCCAGTCTATATCTTTGGGCTCTCTGCATGTTGATGTTGCATCTTCGCTCTTACAGTCTAGGATAATGGCTTTTGAATGAGACCCTCCAGGTGTTACCCTGTGGTGGCTTGATTGACCCCAATTATGGCAACGACCTCACGGTTCGGCTAAGCCATACCGAAATAGACTTCATAGCCGTGATGGCGGTGGTGGAGATATCGTTGCAGCCTGCTGTGAGACATACATAGAGCCGGAACTATATCCCGTCAACCCTAAGGACCTAAGGACCGAGGCTTACTTGTTATCTCCTCATGGGATTAACTAGGAGAACCTTGTCTCCTTCACGAATATAAATGGTTTGTCTGACGTTCCACCAAACTGAAAGCCTTGGACATTGTTTAGGACCTTTCGCCTGTGGTGCAAGTATAGGTATGATAATATTAGGAAGATTGAATATATAGAGTGATTTGAACTAGTTATATAACCTGAAACCACTTCAATATAACTATACTTATTTTAGGTTTCGTTATAGTATTTAACATGTCATTAGCCAGCGATATAGGTAGTCTGTTATGAGTAGACGGATACTACCCTTTGAAGAGTCAAAGTATAATTAATAGTTAACTATTTGTTTAGATTGCTTGAGCAATATGCTGACAGATAGGTTATCTTCAAGAAATACACTAATTACAAGGTACCTGTTTAGACACGCTTATTAGGTAATCAATGAATTAAGAAGTACCTAAGTCACCTCAGCTAGCACTGCTATCTGAAGCTCTCTGAAATGACTACCTTACCTAAGGTAATCAGCCTATGTTAATAGCTCCAACACATTTACATATACATGATCGCATGCCTGCCACAACGGATCAGTAAGTATCCTAAAGGACAAATACCTAGGCATAGGTAAGTAGATTAAAATACACGATTGTTTGCCATTTATTGGTGAATGCTTCTCGATCTGAATTGTGCTATGACTGTATGTGTACTTTATAAAGGAACAACATCTCCCGATCTTTGTTCGCCAATACTGTACGAGATAAATGACTACTATTGTAATACCAGCGTTACTTAGACTGTTTATACTTATACCTAATCTGAAGCCATATTCGGGTAAGTATTTTGGAAAATTCGAGAGGGTTGTCAAGGATAGTCTTATTAGAGCAGACTCGACCGCGGCTGACGGCTCCTCCCGAGGTCTAGCGAACCGGCGAACCACTTACACCCATCTCCCTGATAGTCAATATACGTAATGGTGAAACCGAGAGCTCTTGAAGCAAAAGTCCATCTTCTGTAAGACGCTGATTGACAAGGCTATTAGGTCAGTAATGGTATAAGACAACTAAGCCATAAAAAGTGGCAGTGTCGTGAGTGGTTGAAGAATAAGCCGACCTGAGACGGTTTTAGATATTTGCACCGAAATATGAAAATAATAGAAGCGGCAGGCTGCACTAACTAGGCCGAGGCTGTCAAGATGGTCTCCGCAATGATGTGCAGACTCTGGCAGTTCTGGATTCAGCCTGGGCCAATTACAGTGGGTGAGGGCGGGTGAGTGGATGAAGAATCTGAATATAGCGAATTGGAAGCATCTCGACGGAACTGCGGGGATCACTGCGTCAATAGAGGTATTTTTGAGATGCGGGATGCGATGCAGAACTAACAATCAGCAAACAATGGGCGCTAAAGAGTTTGCTATAAAAAAGTAAACAACTTGGAGTATAAAAAGCTATTATGTCGATAATAGAAGTAATGCGCAGGCTAGCTTTATTACTTGCTAACGTGAAGTAACAAAAATAGGTCTGCGTCTGCATAACAGCATTGCCTCAATTACATGTACGGATATCTTATCTTATGCACACAAAAAAGGGAAAGAGGAGCTTGGGGCACTTTAAAATAATTCAGGCGGGGGAGGTGCTGGAGGTATTTTAAAATCTTAAAAGGGTGACTGACTGTGAGTCTGTGACGCGCCTCAGTGGGAAAGTGGGTGACAAAATGACAGGGATGTTTTTAAGTTGCGTAACGAAAGAGGGAGGCGCGACCGATCGACATTTTTTTTTAAACAAACCACATCACCAAGTCAATATTTGAAAACTAATCGCATCAAATCGCATCGCATCGCACCGCAACCAAATTGTGTTGGCCCCCTCCGAGCTTCTCATTCTACTTCTATAAACCTGGCGACCATATCTAGAGGACCGAAGCTTAGTTGCTATCATACTTTCTAAATATTTATACTTTGCGCCGTAAACCCTCTGCGACTTTTTTTTTTCCTCTTTGCTTTACCAGCGCGCTTCATTTCCCACTTGCCGCGTCGAATACTACGCTACCATCACCGCGACATTTTCTAGCCCTTGAGCCTCAACGAACCCTTGACGTCCTTGACTTATCATACCCCACTTACGTTTACGTTTAGTTATCTATACTAAACTACAACTATTCGGTATAAATACGCAAGAGAGTTGCGATCTTGTCTTGCGATTGAAACGACTACAAATCTCGTATTAATAGGGTAAGACCATTGTCAACTCTGTCGCCAATTTTGTCGCCTACTTGCGCTATACCCTGAACCTACCCCGTCGCACGTCCCACTAGTTCTAGGTCTATAAATTGGCATAAACCCGCTGTCTTTTTATCTACGGTCCGCGTCATCTGGGAAACTCCGCCAATACCTTGTGGCTTTGTCTTGTAATGGGCTTATAGTATGCCTCCGTCATCGAAGCGATCACAGAGGACGCGCCGGCATCGCGATATTAGTCCGAGCCCCGCTCCGCCGGAGCAATCCTCGCCGTCGCGCCCTTCTAAACGCAGAAGAAAAGTGAATACCCTTTCCAGCGCTTTATCTTGTCGCTTACGTCTACTAATCACCTTATTTAAATGCAGGGAGACGAACCGATCTCGGAAACCGTCGAGGATGAGGGTTCAAGTCTCACCCTCGATAACTCGGCGCCCGAAGGGTCTAACGACGATGATCGACTAATTACTCAAGTAACCCAACATTTGCGAAGCATTCAAACCCAAGCCAGCAAAGATCATGCCAATGCTATACACGAAGCCAAAACCGAGGACATAGAAGCTTATGCCAAAATATCCGCACACGATTGGACATATTATATCAAGTCGCTGTCTATCAATATCGGTAGAACTTCCGAACCTTCCCATGCCCACCCCCCTCGACAAGAGCGCGAGAATGAAGAGTTTGTTCATATCGATCTTGGCCCCTCCAAGACATTCTCACGCCAGACGGCTGTCATTTATTACGACTCGGACCCTGGAAGATGGTTTATTCAGGCGAAGGGACGCAATGGCATCAAGGTCAACAACATCCCTATGAAGAAAACGGATACACCACATCCGCTCTCCAGCGGCGAGGTTGTTGAGATTGGTGGTATCGAGATGATGTTCGTTCTACCTGCCAGCCTAGGACCCCTCGATATACACCCTATGTATCTCGAACAAGCTGGTATCAAACCTTCGCAGTCGACCCCTGCGCGCGAAACAGGACGGACAGCTCTTCCTACGGCACCTCCGGCAGATCATCCATCTTCGCAGCCCGCACGGCCTTCTTCCTCCCGCGGCCAGCTCTTCCAGCAACCAATCGCGCCCGCACCCCCCAATTACACACGGCCAGGCACACCACCCTCAGCCCGGAGTCGCCCTACTACTTCTCAACAGAAGACACCTGCGCAAGGCTCTTCCGGTACGGTGATAATGAGTCAAAGTGATGTAGACCTAAGCAAAGATGAAAACAAGCACATCAAGCCTCATTTCAGCTATGCTCAAATGATCACGCAGGCGATCATGAGCACGTCGGAAGAGAAGTTAAACCTTGCCGGCATTTATCAGTACATTACGAAGAATTATGCTTATTATCGACACCAACCTCCTTCCGGGTGGCAGGCAAGTTTGATATATATATATTTTCCCATACTAACTGCGCTAACCAAATCGCAGAATTCAATAAGACACAATTTGTCATTGAATAAGTCCTTTATGAAAGCACCTCGAACCACGGACGAGCCAGGTAAAGGTATGAAGTGGGAGATTGTTCCCGAGGCGCGCGAAGAAATGATCCGCGTTGCGTACAAGGGCGGCCGTGGTGGACATCGAGGTTCTTCTGCGCCCTCGTCTCCCAGTCAGCCTAGCCAGCTGAGTTACATCACTCATGGACCTAGAGAGATCACGAACCGAGAGCCGGCATCGACCCGAAAGCGCAAGGCTTCCCCACTCGCATCGCCACCCCCGAAGTCATCTTTCAACCTGTCCCAGGTTACACCAGATCGCAAGTATTTACCGACAGGGCCGGCGAGCTTCCAAGATGGAAGCCCCCTTCCGCGCCGGCGGGCCTTAGACGGCTCCATCTCTTTTGATGCAGCGCAGGCGCTTCCACAATCACCTCCAACTCTCTCTTCTTCTTTTCTTCAGGATGAGAGTGCCTCCTTCGTCACCCCAGCGCCTCACCGCGTCCACCCTAGACTTGCGCCTCCCAGTACCGCCCAACGGCCCAGCCAGCACATGCCAACCAGTTCACCGGCCCCTTTCTGGAAGTATGCCGACATCGGTAGCACGCCCCTGAAGCCCCCGCAGTTTGACGTCAGTCCTTCGAAGCCCATGCGCCGTTTGACAAATAGCAGCAGCCCCCCTCCCGCCGCAGGTGATGGGTCACCGGTTGCCAGTCCTAGCAGATCGACACGATCAGCCCGCACGGAGACCCAAGACAGAGAGAAAACTGCTGCGCCGGAAGATGAAGAAGGTGAAGGTGAAGGGGAGGGCGAAGGAGAAGGTGGTTTCGACCTTACTAAGTACGCTATCACTTTCTATAGGCTAGTATTTAGGACATTTTCTAATGGCTATTATAGAGGCTTCCAGAGCATCGGCTCTTACCACGCCAATCTTCACTTCGGTGGTGGTCTTGGACCCCGTGCAAACGGTAGACGGGCCTAAGTAATAGTATCATATACTAACCTCATAAGAGGCATTTCGGCTACGGCTAGTCGGACCTTTGATTGTTGCATTAAGTGGAAATAGCTGTGAAAGAGGTTTCATGGCTTTTCTTCCCCATTTTGTACTATTATTCTACGAACCTTGCATTCCTTTGGGCTGGGGTGGTCAACATGTGCCTTCGATCAAGTCGATCTGGGAAGAGAATTACGTCTTCTTGTCCTGGGCGATGCTATACTACTATATAGCTTTGTACCGGTAACCGGATCTCGGATTCTAACGGCTTCTGTGGGTTTCTCTTTTTTATATCAACCGGAGTTAGCGGTACCCATTATTCATCATTGACATCTGGAAGGCGACATGGGGAAAGCGATTCGGGTGGCCCGGTCAGGCGGGCGGACCGGATTGGACTGGACTGGATTGGATAGGAAGGTAGGTGGATACTTCATGTATTATTAACGCATACGGCACCCACGACACAAAAATCGGCGTTTCAGGGGCTGGACAGGGCTGGACTGGACAAAAAGGACTGGCTGGGGAGTGGGTGTGAGCTACGCATTACTGCTGAGGGGGTCTACGCAAATCCAGGCATCGGGAGCGTCAGCTAGTCGAGAAGAGGAGTAGGGGAGTCCTTGCTTTTGTGGTGTTGTTGTTTTTTAAACCCCTTTTTGTTTTTATTTCTTTTCGCGTATGTCTCTTATTAGGCGAAGGCTTTTTTTTCTCGCATTTTCTTTTTTTTTGCTCCGAACATCCACATATGCATCCTCCAACGGACAATAGGTATGTTGTTCAAGGCCTGGGTACGGTATCTAGCCTAGCTTGTAGGTGATTTTCAAATGAATCCGTATGAACTTCAATAGCTACAACTATAGCGATAGTCGTCATGCATACAGAGTTTTTAGCCATTCAATCAGTCATAGTTCCTCGCAAAAATGTATGTGATGCGTGCCCTCGGGTTCTAGTATACGATTCCAACAGTTAGTTGCATACGTGTATATGTACTTGGACTAGTAATTATGGTTATGTCTAGCATGCCTAGCATGCCTAGCATACTATACGTTTAGATGGGTGTCTATGTAACCAAGTCAAGCAACCTCGCAGGCAAGAGTGAAGATGATGTCTATTAACACACGCGAGGTAAGCGAATACCTATAAAGGAATTGCGCGCGCCATATCCCGCATAGTATGTATGTCCGAGAGCGGGAATATGTAGATCCCCTCGAGATGCTATACTGCTTGCTGTTTGTTTGTTTGTACCTTAGACCCAGTCTGACTGACTTGCCCCCTTTCCCCTCGTCGTCCACCTAATATATACAGCTCAAGCACCACCATACCATATACGTTGTTGAGTTCCGATATACTGCGGCAGATGGAGAGTAAGGAGTTTACCGCCATATAGGCGGTAAAGGTGAGATGATGAAGATAAGGGAAAAACCAACGCGATGCAACACCCCTTTCTTAGATCTATGCAACCAGTCCCTGGGGGAGGGTAAACAGAAGAAAAAAAGATATAATAATAAAAAAACAGACGGATTTTTGACCCCGTTCCAGAGACGCCTCAACCGAGGAAAAATGTCATTCATGCCAGGTAGACGTAACTCTTCATTCTTTCCTTTTCATGCCCCCGGTCCGTGTTTTAGAGCCCCCCTTCATACCCGTTCATGTCAAGCTTCGTTCCCCGTGATCCGCATTCTGTCCCTGTGTCCTATTGTCCTTAACGCTTTATGAGGCAGCGGCCCCACCTACTCGAGTTTTGGGCCCGCTGCGGCCTGCTCGTTTCTTGGTGCTCTTCTTTTGAGCCGTGTTACCCTCAATAAACTTGATAAGATCGTCGATGCTTCGAGCATCTGGCTTGTCCGATCCGGGCTGGTTTAATGCTGTGGGCTGTGCCGTAGCGCCGGCGCCACCTCCTAACGCGACGCTGCGAGCCGGGAAGCGGATTCCAGCCCGTAGACGCCTTGACTGAGCATCCTTATCCCTCTTCGCGATTGCGACAGCATTCTGTGTCAGCTGCTCTAACCAAGTCTCGGCCTCCTTGGTATTATTATTCTCTGGCCCGAGCTGCTGCAAGAAGATGTTGTAACAATCACGCATCTTAACGAGGGCAGCCTTGGATTCGTTATCCAAAGCGAGCGCCTGTGCGAGCTGGAACAGGAGACTAGCAGCCGGGAGGGACTGCTTGCCCATCACACGCTCGCAGACAGCAAGAGCTTGCTCGAACCAGATGCGAGATTCGTGGTATGCTTGCATATGCTGAAGCATGACTGCTGCATTGTTCAGGGTCGTGATCGAATCCGGGTGGTCGGCCCCGTAGATGATCTTCCACAGGTCAAGTGCATGCTTAACATATGCAAGAGCTGTCTTGCTGTCGCCAGATCCATGTACATAGAGTCCAAGATTTAGGTAGTAGAGCAACGTCTCCGCAGAGTCGACACCGATAGTGCGCTCTGATACAACAACAGCTTTCCTCGCTAAATCAACAGCAGCCTCCTTCTCCTCGAGCTGATAATAGATCTGCGCAAGACTGGAGTATGCTCGCGCAACTTCTGGGTGGAGGATTCCGTAGATTTGTTCGTGAAGAGTTAGACTCTCCAATAACAACTCCTGACCAATCTTCCTGTTGTTTTGCATGATGGAATGACGACCGCCTTCCAAGGCCTCCTCAGAAATGGCACTCTTCGGTGCAGAGTCCTTAATAATCGGGACAACATTGACAATATCATCCGGAGTAAAGGTGGTCGGCGTGCTGGTAGAGGAAGCAATGGAAGCTGGGGACCCATCCCTCGTCTTCTTCTTTTTCTTCTTGCTGTCATTCTTGCTATCACTGTTTGCGTGGCCATTGGCGCCATTTGTAGTGGGCGCAGCGCTAGGGTCATTGGTGAATTTGAAGTCCTTCACCTGAAGTTGAAGTCCAAGCTTCAAGGACACGTCACGGAGGAGCTGTAGGTGCTTGATTTGGCTATGCCAGTCCGAATCTAAAGTGAACTTGAATCGGCGAATGGCCTGCGCTTCAATTTCCTGTCGGAGACTCTCTGGAGTGAGATCCGCGAATGCAAGGTCAGCTTCAGGGTAAAGTGCCTTTAAAGACTCGTCTATCTCAGCAGTAGGCTTGCTGTTGAAGCTAAATCCGAGAAGGCAGTTGAGAAGATGGGCAATGCCAGCCGAAGTAAGAGGAATTGGCAAATACCGCAGGTACTTGCTCGCAACGTGCTTGAATGCTCTCGATATTATCTCCTGTAAGGCCAAGTCCCGAAGGCGCGAAAGCCTCGGTCCTTCGCAGAGAGACACAATCTGGCCAAGGTATCGCATGTTGATTCCGCGCTTATGCATCATCTTGGTCAACGACAAACCATCCATGGGGAAAGGTAGATCTGCAGCCTTGATATCGTTGACGAAGTCAGGAATTGCCGACTCGCGTAGATATTTACAAGCATTTCGAACATCTTCTTCGTCGGCAGCCATTTCCTCCTTCTCAGCTTCGGTCTGCGGAACTTGTCCGCTGCAGACATCTGGGTTAAGTGAGAAGTAGAATTCAGAAGCGTCAATGCGGTCTTCGGGCTCCGTTGCGGCGCTATCGCTAGACTCATTAGGCTTGTCTTCGTCTGTGCTCTTCTTCTCAGTCTCCTCGGACTTCTCCTCAGTCTCCTCGGTCTTCTCAGCCTCTTCAGTCTTCTCGGTTTTCTCCTCAGCCTTTTCTTCCGCGGACGAGTTTTCTTCTTTGCTGGATTTCTCATCCTGAGACTTAGATTGGGACTGTTGCTTTAAACGTGCGAGCTCCTTGTTGACCCACTCGGTCCATTTTTGATTCCGAATCAGTTCCACGAGTTCTGGTCGCAAGACCGTCATACGATGAGGATACTCGAGCTCATTCTTCTCTCCCTCGGTGCTGATGCTATTTTCTTCAAGCCATAACACATCAAGGGGCGTAATGCGGTATAGGTCAAGAACGTATTTACGACCGTCCGTTCCCATTAATCCCTTAGTTTCGACACTAGCCTCTAGATCGAATCGCTTGCCATCCTTGTCCCAGACAGGATGTTTCTTCACTTTTAGGGCCTTCGAAAGCTTTTCAAAAGTTGGCGCAAATCGTTCATCGGCCGCAACAATCTCCTTTCCTTCTACCGCTCCATACTCAATAGAATTCTCGCCAGGTTCTCTTTGCTTGAAAATGCCTGGAACAACAGTCTGGCCAACGATTCTCTTTCCGAGGTAGTCAACCACTACAGTCGCCGGGCTGTACAGCCCATCGATGTCAAGCTGGTTGACTAGACGCACGCCGTTGACATCCTTTCCTGTGGCAACCCTAGCAGCATCATCGCCGCCCTCAGAAGTAAACGTGCCCACGCCATCAGCTCCAAAAGAGAAGAACACGTTGTTGTAGACAAAGATCTGGGCATCGCGACCTTCCGTCGGGTTGAGAGGAGTGACCTCACCACGTGCGACCAGAATAGCACCTCGGGCAGCAGCATCGGAATAGTCAGCAAACAGCTTGGAAATAAACCGCTCTCGGAAGACACGGTCTTGAACCGTCTCTTTTGGTAATTCGCGAGCTGACTGGAATTCTTCGTTCCAGTCTCTTAGTGTATCAGTATTATCAACACCAGAGATAAGATAGCCCTCCTGAGTTCTTGTGATATCCGAACTGTGAGCACATAAAGGCGAGGATTGCGAAGGAACTAGCCATGGTGCCGCAGGGATGGCATTCGTCATCTGGAATGTGGCGAGAGGGTCCTTACGGTTGTTGTACTGCAGTAGTTGCTCGAAGGACTCTGAGAATGAAGGAGAGATCTGAGTTAGAAGCGTTAATAGCGAGTGCGCAGAATGACCCTTAGGAGCAGCGCGAGGCAAGGGGTCGAATTTGCTATTCGATGACTTGTTTACGTAGAACCCGCCAACATGCGAAGTGATCTGGTATTGCTCTCCTTCGTTCGTGGTGACGAGTAGGTACAGCAAATGGCCCTTCTGTCTAAGATGGTAGGGTGGAGGGTTCCATGGCGACAGAGCAATCGACTTCACCGTCTTAGGGGCGGGCTCTTCCTCTTTTGGTATTAGAGTTAAAGGCTTCGCGGGAGCTTCGAAATCGTAGGCACTAGCTTGGACATTGTCGGTATCCTGGGCACTAGTAGTAATGAAATCGAAGAGGGAGATGCCAGGTAGAACCCCTTGTAGGGTGTCAGTCCGATCTCCAGCAGCACCAACTAGATCACGAATTCGGATGACATGTATTCTAGCCTCCTTTTCGGTGTAGGGATCCTCTACTAAGCGGATCTCGGCTTCCGGACCGAGTCCCTTCACGTCAGAGATTTGCACAAAGTCATTTATGCGCTCGCTGGCATGCTCGAGGTGGAAACACGAGTATTGGAAAGCAGATGGCAGCTCGATAATAGACTGTCGTAGCTCGTGAACTTGCTCTTGAGGCGAGACCTGTACCGAGATTAGCCATTACCGGCCAGAGAATCCATATATAATAGACAGGGGTATCTACTAACCATCACATGGATCTTGTTCGGCTCGTGGGGCAGATGGATAGTGAGAGGATACAATGCTATAAGCCGTGTATTAGCATTGGTATGGCAATGTCTACCTGGGAAGTGAGTTTCTAGTCATACCATCCGCAACTTCCTCTTCATCCTCCTCAGCCGCTTGGTCGTTGGAGTCAACTTTAGCATTTTCAGTTTGACCATTTAGGGTTTCGGCTTCCTGGTCGGAAGGTTGAGCTATACGAGACTATTATTAACTTATATTCGGACAGAGTCAGACAGATACATATAAAAAGTTTTACTTACCGGTAACCTCTGGCTTCTCAGACATAGTGGGCCAACTTGAATAGGATTAAGAGGGGCTGGAGGGGTTGTCGAAGTTTTGTGGTGCAAATCTATAATATCCTCTTACTTGTACAAGAATAGCAAACGAGATCCCACGCACAGCTTGGAAAATCCGGCGTGGAAACTGTAAAAGTATTAATGAACAAGGTCCGAGAAATATTATACAGGTCTAATGAAGGAACCGCAAATCAATTGAACTTGTAAAGGTAGTAAATGTAATTATGTTGAAGAAGGTAGGAAGAATCGTCGAAGCATTATTGCAGCTAAGCAAGCAACATTTTAGATTTCAATTTTTTTTTTCTTCGGCGGCTCGAAAAACCCCGGCTGTTCCCGGCAAGTCGGAGCTGCGGCGATAGTTAGGTCATTTGGGGCTTTCCCGTCCGCCCTAATAGTGATGCTCTTAGTATGTAACACTGCATAAAAGAGGTGTTACGGTAACCACCTCCATTTTGATTGGCTTATAATTTGAGTTTTAGGGGACTAAAAAGCCCGCAAGTTAGAAGTAGGTACTCCTGTACTTTTACTACTTTGATTTTATTTACAGCAAAAATTTTATTCTCTTTTCCCATAAAAACTTAATAATTTTCTACAGTTAAAGCTACTAAATGCTGTGGAAAATGTTTGTTCATCTCGAAGCTACATATATGAGAGTTATGAGTTTTAATTCTATTTCCCGAAATACACCAAAATGTTGTGTGAAAGTTAAAGTGGGTATATCCTGATTAGGAAATCAAGTAAACAAATCAAATGTTTGGTCATGGTTATTTAGTTAGAACCGTTATGTCTCTTTCACCCTTATTGGACCAAGCATTGGTATTCTTGTCGTTCGGTCATAAAATAATCCCATCTTTGAAGCTGCACTTTTGGATCGCATCTCTATAAAATCAATTATCGCGATAATATCATTTTGCTTTGCCTACTATTTTTATTTTGGCGACGACGTTCGCGGAGTATGGAGCTGCTAGCTTCGTATCGCCATCAATAAACCGGAGCTCTCAAACAAACATCCATAACTCAGCATACATATCTGCTTAGTAATATTGCTAGAGCTCCCTCCATGTCATTTAACGAGTTCAATATCCCGTATAAGCCAAGGCCTAAGCCAGAAAAACTAGGAGTGACAACACAACCTTGGACCGCGGCGCGCTGTCAACGCTTACTTCGGCCGTTGCTTTCGCGGATTGCTTCTCTAAGAAAGGATGCTGCGGTGTCATCATTAAGCACAAGAGACGATGAGTTCGGGCAGGAAAGGAGAGTTGCTACTGAGCAGCAAAATGCTAATTGCGAATGGTTAAGACCGCACAAGAAAGTTCGCCTTACCTATTCTCAGAGGCGATCTCCTAATCAAGATGGTCAATCTATACTTGGCAAGGATTCGAAGGGAACGAGTACGACAAAATACCTCCAAAGCAGCGAGGGAAGACCTGTAGTTCCTGGTGAGATAGTACCGGCTACGCCTTTACTACGACGTGCACGAGGCCATATTGTATCATCACCCACAAATCCCAGTCACCCTAAGGAGCAACCTGAACAACCTATAGTCGGATGCAGACGAGATCAGTTTAAGGATCTTGAGAAACGTCTCGCAGGCTTACGAGCTCAATCAACTTCGAATAGACACAATGACCTAGAAGCAATTTATAAGAGTTTAGAAGCGCTCTTAAAAGCAACACGGCATGTCATTAGTCGAGGACGGGGGCCACGTTCATTCCTCGATATGTGTCTTAGAAAAGTGCCCTCGTATATTGAGGAGCTCGAAGCCTGGGAGAGGATGGAAGCCGAGCAGAGCGGGGGTATTTCTACGCTTGACGGTATCAACACTTCGACAGAGATATACAACTACCTAGAGTCAATTGGATCAAATCAAGCTCTTGGATGGAAACATCTCCGGATAGTAGTTCGAGCAGACGGTCTTAATGCGGTAAAGCAAGGAGTTTCAGAGGGACTATTCAGTGACGACTTCTCAGAATTACTTATTGATCTATGCATCCGATCTGGTGCATTATCTGAGGCCGAGGAGCTTATCGCAGCTCTGGTTTATCGCCAATACTCTCAGCCAACTATGGCAGACAGCTTCTTCACCGAGCTAGGATGCTTTCGGCCTCTCTCGATGTTATGGACTTTTGCTAATAAGCATGGCCGTACTTCATTTCTCCTTCGGCAGTATTTGCTGTTGTTATCTAATGGCAGCCTCTCTCAAGATTGGCTTGCGACGCAAGAGTTCGAGCGCATATGGGCATTAGCTGCTCGGCACTTGTCCGTGGTGGAGGCGGCTGACGACGCCGTGGCTTTCATGAACTATTCCGTTTCGTTGTTGTGTCACCGGAGGCGAATCCTTGCAAACGGAAATGACACGACTCGCCTAGAAAAAAACATTGCCATGGCCAATAAGCAGACACTAATTAGTGCTTTAACAATGCTAGCTGCAATGAGTTCGTTAGGCGAAATAGAACTTCATACAGCAAGCGTTTCAGAAGTTGAGATCGCAAAGATAAGCTTCATTGGCAATAGGCTTAGATATATCCTTAGATCGTGTATGGCTGGTCTAGAATCGTCAAAGACCACGCGATACGGCCTAGGAAATGACTTGTTGCACTTGGCATACTACATCTCATCGAGAGACGCTCGAGTCGATAATAATATCAGTTCTCATCTCAAGTACAGCATCGGACAAGCATGGCGACAACATACGGACCACAATTCCGCAAGAAGCAACCGCACGAGACACCGTCTTACCGATATAGCCTCATTTGTGTCATCAGTAGCTCGCAGTTGTGGTCGAGGAATGAACCTTGCGTCTCACAACTGTTTAGACATGCTATTTGGACAACTCGCGGGCCTCGAACTCGATCAAGAAATCCTGGATAGCATGAAGGCGATAGCGGCTTTTTCTCTTGCGCAACAGACCAATAACGTCAAAGACTTTATCTATGCGGAGAAGCTAGCCTGCAACCAACACTCGGCCGCAGGGGACGATGCTCGTATCCGACCTCTCTTCACGGGCTACCGGTGGGAGGAAACTATAGGCGAGTGGGTTACAGTCAGCCCTAGACGTCTACCCCAGGCGAGAACAAGACAGCTTCGATCGTCGTCAAGGTTAGATGGAGATCATATAGAAGACGGTACCGAGCAGAGAGCCACTCAGTCTGGGGTGGTCATCTATGGTGAAGCAGATAGTGTTCCAGGCCCGGAAATAGCAAAGGTGGAGAGCAATAATAATGTACAGGCCCCCAAGCCCCCCAAGCCCCCCGGTCCCGAACGCGTCAACACCAAGAAACGTGCGCACTCTTGTTCTCAGGGCGACAAGCCACAAGCGGCTACGGAACCCCGTCGGAGCAAAAGCATCGTCGCTCTAAAGTCCGTAAAATTAGCCTACCCAACACTAGACGATGAGCTCGGCTCCGATAAGGAAAATGGCGGTCATTTCGTTCGCAAGAAACCAAGGAGGAGCATCGACAAAAAGACCCTGCTTGGTACCAAGCTACGATCTAGATCCAGTCTCGCAAGTTCAGTAAGCTCCGGTATTCCCGGGGACGATTGTAGCGAGGATGAGCTTTGCATGTGAGACTCGCTACTTTATTAACTACGAGATAGCATCATTTTTTTCTAGTATGAGCCCACTGGTAGGTTTTGTAAACCTATCTTTGGATACACATAGTTTCGGGCCCGGGAATATAATATATATAAACGTTATGCCCAGCGGATGCGGAGGATTCTACGGTTGAGCGTGGGATCTTGTATTTTCAACGGGAGCTGCGCCGCTAGATGGCATTTGGTTAGAGAGTATATAAATCGTGATATCGATAATTACCTATATATAACTGTAAATGCCTATTTTCGAGATTTAAAGCTGCAATAGGCAAAAACTATCGGCCCCAAACGGTAACGTTGTTAAGTGATTGACGCCATGCACGACTGGGAATAACCCATGTGGTAATCCTTAGAGATTGAGCGACGAGGGGATCTAATACGGCATATGCAGTATGTGGTGGAGGCCCGTTGAAACGTGAAACGGCTGGATTGGGCAACTCGTATCAACTTGAGTGCTCTCAAACGCGGCCTCTGCCATATATGGAATTGTTCGATTTTCAGAGACCCTCGAGGTTTATGCAAAATATCCCACTTCCATGTATCACATCTTCTATTACATGGTATGTTGCCGTTTTCGATAAGGTAGATATTCAAAGCTTGGCCTGCGATATCTAGCCATGATCTTCATCATGACATCGACGTAGTAGCTGTGATCCTATAAATGGTATTTGGTATATACCGAGGAATATAGGATGAATGACTAAACGTTCCTTCAGTGGAATATTTCCTGGGTGCCATGATAATTCGAAAGAGTCGTGTATACATGGAGCTAATCGGGAAATATGCATTTCACATAATGATCGCATAAGCATCTTGAGGCTCAATACGTGTCGAGCTTTTGGGTTGTAGTGGGTCTAAGAATATGGTAGAAGTATTATTCCAAGTGAGACCCTATCATCATCGTCAAAATTAAGCATTTTGACGGGAACTAGGTTGTAAGAGGCTTGATTGAACGTTTCTTGATAGAGATTTCGTATCACATTTCTCACTGAGCCTAGATGACGCAAGCACCCGCTTGCTAAATAAACTAGATGAAAGAAGTGCCGTTGTATGCATACTATCATTTTATATGGTGTTGGTGGAATTTCGTAATGCCTCGATGAAATAAAATAAGGTATCGCATTCCATATTTTAGATATGAATTAGACTTTAGTAAATAGTAAGAACATCGCAATACTCTGCGAAAAGAGGTAATAATTCAATCGTGGTGATCGTCCTCGGAGGAAGAGTTTTGTGATGAGTCTAGTATATGCGCCACAGCCAGTCGTTTGACTTGCAAACAAGTCGAGAAGGTGTCGAAAATCTAGGATGCTTTTTAGTGCTAGGGCATTATGAATCGTCATTGGTGGTGCGATCAACTAGATCCCTGTCTTCTAATATGCGCTGGCTTCGTTTCAAAACTGCTCTGTCGATCATGATGCTCCCCACCGCGATGCAGAATTAAGATCGGATAGCGAATGATAAGACTGTGAGATTGGTGATAGAAGTTTTCGTGCCTCAAAATTGAAGCATTAACGAGAGCCATACATTGCATGCGTAATGTGCAGTTTCAACAAATAATAAAGATAGATAAGATAGAGGGCCAAACGGTTGGATCTCCAGATGATGTAAAGCAGGGATGTGGTTGTACTGGGGTTTGGTAACCCCTGCTCGATCGGCTCAGGTCCTCGGCCAATCCTGCTGTTTTTCTTCTGTGTACCTTACATTGGTGGCACTTTATCGGCCCATCCCCACACTACCAAGGCAAGACTTGCTCGTAATCTAGGCTTAGTAGAAGAGTATGGAATACTTCGGGAGATACCTATCATGCGGACGCGTGTATTGGTATGCAGAGAAAATTCTGAACGTTTCAACTGAGTGTGCTGGTAAATTGGTAAATGAATAAACGCTAAGTCTCCTAAAAAATAACATTTGAACTAAATGAAAATAGAAGAGATAACATCTGAACAAGCAATTGCTTAAAGTAAGATGAACATTATTTTGACTTTTGATTGATTATCTAATATATATGTATGATATATCGCGATGAGCTGAATAAATTTGGTTCTCGGTGAAAGAATTCAGTATGTAGAAATTCTGCTTGGCTGCTTGGCTAAGGAAGGTACCTAGCGTACAGTGAATGATTGAGGGGAAAGTCCAGCCAGCCCCTCTATGTATTATGTACATACCTATAATACGTACTAGTACCTATTCCATTCCTCTCCAGGCTTAATTTTCAGGGGATAGACGCAATGATTGGCATATAAAGGGCAAACCGGCATTAGTCGACGTAATCGAGTAACGCCCCGAGCGGGTACTCCGTCGGTACGTACCTGAATATTCCAGGTTCACATAGGCCCTGCATAGGTAATTCTTACCTTCAATTAGACTGACCTCCTTATTCTTCCTCATTCATATATTTCATGCAAATGGGCACTGCTCTCTAGGTCTTCCACACCCTGCGGCCTTAATCCTTCTGGTCCTTTCTTCACAGACCCATACTAAATCACAAGTTCTTAGTTCTTCAACCAGAACTGGGCGGGTGTAACGTCGACCTACTTCGTTCATTTACAATAGTGCCCTTGTAAGCCTTCTACAGGCATTCTTCTAGGTCACATCCTTCGAGGCTCCTAGTCAGTTTGTTTTCCGCCTTGGGCCAGATCCCGAAGACACACACCCATTTAAGTATTTGTCTTCCCGCTCGACCTTGGCAAGTGACAAAAACTTGACCTCGAGTCACCTAGACTACAGCTTTGAAGACGACTTAGGCCGCCTTCAATATAACTTCCTGACAGCAGGCTGTTATTGCCCTTCGTTCATTCTTATTCGGGCTATTTAAGTTGATCTTGTTTAGCCATTACATACTCTAACTAGGTCTCAGAACCAACCTCTTGAGGCTACTCAACATTCCTTACTTTTACTGATGAGGATTTTCTGGACCCAGGATCCCTTTTCAATTCAATTCTAAACTTTGATTAGTTTAGCTGGTACACTTCTGAAAACGACAACAACGACAACGACAACGACAACAATCTGATTTTCATCATGGCTGGAGGAGAAGGAAACGCAGAAGCTGGTGAGGGACAGGCAGCAGGATGGACGCCGGCGATGGAGAACGAATCTTTATCTAACTATTTATTGGTTGTTTGTGCCGCCCTCTCTTTGGGTCTCATAATATGGCGCATCACAACAGCATTACAAAAATATATCCGAACCGTTACAAGTTTAACAAACGACACACAGCGATACTTTGCACGCCCGTCTACGAAATTCGCCTGGATCAAGAAGAATCTCTTATATGCCCCCATGTTTAGGAAACGACATAACCGAGAATTTCAACTAAGCAGCGCCATCAATGTTGGTACCCTACCCACTCGGTTCCAATTCCTCTTTCTAGTAGGATACTTCGCAACCAACATTGCCTTTTGTGTCATTCACATTCCCTTCGCCGAGAGTTTTGCGGATGCGTGTAAGCAACTGAGGAACCGAAGTGGAACGCTGGCAGTAGCCAACATGATTCCCTTGTTTCTCATGGCCGGCAGGAACAACCCGCTTATCCCCCTACTCGGGATGTCGTTTGACACTTTCAACCTACTGCATCGTTGGTTTGGCCGTATCGTAGCATTGGAAGCAGTATGCCATACGTTCTCTTTCTGGGCTGCGTCAGCCGCAACTGGTGGATGGTCAAAGGCACTGAATACTACCGTTACAGTTCCGTTCCTGCTATACGGTTTCCTTGTAAGTTATATATGTTCGTATCCTAGGCGATCCCTTTACCTAACATTGCTTAGGCCACCATTGCCTTTGTGGCGATATTTTTCCAAGCTTCGAGCATTGCTAGACACGCGTACTACGAATCCTTTAAGCTTCTGCACATCGGTTTAGCTGCGCTTGCGGTTGCAGGCCTTTGGTACCACCTTGACTTGAAGCATCTCTCCGCGATCAAGTGGTTGATCCCGGTTATTCCCTTATGGGCTGGCGACAGGCTAATCCGTGTTATGCGCCTTGCTTATAACAACTTTGGTCGGGGAGGAACTAAAACGCTCGTTGAGGCGCTCCCTGGCAATGCCGTCCGTCTGACGGTGACAATGGCCCGACCTTGGACTTTCAAGCCAGGCCAACATGCGTACTTATACATGCCATCTATCAGCTTTTGGCAGTCCCATCCGTTCTCTTTAGCTTGGAGCGAGGAGGCTGAAGAGTTGAGCTCGGATAAGTTGGCTATGAACCGACAAGACGTGCTCGCCATGCGCAAGACCACCATGTCTTTCATCATTCGAGGACGATCAGGAATGACACACACATTATACCAAAGGGCTGCAGCGCAACCCGATGGCCGGCTTATGACAACATGTCTCGTCGAAGGACCGTATGGTGGCGAGCATATGATGCACTCCTACGGCACTGTGATGCTTTTTGCTGGCGGTGTAGGTATTACTCACGCAGTCCCTCACGTCCGAGACCTTGTTACGGGTTTCGCAAATGGCACGGTAGCCACGCGAAAAGTGGTATTAGTATGGATTATCCAGAGCCCTGAGCATCTCGAATGGATTCGGCCGTGGATGACAGAAATTCTAGCTATGGATAGACGGCGTGACGTGCTACGGATTATGCTATTCGTCAGTAGGCCACGCTCGACAAAGGAAATACATAGCCCTTCGTCAACAGTCCAAATGTTCCCTGGCAGGCCCAACATCGAGACTCTGATCAGCATGGAGGCAGAGCAGCAAGTTGGAACAATGGGCGTGACGGTTTGCGGACCTGGTGCCCTCAGCGATGAGGTTAGACAAGCGATTCGTCGCAAGCAATACAACTCGTCGATCGACTTTATCGAGGAGGCCTTCTCGTGGTAGACAGCTAATAAGTCACCATCATTGCTTGGGTTACTTGGAAATCAAGGGGACCGAGCGGGGAGGGCGTCCTGGTTTATTGTAGTTGTACGGTTGCTTGGTTCGGTTGCGCATATTTGATATTTTTCCTAGGACCGCCCTCGCAGTTTCTTGTAGATACTTCTTTCGTTGATAGACATGTCGGCCTGACGCCAACCGGTGGCTATGGCCGGAGAGATCGAGAATATATGATTTGTTAAATATTGGTTGAGGGATATAATGCAATCTATCTGGTGAATAATGAGACTTGTTGAAGACATGTATGTATGACTAACAAATGAGTCTAGGGTTTCTTTAAGCTAAGTAAGACATTATTTAACAGATGGATAGAGTTGGTAACTATAACTACCTAAGATATGACTCTCGGGTTCGACCAAGGTTCAACAGAGAAACAAATAGTCAACTACGACTTGGGTAGGTATATTAAAATACTCATGTCTACTCAAGAAGCATCGGTCTACTGCTATGAGATAAAATGCGAGCTGGAGTATCATAAATGCTTGATAGGAAAAAGAGACAACTCGGATATAGACAGGGTATAGGCAGGGAAAAGATATATTCCTGGCGTTTATCCACGTAACTACTTGTATAGGTAAAAAAAAAGCCAGCTAGGTTTGTCTATTGACATGGGAAACATAGGTAGTCATAGCATGGTTGACTCACAAAATTAGTATTCACTCATATTAGTCTCCCTTTGTGTCGAATTTAAATTAATTTTTGTTAATAAGGAATGTAACACAAGTTTAGATGGGAATCTTTGTTGAGTGAAGGTAAAAATCGTTGATTGTTGAAGATAAGAACCATAAAGTAAAGATATGGATAAATTACCCCATACGAAAGTTGCAGCCCATGGCGCATTATGGAGGTCGCACCCGCCTGTCAGATAGCATCGTTCCCAGTACCACGTCAGCGGGGTAAGGACCTAGGTTAGGTTACTAAGATAAGCAACTCCAGCTGTTAGCAGTTTACTAGCCTCCTCGGATGACCTCAACCCCGAAAGGCTACATCCACATCACGCCTGCATCGCGTGAGGCTGGTTTGTTCCTACATAAACGCTTTTGTCTTCTTGCAAGTTGCTATGCACTTCGGCTACCAACATCCTTTATAACCGAATAAAGTAAATAAACAAACCAACTCGCCAAACCAATAAAATCAATCCAGCCTTCGGATTTTGTCCCCGTTAGATATTACGTTATCGCTCCTCTCGGACACAGACGTCCGCCCCTCGTCCATCATTGTGGTATATTCGCTCCGTGCTATCGTCAACCTCGGAACTCGCGATATCTACCTACCTACCTAACCTACCTACCCGATCAGCTAGCTCCGCATCGATCGAAATCGAGAATCTTATTAGAGTCCTTTGTCGGATCGGATAGTTATACCAATAAAAACCAACTAGAGGTACCCTCGTAACGAAACGGAACAACACGCGGTCGGCGTGCGTAGATCGGCCGCAATGGGTCTTGCGTACAACACGTATCTTGATAGTAACAAAATATATGGGTGCAAGAACTGCAAAGCCCACCTCGCTAATCATGAAGAGATTATAAGTCGGGTATGGTATCTCCTGTCTTTCCTCCGTCGTCATGATTTGAGTCTCTAGCTCTGTAATGTTCTATCATACCATATCATACCCTATCCTAGCCTTCTACCTTCCTCCCTACATATTACGGACCTTTCTATCCAGCATCCCATTCTACCCCTACTATACCGAAAGCCCATCAACTAACCCGTCCCCCCCAGAACTTCCGCGGCCAGCACGGCAAAGCCTACCTCTTCAACACGGTCGTCAACGTGGACGCAGGCGAGCCGTCGGAGCGCAGCATGACGACTGGCCGGCATATTGTGCGGGACATCACGTGCAAGCAGTGCAAGGAGACGGTGGGCTGGAAATATGACCGCGCCTACGAGTCGAGCGAGAAGTACAAGGAGGGCAAGTTTATCCTTGAGGCCGAGCTGCTGTGTAACGTTAGCTGAGCCGGGCGGCTGCTTTCCCCCCGGTCTATCGGTCAGATACAACAGTATGATGGGCGAGGACGGTCTGTTTTTAGCATGGGTATGCATTGCTTAGGCGTTTTCTTGGTTATCGCAGGCGGGTCTGGTGTGGTTTGGTCTGCTTGGTGGGTTTAGACGGGCAAGGCAAGGCAAGGGTCGCGCCTCTTGCAAGCGTATGTATAACGCCGTAGAGGTATTCGAGGGTCAGATACAATTCCTCCTCTTACGTCATGAAGCCTCCTTGATGTGGTGTTATACGGGTTGATAGATAGTTTAGCATTATAAATTGTTACTTGCTTTAGAATTACTGGGCTCGTTTACTATTGGTTACTAGTATAAATATGTCTATCTTGACGCTACTATCCTCAAGTTAAACCTGGTTGAATGTTATGTGTTGGCATATGATCATCTGTCTGCAACTGTAGTCCGTAAGAACTCTCTAAGGCGCATCTACGAAGCATGTAGGATGGATTAGCGTCTTAATACTCTATAGTCGTCTACTTATCTCAAGTCTACTAACATAACGAATGTCCTAAGCCTATTAGAAAGTGACGTCGAGCGGGAGTAAATTATCAAACAATAGAATTTATGAGTCCGACCCTGATAGTTACGCTGCCATCTAATTTAGAAGACTATATCAAACAAACTGATCCGCTGATCGAAACCAAAGTACTCCAACTAAAGCACATATTACAAGCACAATAACCCACTAACATGCCGATACCAACCAACGCCATCCCAATGCAGAAACACGTATATTCGCAAGCCCTGGCTAGTATTTAACCATTTAGAGTAATTAGGTCCTGCCCACCCGGGGCCCTAGGCAGCATCAAGTAATCCGATTTGCTTTGCGGGCAATCTAGTTATGCTCGATAGGTTCTTCGGGGAGCAACTCCTCTACTTCCTCATTTGGCTCGAGGAATTTGAACGGCGGGCGTACGACGCCGTTAAACAAGAAAGTAAAGTACACTAGCAAGACGAATCCGGCAACTTGCAGCCACTTGAATCCTTCCCACCCGAGACCGAGGGAAATCATCCAAATGAACAGGGTTCGGCAGCTATCAATAGTCGATCGCGCTGTTGCACTGACGTTGCGAGTGACGGAGAGGCCGAAGAAATTATAACCACTGGCAACAAAGTTAGCATCCCTATTATCAATACATGGTAATGCAGAGCTTAACTTACCCAATAGAGATCATAGTTAGTACACTAGACACCCACACAGCTCTGTACTCCGTCATCTGTCGGAAACCCTCAACCATATCGAACATTCCGTAGCGGCCAGCATCAGATCTCCCGATGGTGAGGTGTAGTACCAGCATACAGATCAGGGTAACAGCAAGACCAAAGAGACCTTCCCACCCAACAACCTCGATGGGGTCGATTTTGGAACGCTCTAGCAACCACTCCTCGAGAACGAATTGTGTAGCGGTAAAAATTTGCGCGAAGGCAATGAGAATAACACCCAACGCAGCACGGAGGCCCTCATCAGTAGCGACATCTTCCGCAGCCTGGAACAAGGCGTTGCTGGCCTCTGCTTTGGCATCAGGCCAGATAATACCCGCAAGTCCAACTAGCGCAATACCAATCATGACACCAACGAGGGAAACCCATTGGAATAAGTGCAGCTTGCGGTGCAGGAAAAAAACGCTGAACAAGCCGACAAACAGCACCAAGGCACCACGAGTCATCTGGTAGATCGAGGCAGCTACCATGAACAAACCTGCGTTCACAAGCGTCGTGCCGAGGATATCGCATATAGCTGGTAGCGAAAGGAGTATTATGCCAAAGCCCCTTAGGGGCCCATCGACTACACCAACATTGCTCTTAATCGGAGGATTGGGAAGAATAAGCGCCTGTTCCGAATTAATGCTAGCAGCATCATCGTTATCATCGACTTCGGCGTCCCCCCTAGGGATTGCCTGGTATCCGTTGGCAGCCGGAGTCTTCCTATTCGCGTAGCGTTGGTACGCGAGCCTTAGCCCGACAACAATCCAACATCCAACTTCTCCTATGAACATCTGCGCCGTCTGAAGCACGGGCTGCTCAAACGGCTGCCGCTTCTTGGGATTTGGGTCGTCGCAGTTCCGGACGCATTGATTGTCCTGCGCGATCGCGGTTAGCGAGCTATAGCTTTTGGTTGCCGCCGAGGCGAGGTTAGGTTAGACTTACTTGATACTTGGTGAAGAGCGTATTGCAGACACCGGTGAGCAGCATCATGCCCACCAGGAAAGGGATAAGGGCCTTTGGCGCCATGATGACTGGCGATTCGCGGAGGATTTCGGTCTTGTGCCAGCAAGAGATAGGGGATGTTACAATTGAGCAAGCGTGGGTAATGTGACTATAACTATAAGAAAAAGAACGAGATATGATAGATATGATTCGCAGTAGCTTTGATGAGCTACGGCTGATATGCGAAGCTCCTCGGGGATGGCGGCAAGGAAGGACGTGTGAAGGTTCCAAGGTTGTGTTAGAAGATAGGGACCGACCACCGCGTGGTTAATTGATAACGTTGGATTGCACTTCGTCTTAGGTAAGTTAAGTACCTCCTTGGCCGAATGCGAAGGCGCGTGTACCTTGCTGGCAATGCTGTACGTACAATAGGTAGGTACCCTACATAATGCAAGAGCTGGGACCAGAAGCTGCCCCCGCATTGGTCAGCCGATTAGCCTTATGATATCAACTTCAGCTTTAATTGGCTTAGCTATAACCCCCCGGATCTAAACTGCGGAATTTCCCATCTCTGGAGCCGGCAGGTGCTCACCAATTCGATCTCGTGAACACTTTGTTACTATCCAAGTTTTGAACTGTAAGCCTCATTTGTTATGTATACTCATACATATCTCTTAATTTAATTTGACTCCTTTGCTTAACGACTTTTTACGTATTTCAACCTTTATACATGTTCTTATAGTAGAAAGACGGATGCTTAAATGCTCATATCGTATGCCTAGTGGTAGTCTGTAAACTGTAAATTACTTGTTGCTTCGTAAATATATTTACTTGCGTTTTGCAACGCTAGATGGTATGTTATTCAAAAATATATATGTCAGTAAACACCAAGTCCGCCGTCTATAAAAACCTGCCAAAACACCTCATTTAAACACAGAATGCTTGTCTTTCATTATCAGTCGCAAGACTAGATTGTTCAGCCTTCCCAAACCGTTGCTTTTGCTTCTTCATCTTCTTCTTCTCTTTCTCATCCTCGGGATTCTTGTCGCCAAGGTTGTTATAATGAGGAATTCCTAGTTCCTTATCACGCGCCAGACGCTCAATATCCCTCTTAGTTAGAGGGACCCCTTCGATAGCCTTAACGTGTTTCCCTTCAACGCCCATCATGATACCTGCGATAGCGGAGGCGATACATGCAAGACAAACAAATAGACCAGTCGACCAACTGGGTCGATCGTACCGATTCAATGCCCACATGAAACCTGATAGAACGCATTGGAGAAATGTGTTGGCAACATTGAAGTAGATAATGAAATCCAGTTTCCACATCTTAGTCGGAGGTGCCCGGATGCTCGTTGGCGGAGCATCTGATATGGTCTCTAGGGGATACGGAACGCTATCAACGTTGTAATTTCCGATCATCTCCTCGATATTTTTCGGCCCAAGAGACGTAGGAAGTTGCTCGGAACCGGGAAGACGGAACCAACCGCGATGGACGCCTGCTAAGCTTCGTAGAGCCTTTTGATCACCCTGAATACGATACCGCAACAAGAAGTACAGATCGCGAAAGCGCCACGGCGCTAAGCCAAAACCAGTTACGCAGAACAACCCGTTTAGTATTTGAGAATCCGTCTCGATCCATATTCTGCGCGGCGAATCAATATTATCGCAGTCAAATTTACCATCCACCCAGCACGTCTCCGGCGCAGCGTTGCATAGAAGAAGGAAGAGCATGCCACCCCAAGCCACGACGTTAAGAGAGTAGATAGTGAGAAAGAAACCGAATCCAGTATTGTAGAATTCCCAGAATGAAACAAGGCCCATTCGTATTTGCTCCTTTATGGGATATTTCGGTGGGAAGTGGTATCCATTCGAATACTCTTGCATCTGGACGCTCACAGCGGCAACATTCGATGCGAGCGCGCTGCCTACCCCTTCCTGTGCCTGAGTCGACATAATTGGTGCGCGTTGACTTAGAGAGTCATTTTGGTCCGTCGCTGTTGAGATTGTCGTGGCCCGATCAACGGTGTCCTCTTGTCCTTCTTTAGATATTCTGGGCGAATCTAGTGGCATCTTTAGGAGACGCCTCTGCTCCTCCCGGAAGCCGATAAGTTACACGATTTTCGTTTTCGAACGCGAGACGACGTAGGGTGGTGTTGAAATGTGATTGAGAGTGAGATGTGGTAGGTATTGATTAGATTAATCAGTCTTTTTTTTTTTCGAAGCGTAGGTATAGCTGCGCAAGGAGAGCCGAAATGGGAAACAACGCGGTCTGATTAATTTGGTTTGTAGTAGCGGGGCTCAACGTGATTACCTTATTAATAAGGAGGGTAGAAATGTAAATTAACGATTATAATAACATATGTCAAGGGAAGTGAAATGGTAAATGGGTATGCGGAAGTGCTGAAGGCGAGTAAAAAAGACGTCAAAGGTAACACAGCAGGATTTGGTGTACACTATAAGGAGAGATACGATGTACGAACGATATACGAATAATTTGGTACAATACTAGCGTGAGTTAGGCTTTAGTGGTTTCCTTGGCACACAATGTAGGCCTCTAAATGGGGCAAGGGGTCTCTTCGTTCCCTCTATTTACTGGTCGCTGTTTGCGAGTGCAACTTATTCCTTCGCACTTTCGCATCTACATAGCTGGCCATGGAACAGGGGTATGGTACCTAGTCTTTTGAGATACTGGTCTCATAAGCAGATGGGAGAATTCATACCATTTCATCCTACAAAATGCATGAATAGGTATGAATGATTTCACAATTGTTCCTACATCCAAAAAAATATAATCAATCCTACCTACCTCCTACTAAAAAAAAAAAACTCTTCGCAATCAAATATCAGTTGCAACCCCTAAAGAAGAGACGCGAGTCGAGATAGAGTTATGCGTCATTAAGCGTATAGGAGGTACCTAGAACAAGATTTCGCATTTCGATGACACCTGCAAAAATTGTAGGAAAGGTCTAGATCTCCCCACCCAGCTGCAAGTTTCAAGATCTGCGCCTCGATAGTTGCACAGCCATATGCGTAGCCATATGCGTAGCTCTCTTCTCGAACTGCCACTCTAAATACGTACGCAAGAGCGAATTTCGGATATGACCCTCGCTGAGACGCGGCTACATATTATTACTAGTCTGTCCAAGACCAATAATTAGCGATATACTATACCTATACTCGTACAGTCTCAGTTTGCTCCTTAAGTATGGTTCCATGTGATGTCAATTTGGGTACCACTTAGGGTCGGGGGATGCCGTCAGTATACCATCACGAACTAAAAGTTGGAGTGAAACATATAAAGATTTTGTATGCATAACTTCCAGTAGTTCTAATAATCTAGCAGGTGGACACATGTAGCTCCAGATTCATTGTTATTAGATGGATCTCGAAACCTTAAAATAGACAAAGTGCCCTGCCAGCAGTAGGGTAATTACCTAACCTAGGTACCTACCTATTGTGATGCCTGATACCTTACCTAAGATACAAAAATGCCGCTCTACACCGCCTTTATGCCCTAAGCTCCTACCGTAGTTTATAGTTTGCCAAAAGGGTCCTTGATTTGTATGAGAATTGCCATGCAACTACAATTTAGACTCTTGACACACAAATATTCGCCATGGCTAAGAAAACTTACGTTGAACATCTTGCGGAATCGGTGCTTGATAACCTTCGGTATCAACACGATTGGACAGAGCTACAAATATTAACTCATTCCCCTGTGGATAACTCACCTCTACCGCGACCCTTAATCTCTGGACTGCCTCCCCGTCGGCTCTATTTACATCCAGATGATCAGATTAAAATGCTCAAATCCCACCCGAACCCGGAAGGGCGTATTCCGGAGACACCTGTAGCCGAATGGGTACTGCCAGTTCACCTGGCCGAAAAATGGACACTTAAGGCATTTGCAAGCGTTTTTGATTCCATGCCACCAGAGAACTCAGCTACTGCGGATCGTGTTAAGAGAGTACTACTCGCTACAGTACATGATGATTCCACCGTCGTTTACTATTTTATGCATGATGGTATTGTCAAACCTCGACAGAACTAAATGAGAGACAGTTCTGTTCCGTTCAAGGGGGTGCAATGATTCCAACCTATTCTTCGGTCACGGCTTGAAAATTACCTTTTGCACTTGCATCTTATCAAACAGATCGTATCCGGATACGGCCATAGAAAGGGGCATGATTTTCTCGAACATAAACCTACTAAGGATTAACTAATGCCGATAACTTGTCGACTCAGGCTTCGTGATAAAAAAGAGTCAACTTACCCAAACTTATGTTGGTTTCTTGCGAGGACCTTGAGTGCATCGGAAAATATCGAGCGGACTGGACATCTTCCCATTTGTAACCTCACATTTTTACTACGCCAACGTCAGCCATAAGAAAACTCAAATGTGGGCTAAGACACCGCGTACTTATATCCTTCAGTGCCACTAAAGGGGATCTGAGTGAAATGTTAGTTGGAAGTACGTGAGCAGGCATACATTAGGAGCTAGATTACCTCGGCATTGTGGACGCCTATACTGCTTATGAAACCGAAAGGTCTCAGGACATCAAACGCCGTCTTTAGGGCAGGGCTTAAGCCAACCACTTCAATAACTGCATCTGCTCCTCGGCCATCTGTGACTTCTTTGATTCGAGCAATCATAGCCGACCTATCCTTCGCAAAGTTAAGCGGTTCTGCACCCAAACTCTTTGCGAGTTCAAGACGGCTATCGATGCTATCGATGGCGAAGAGATGTTTTGGCTTGTACTCCAGCGCCGAGACTATGGCACACAGTCCTACCGGTCCGCAACCGATGACCACCACTGTGGCTTCGGACGGATCTTGCGAACCCAGGCTATTGAATGCATTCTTGGCGCCGAAGAAGCCTGTCGGGAATATGTCTGCCATGAGCACCAATGCATTGTCATCGATCTCGGGTGGCGCCTTCATAGCTGTACCATCTGCAAGGGGTACGCGCACGTAATCAGCTTGAGCGCCATCCAGCTTTTCCGAACCAAACAATAAGCTATGGTCACACCGAGACGAATATCCGTTTTTGCAGTAAAAACAGTTCATGCTACGGAGCATATTAATGAATTATTCAAATTGCATATAGAGCACATCCTAGCCTACCAGGACACGGTGAAAGGAGATACCACCTTATCCCCAATCTTGACAGATTTAACGTCGTTACCCGCTGCCACAACTGTGCCAGCGAACTCGTGGCCCATAATAAATCCTGCGTTTGAGGGCTGGTGGCCTCTAAACGTATGAAGCTCACTAAGAGGTTTAATAATTAGTTAATTAGCTAGGAGCAGAAGCAGGATGCTACATAATACGCACGATCCGCAGAGAGCTGTTGCATCAACTTTGACTATAATGTCTCCATCGTCTTGTATCTTGGGCACCGGTCGTTGCTGAAGCGAAACCTTGTACGGACCGTCGAACACGACAGCATTCATCGTAAGCGGCAATTCCATCATGATACGTCTTAGCAGTAAGATACCGAAAACCCACGTTAGTTCCGGATTTCCGGCTTCTATCAAGTAAAGATATTTACCCAATTACTCGACTTGTTACTGCTTATGCTACATCGATGTGGTCGTTTTGTTCTTGAGCCTATTTACGACACTCCGATGTCACCAGTTCACTATTTCGAAAGAGAATGCGGGGGATCGTACTATCTCAAGTGGGGTAACCCTAGTATAGGTATCTTCACGAACACTAATTTCGCTTTACTTCCAGCTCGGTGTTTTAAGGCCTCAGATCAAATCCTCAGGTAATCCTCAGGTAACAGGTAACTATACTTACATGCCCAAAACTAACAGTTAGTATTTTATAGATTTTAAAGACCCCTCTGTTTTTGTTCCCGTTGCCTCGTCTACTTTCTTCAGAGTTAAAGTTCGTAGTTAAGCAATGGTGTTCTTGGCAGAACCCCGCGAAGGCTTCAAAATATACAGAGATAATTACCGTCTAACACAGCACAGCCTTTTCAGTTCGCTAGATTAACCGATGTAGAAGGACTTGGAAACACCCGACTAGTAGTCCCGATAAGTAGCACGATTGTGTGCGCGCAACACTTTACCATGATCAAATTGTGATAATTAACACATGAACGTGGCCGGTCGCTATTCTACGCCTAAGCGGATAGGAAGGCCTAGAAATATGAATAGAGATATGATGGTGTCCTGCGGTGCAATATAGCGTCGCCAACAAATGTCTCCACGTGTAAGCGACGATGTATCCGAGATGCACTATCATCCACTACGTTGATAATATCTCACCTCAAGTTATCTATCTAAAACAGTGTGGCGCCTTGCGTTCTGTCTTGTTCTACGTATTCATAAACAACCGGAGTTGTCTCCTCTCAAGGCTTAGCTAGACAAGGCGCCGAGCGCCAGGCTCCGAAGAAACTCGTACCATATCAGAGCCCTACTCCTCTATCACTTATGCACTGTGGATGCGATTTTCGCGGGGCGCCACTATCTTGCAGAATGGTCAAGCTGCTGATTACGGAGCGGAGCCCGAAAGCATGTAACCTACATATATCCCTATCCGCTGGCTGGAGTGCGTAGGTAGTCGACCAGTCCAAGTGGTTGGTTGGGTTGAGGGTTATACAAAAAAGTTTGGTCCTACCATTTCGTATCAATTTAATTGGACATCCGGGAGACATGTGTTAGTTGGGTGCGGCTCATAGGAGGCTCAGCGAGGTGGCCCCCAATGCAGGTCAACCGAAGCGGCTGAATGAAGGTTTCAGGGAATCCGAAGCAAGGTTCTTCCATGCCGCTCCCGACGACAGAGGGCGTACAAGGGAAGCCACAGGTATAGTGAAAGGGGAAGATGAATTGTCTGGGTAGTGATGCGATGTGACGATGGCGGTTTGTCTTTAAAAACATGATCCAAAGGGACCAATCGCGAAAGCTAAGTGTCAACAAGGCGTCATCGTGTGCGCTGAGCCGCCAGCCTAATCGGACACCGCCTCACTAGTTGCGCGTACGACTCTACATACATATGTTATACGTATGTATTATATGTAACTATTATATGTATTATACATGCATATACAGTACATAGTTTATAGACCAACTATCACACGCACCATAGCGTTAGTCATGGTGTTGGTCTTGGGGTAAGTCATGATGAGAGAGCTTTTTAAATGGAGCAGTTAATGCAAACTGCTAGGAGGCATGTAGAAAGGGTGGTTTTGGGGTCCGCAGACTCTGCACCGGCAACGTTACCTATTGACGGTAATGGATCACCACATGAATCAGCCAGCCGCGGACGGCGTGGGAAAAATAGCTCTCTTCTGGGTCGTGCAGGTCATAGGCTTGATAGGCAACCAGTCATGGCAATTGCGAGGTCCAATTGCATACATACATAGTACGTTAGAAGTCGAGCATGAGCATAGCTGATCTTCGTCTTGTCTCCCGGTCCTAGGCCGGACTATTTGCGATGACATTGGAGAAAAGGCAAGTCTGCGAGGACCTGTGAGAGACGAGACGAGACGCATGAATATACATCCTGGTTCGGAGCTGCGGGGGAATGATGGGGTGATGGGATATCCGATGAAAAGCTAATGCTAGTTATAGATATATATATAGGTTGACATATTCTTGGATAATATAGAAGTCAAGTAGAAGCTGTAAGCTTGTGTGTGATAGATAAAATAGCCAAGATGAAACGAGAGAAGAGGAGTCCCGTGAAGCCTTAATAACCGTCATACCAAGGCCTTCTCAGGCATGTAATGGGGACTTGGTCAGAGTCTAGGTCAGACACCCGACATTGCAACCTCTTATTAATATTATGACTAGGTTATACCTATGACTACATATACCTTACGTATATGCGGCGGAGTACATGGATGAGGGGATTTATCATGCAGGTGAGTCTACCGTCTAAAGCATCTAATTTGTTGGCGACGACATGGAGTAGTAGGGTATTGTATGTGTTATGTATGTGGTACGGGACCCTCCATCTTCCCTCCCTCAAGTATGTTTCCCCCCCACAAAATTATCTCTATCTCTCACTCATACGGGGGATCCTCTCGGAGCGGATTACCCTCCCACATCCAATCCCTCGGCATCAAATCGAATATGTAGACCGCGGACTATTTTCGTCATAATCGTTATGTTATCCCTTTATCCCTTTCTTCTTAGAACTATTGGACGGTTTCAAGCTTAGTATTTATCTACTAATGTATGTATGTGTGCCCGGAATTGCGGCCCACTCATCACCTTCGAGCTGAAGTGAAGCGAGCCTCGGGCCAGCTAGCAAGAAAGAGAGAGAGAGTGAGAGTGAGAGTGAGAGACTTGGAGCTGTCCTGTCCTGTCCTGTCGAATCTTTTTTTTTCTCTTCCTCTTCTCTCGTGTGCGCGGACACACCTTTTTTGGGCAAGTAGTTTAAGATCGATTTCCAAGAGGCCTCCCATGCTGTTCATGTCCCCACAGAGCAAGCGACCAAAGACCCTGCACACAACTCCTCTTTCCGTTACCGGGATCGCGACCCAAGATTTAATAAGTGACGCATTGCGGTCTACCGACAATTCAACGTCTAATTATCTTGTCTCGGTGATATTCTTTTGCTAAAATAGGGCCTTTTTAAACAGAAAAGTGCAGCTAGAGGTCCCAGATGTGCCTGATCCTAACTCTTCTACCAGATAGCGAAAGATATGTGCTAATAAGAACTAATAAGATACATCAATAATAATACCCTTTCCCGCAGGCATCCATGCATCATTACACTAGAGGGCTGCTGCTGCCGGGTCTTGCGGTCAGCGGCTTGCAGATGCGGCTGTATCATGGTGCGATATGTACTCTATCAAGTTCCACGTCACATATATGTACTGGGCTAGACCCTTTTACTCCTTCATGACTGCCATGCGTCCATTCTGAGTGGCTTTTGTATAGTGCTACCGAATCGTGCAATCCTACCCTTTCTTGCGTGGGCGGCACGTTGTTAGAAAGACAAATAGATGCGTTCTTTTACACATTGACCCCATTAATCGTCATATCCAGACTCGGAAGCTGAGGGCACATCCCCCCATTCGGTTTGTTAGTTATGATTCTCTTACTATGTAATATCCTACTGGCTACCTAATGTATGTAATATGTTAGTTAGTTACTACCTCCTATGTAATATGTATGTTTGTCCCAGCGTTTCCAGCTCCCGTGGGAATTCCCCCTTCCCCTTCCCTTTCCCTTGGAACCTTTCCCCCCCTCCTTGTTTCTACTATGTAATATAATATAATAGTTATAATTGATGTCTTGAGCGGTTATCCTTTGGGTTGAATTTGAAACCTATTAGTTTCCCATAGATCCGGTCGTGCCGCATTCTTGCACATAATATACATAATAGGTATGTAGGTGTGTAGAGTATATGCGAAGCGACCCCGCCTCATCCTAGATCGAGTCGCCCTGTATCCGTACATACATACAAAGATAGATACTGCCGCTCACCTTCGCGCGTATTGAGTGGATAGGTAGCCAAGAGGCACAGACCGCATATAGTCCCCAGATTCGCAAAAACCCACCTTGTAGATACCTGATAGACCTGATAGACCTGATAGACCTGATAGTGTGTCATGAATTCTCGCCGCGGTTATTTGCACTGACCTCAAAGTGGCTGAGCCAACGAGATTACGCAGATTCACGCTTGTGAATATGTAGAATGCAGTACACCTTTCCTTTCCTCTTACATTCCTTTCTTTCCCCTTCTCTATGATCCTCTCGACTCGCTACCATTGCTCTGTTCTGTTCTGCTCTGCTAAGCCCTCTTTCTTGGACCATTACTATCCTATGAAAGTTGTGCTATATGACGTTCGAGTACGTCTGAATGAAGGGGTATTGGTAGTTCCACTGGTATACGCCCATACGCTCATACGCTCATACGCCCCTCCCAGTAATCAATATTGGATCGCTATCTGGATCGCCGCATCTTTCCAATACTACCTGCTACATAGCAACATAGCGAGCGCTGCATTTGTCTGATCGGTGCCTTTATCCCCGCAAAAAGCCGGCCTAGATATATTCTAGTCCCATCTGACACACCCGACTCGACATCAAATTCCCACTCTATTCGTACCCTCACCCAGTTGGACGCATCTCTCGCACAGCAAATCCGTCGCGCTATCACTCGTTTGTCGATTTTGCTGTCGTCTGACAGATACGTATAGATATTCACATATACAAGCATACAAGCATACAAACATTGCCTTACCTACATATAACAAGAGTAGCGCAGGACTTGACACTTGAGCGAATCTGCAGAGTCCAGTTTGAAATTCGGATAGGAGAAACAACACCCCGAGGGGCAATATATCCCATCGCTAAATTGCTGCAGTTGCGGTAGGATTGTGAATTTACAACAATCGTACCTAATTGTTTTTCTGAGCTCTGGGAGGACGGTTAGCTGCCGAGGCTGCCGCACCGAAGGCAGGATCGAAAAAGCCGGGGTGTTGATGAGGCTTTGGAAGTTGCCAGGTCGCTAAGCAGGGAAAAGTCGCTAAAAAAGCCGCTAGACGGCGGAAACGGGGATAGCCCAGTTAAGGCGGCAGGTACAAAATATTGGAGTACGCGGGTACGGTGATACCAACTAGGTACGCTGGTACTTCGTACATGAATTAGGGTACAAGGGCAGATACGAAGGTAGGTACCTTTGTACATACCTCGTGCTGCCGGTGCGGTAAGTGACTTTTTATGTTTCTTTTCCTTGGGACCTGATGGCATGGCAGGTCCAGTCCTTGGATCATCCACTCGCAGCCGCATTCTTCGCCGCACGCCTCTTCCTTCTTGGTCCGTTCAACCTCTCATCATCAGTGGAGAATTTCGTACAACATCCCCAGACTCATCCCTCAATTGGGCTCTTAGACACGGGAAACCCTGAAAAAGGCGTGCCTTTTAACATATATTTTATATTATGTATAATTGCCGTATTTTTGTATTTGCTATATACCTCTATGTTGTATACCTATGTTGTATATGTACACTGGGTTAGGTCCCGTCAATGCTCAATGCTTTACCACATTGGCGTATTTCACTTTCCAAAAAAAAAAAAAAAAAAAACCCCTACTATGTTTTATGTATCTCCCGCTTCTCTTTCCCTAGATCCTTGTAACATGACTTCGCATTAATCGTTTCCTTTCCCTTTTTCCTTTCAGGTTCAACTCCTCACACCTCTTTTTTTTAATTCTCTTCCCGCTTCCCAAGGCTTCCCCACCATCCATCAAGTCCCAGAAGCGACATGACGGAAGAGACATCGTTTCTGACCTGAATTTTCCTGTCAGGATCCCTTCTGGATTACCGACCCCTGCAACCTCGTCCAAGCAGAAAGCTTATAAACCCCCGGTCTTATTAAATGCGGGTTTTGCCCTTAGGACCTGCCTATCACACGGCGCAATCTGGCAATTCGACTGATCCGATCCCATCGGGTTACCAGCGCCAAATCCAAGGATAACGACCTGCTTGTCTACATACCTACATACCTACCTACATACCTTACCTACCTTAGGTACATACACTAGTCAAACTAGACTAGCCTATCTAGCCTGTCTAGCCAAGACTTAAGGGCTAAGGTCTTGGCTAGCCTATGTTTCTGCGCGTCCCATCAACCCCATCCCACTTACCCAGACAACCCAGACAACCTAGACAGAAAGTCAGAGCGAAGAAAACGCGGCTCCGCAGCATCTCTCCCCCGCCTTACATTATTTGCGCCAAACCTTACCTGACCTGACTTGACCTGCCTTACCACGACGTTACCTACGCAGCATTACCGTACCACTCCAATCTCAAGTCGAATCTTCGGCGGTCACGAGGATATACTGATATACTGGCTTGAATCCTTGGCAACAACTTCAAATCCACATTGCAAGCTAGTCTCCGTCTTCCCATCCCTTCCCCCCTCCATCCCCCATAACCATCCCCCATCCAGGACAGGACATACTTGCCGTTATACCCACTGTCACCGTACCGTATCTACTTCCTATTGTCTAACCCAAATCTATCATTAACCGCATCCTTCTCCAAAGGTCTAATTCTAACCGAACCCTCCCCTTCTTTATTTTTCAACTCCCCCCTTGCTTTTTTATTATTTCTTTTTTTTTTTCTTTTTTTCCTCCGGCTCTGCCAATTTGCGCATTCTGGCCAAGGAACTGCTGAGTTTCTGAGCTGGATAGCGCGCACAACCACCCCGTATTTTAGCGATAGGGTCCAAGTCCCCACCAATCCGCGTGCGGCTCGTTGCGGCAGACAAGCCCAGTGCGCGGTGTTACTCAACTAACGGTCGAGCCCGTCTGCCCAATCGACTTGGTAAACCGGTGTGCGCCTGGATAACATTTCACAACTTCACAGCTTCACTTATTTGCGAATGGGAGGGCGACCGCGACTTCGATAGTGTTAAACCACGTTAGCGCAATTTGATCCAAACTCCCACAAGACAACCGGCAATCTTTATTTTGGTTTTCTGATGATGACTTGAGTCGCCCAATGCGTGAGTAACGGCCATTCCATGCTAGAGAGTGAAAGCATGACTGCGACCGTCGATTCGGCCCTCGCTCACGACCCTTCAGCTAGCGACGTGTACGATCCGGATGACGTTTTACCCCAGAACAGTCCCTTGATGAAGGCTCACCGCCCCAAACTCGAACCCTCGCCCTCCCCGCCGGCGTTACCTATTCCCAAAGTCAGTCTTTCTTCTAGCTCGGGTCGGATATCTTCTAATCGACGACAAAAGGTTCGTCCGAGCCTCGGCGATGCCGTGCTGATCCACTATCTTGACGGTGGAAAAAGGCCGGAAATCGTCGCCGAGGCATGGTCGCGACCGCTCGCTCATTACGACGACGAGGACGACGACGGACAAAGTAAAGGCGACACGGAAGAAACGGTCGATGAGTCGGGGGACGAGGATGATACTAGGAGTCACGAGATGTCCCCAGGTCCTGCACATCGCCGTGCTTTTCGTGCTGCCGAGTCGTCAGTATCAAAGTCGATAGATTTACAATTTCTCGCGACAAACGCGCTTGCTGCTGCTAAAGCGGCATCAAAACCGGTAGATACGGATGATTCGCAAATAGCTGATGACGATTCTAGAGTTGCGCAAAGAGCGACGCCCGCTCCAAGCTTCAGGACAAATGGCGCACGAGATGATATCGTGATGAAGGATGCAAATAGGCCCGTTCTTCAGGCGCCTATCTCTCCTTATGCGCCGCAGGGTCCACAAGAGATGTATTCCCCTCGGAATTACACACCAAGCCAGGTCCTGATGCATCCAAACAATGTTCGATCGCCGCCTGGTTTAAATACTCCCACCGATCGTGGGGAGTTGCCTCCGATCCAAGAGGTGTCCCCGAAATCCGACTCGACTAACCATGATCCGCTGCCCTCTATAAGGGCTCAGCTACTCGATCAGTTCACAGGTCCTCCGAAAGAATTGGCGATGCGTAGCGGACCTCAGTATCCTCACTCCCCCCCAGGTGGCCCACCGCGCATGGGCGGAATTCCCGGGAGCCATGCATCACCTCCGATATCTCCTAATGATGCGTATCGCCCAGGCATGCCTTCTCCAGCTCACACACTCCCTGCTATGAGTCCTTTTTTCTACCCAGGTGGCAATAATACAAATCATCATCGATCTGGTCAGGATTATAGTAGTGGCAGCAATGCGGACACTCCAGGTGGTAGCGGTGGTGATACTTCGACACCTGCCACTTCCATCACGGAACGGATGAGCATTGATAATATGACAAATCCCGCAATTGGCGCATTCGTTTGTACCGTACAAGGCTGTACCGCGCCCCCGTTCCAGACACAGTATCTGCTCAACTCACATGCAAACGTACATTCTTCCGCTCGTCCCCACTACTGTTCTGTAAAAGGATGTCCGCGAAGCGAGGGTGGAAAAGGCTTCAAGCGTAAAAATGAAATGATCCGTCATGGTCTCGTCCATGATTCGCCTGGGTACGTGTGTCCGTTCTGTCCAGATCGGGAGCACAAGTACCCCAGGCCAGATAATCTACAAAGGTGAGATATTTCTTCAGGACTAACAAAAGCAAGTCAAGCGGGTTTTAATCGTAGAGTTAGGCACGTACGGGTTCACCATGTCGATAAAGATAAGGATGATCCAGCCCTTCGCGACGTGCTTTCGCAGCGACCTGACGGACCTAATAGAGGACGGAGACGTCGTGGCGGCCCGTGAAGATTTTGGGGAAGCGGGGTAACGAGAAAAAAAAACGAGCAACGCGAAGAATGAATGCTTCTGACGATACGATATATTACCATTCTATTTTAGATGTACATATGGTGCAGATGATATCCCGGAGGGTGGCTGGTTCTAAAGCTTTGGACGCTGGTTGTCGCGTCGTCGATATTTGATTGGGGGACGGGGGTTTCTACGGATCATACCTCGATCAAACGGGAGGAGTTGGCGTTCTGGGCGTAGCCAATTATACCACATAGGGGAGTGCTTATTGCTGGGCTTTTTTTTCTTCTTCTGCTTTTTTTATGTTTACGAACGTTTTGCTCTACATACACTACATATACCTACTCATTCGCTTATTTTGTCCCTCCCCCTTTTTCCCTCACCACCACATGCATTATTCGAAAGGCAGGGAGCAGCTCGGAATAGGGCTGGGCTCCCTTGATACGACGGTTGATAGTCGAGGAGTGCTTCGCATCATATAGCTGGCCTGGCAAGAAATCTACCTACTTACCTAACCTCATCATGTCCATTGTTCAGACTTGGAGAGGTATAGTTGCGTAGTAGGAGGTACTACGTATGTACCTACACTGGCTATTATAGGAACTCCTTTTAGCTAGCGAGCCATATGATGGGAGGATTGTTGGTTACCTACGTAGGTAGGTATGGCTAGCTATCTACCCTCTTCCATAGAGGTAGTGTAGAATATAAATCATGAATTATCTACGTCACCGATATTGCGGCTTTTGAATAGAAATCCGATAAATGAAAGGCACGACGAAGAGAAATGAAGAATACATCATATATAGCGGCCCCTTTTTTCCCTTCCCCTTTTTGTCTTGTGATAAACGCTTTAAAATCCTGAAAAGCAATATGGATATATAACTACCTAAGAGGTAGCCAATAACCTAGGTAGCTGCAGTGTCCAAGCAAATGGGTGTATACGTCAGGTACCACAACAAGCCCCTATTCCTTCATCCCCGCGTTTCTTACCCATCATTCCACGCTACTATTCCGTTTCAATCAATACAACAACATAAACCACTTGCTCGTAATTTCTTCCGTATCGCTTCCTATATTACCCCTTTTCGACGTTCTCATTCTTTCTAATTTATATAGGTACCTACTTAGGTAAGTACCCAGGTAGGTAAGATATTGATATCCATATTCAGATGACAAAATCACGTAATAATCGACCTCATCCCGTCAAATCACACATTCACCGTCTCCCACATGCCAACCTGTACCGGCCCCTCGCTGAGGATCTCTACTTGCAGTTCGCCGCCGCTACCGTCGCCTATCGACGGCGGGGAGTGGTATAGACCTAACTGCTCGACGACAAGCCATAGCCCGCTGCCGCGGGGGTCGATATCGAACTCGCTCGTGCGCAGTCCGTTAGCACCAACTTCTCTAAACTCGCCTGTGTTGCTGGCGATACTGTCCGTAGACGCTATGACTAGTTTGTCGGGCCCCGTGCCATATTCGATACTCGCGCGCACGGTAGGGTGCGATCGCGGCGTGCTGGCGCCTCCTCGGGGTGTAGCGCGATAGTTGTCTCGCATTGTCACGACGACGCTTGCGCGCGTGAGCCGCGCGGCTGAAACGGCGGCGCGCTTCTTTTTGTGAACTTCGCTATCGGAAGACGAAGAAGATGACGACGGACCGCGGAATACGAGATCCGGTAATTGCATGCGTAAGCGGCCTGCAGCGTCAGCTGGCACTGGGGCTATGGTGCAACTGATATCGGAACCGACGCGTAATGTAAAATCGGCCAGGCAGCCTGGTTCAAAAGTTGAGCATACGACAGTGTAAGTGCCAGCGTCAACATTGGGTGCCTCGGCGAGTGCACAGCCGCGTCGGTAGTCGCCCGACGTGACGACCAGATCACGATTTCCGACGGCTGTGACGCGGCGACCACCGGCCCATACCACGTCAATATGCACAGGTAGGTCATCACGGGCGGTAGATAGTAGGAGTGAAAGAGGTCCTGCTCGGGGGAGAACAAGGCTGAATTGAGGGTTGTCTAGATAACTGGCAGAAGCGGCATTGCCGCCGGCGGTGCGGCGCGTCCAGGATCCATTCACGTCTATGTAGTAACGGAAGACGGGCTCGGCTGGGGCGACGACGAGAGGAGCGCGTGAAAAGAATGATAGGGTAAAGGAGTACTGTGGGAGGGGTAGTTCTTGAGCGGCGACGACAACAGTGTAAGTGATACCACGCTTGGCTTCGAAGGGCGCGAGCGTTTGCGGGGAGTCTATAAAGTCACTGCGGAAGATGGGTTGGGTGCTTAGCTGCACACGTTTGCCTCCGCTATTCGCAAATATGTATATACTTATAAAACCGAGTCTGTTAGACACCTCGGCGAGAGAGGAGATGGTGGCATCGTCGTTGTCGGTAGCACGGTACTTGCACATAATATTGAGCTCTTCGTCTTGGAAGTGACGGCTTAGTAGAATCCAGGTGCTGCCGTCTACCGCAGTAGACATAGAATACTGGGGGTTGTGTGCAAAGGAGCCAGCCATAGTAGCCTCGGGGAGCTTCCAGGTGAAGTGGTGGTCCTGGCGCTCGGTGAAGAGGCTCGGGTTCCAATTCAGATAGAGAGATTCGAAGTTTTGTGTCACATCATCGAAACTGATCCAGAAGGAGCCTGGCTTCAACTTGACGGGGTGATCATCTGTTACTTGCTGTGATGTATCGAACGAACCTGCCCCTTTCCAGCTGAGACCGTCGCACCATGGGTTTTTGACCAATAATCTCCTACTCTCTGATGTCTCGGACATATCAAGAACCGCGTAGTCGTGCTCTCCTGCTAACCCCAACGTCTCCTCCTCATCCGGTGAAAGCCGCCTCGTCCCTAACGTCACTACTACGTCGCCGTAATCGTAAGCCTTCTTGACGCGCTTCCACGTGCGGTCCCAGTCTACTTCATCACTCTGTAGGAACAATTGCTGCGGTATCCAACCCGTCAAGACGTATAAGTCAGTACCGGAGTTACTTCCTGGAAAGTCGTACCCGCCCCGAACCTTCAGATAGGCCTTCTCCATAAGGGCAGGCCAGATGAGATCCGGATTTTGACGGTCTACAACATAGAGAGTACGGTCCGTTGAGGATGAAGGGAGGCGATCATCAATGACAACTTTACGGAAGCAGCCGTTGAAGAACATGCGAAACATATACTTCCCATTGGCTGAAAACTTCGGCTGTCCACTCTCGGAGTCTATGGGGAACATTAGGGCCGGTAGGATAGATGTAGGGCCCGGACGCAGGTGACGCATACTGGCGCAGAGGCTCGCAACGACAGAACAGTCTGTTGTTATGTCCTGGACTAGGTCATAGTCGTGTTGGGCCTCCATTAGGAAGTCATTGTTCTGTTCAGCAGAATTCGGTGGGGTCTCTCGACCCAGAATCTCCAAGGGTCGTTTCCAGCCTGAGAAAACTGCTTCCTGGCGAGTAGATAATGAAAAATTCGAAGGATCGTTAAAAGCATTGCCGCTGAATTCATTAGGAGTAGGATCTGAGTCCCATGGCGGAAAGATACTCCCACAAAGCCGAGAATTGCGAAGTAGGATAGTTTGCTCGCTCGTAGGAATTTTGCGTACTGGTCGTGGCAGCTTCAGACGCTTCTCTACTGCAGCGACGCTACCCCCAGCTTGACATAACTTCTTGAGGTTTTCGGCCTTAGAAAGTAATGATTGGCATTTTTTAATCAGACGGCTTTTATCCTCGGGGCTTGATGCTACTTGGGCTGCTTTCATATACAGTTCTGCAGCCGTTGTAGCATGATCGAGGGCTTCTCTGCCTTGAGTCCTAGAGGACAACGCCTCTTGTTCCTAAACACGGTTAGATTTCAAATGGACTCCCATGAGATTGCTATTTACCTTTGCCTTTGCCTCCATAGAGGATAGGTTTTACTGCTTTAATTATCGTGGCATCTGGGTTTTAAATCGACCGCGCTCGCTAGATGAGTAGGGGGTTTAATAGGTAAAGGTTGGGGGACGCAGTTAAAAACTCCACGTCAACTATTACTGGCAAACAACAGCAGCATCATATCCTTCGGAAACTCGTCTGTTGGACGTCCCCAGGGCATTAAAAACGGAATTTTAGGTTCGTGTTTAACGACCTATGTTATGTGGATAGGTGTTGAAGAAGACGGTGTTACGTTATCAATAATTGACATGGCCCACGGAGACAACGCATATCATTGTATGGGTAAAGCTCCAACTGGGTGGATGATACGAATGACATCAATATATATATAGGTAGGTATATAAAAAAGAGACGAAGTAAAAGAGATGATTTGATTATGTTACTTCATTTTGAAGTTTGTATAAGCTGGTGAGATAGTTGACCTACCTATTACTACCCCACATTGAAAACATGTTTGTAAGTTCTAGCGTGATGATTCACGATAGTGCCTTCGGACCTTTTTTTATAAATTGGGCTGTTGCTAGCTATGTGGATTTATTAGTTGTTAAACTAACTTTCTATTAGGTATGTTGCACAGATAAGCACATGGCTTAGGGATAAGACATTATTACATAAGGTAATGACAGTGGACTTGGAACTTAGGTGAAACCTGGTTTTCAGATCGGATTAACAACATCCCGGGAGTGGACCTACACTTTCTTCCCGCATTCAACTTGATTAGGTCGTGTGCATTCCTCTACCTAGGCTACGCTAGGTAGTTGCCGACGGTGGTGGACCAGCCCAGTAATGGCCGAGGTCCATTATTCACGGGCGCTCTTTTTAAACTCGGCTTTGCATATTAGATCCCCGATTTTCGCATCACCGGAGTGACGACGTCAGGACAGCTTCATTGTCCTACGCAGACCCGGGGGATTAATATTTTCCTCATCCTTTATAATTATTTCTTAGAGTGGTCTGGGCTAGTACTTTACGGAAATGTATACAGACATTTGAATCGCATCCTTCATTCTATATTCCATGGTGTGGTAGCAACTAAAAACAAAAAGCAACCGAGTGGCTTTTAACCATAGGGCTTTATCCATACTCGTACAGGTAGTCTTACTTCCGCCTTTCGATTAGTCAATTGCGATTTAATCTTGTTCCATAAACACCGACGTCGTCAACCAGAACATTTGCGGAGTGTGAGCTTTCGATTGAGGCGAATATATATACCTAAATCAATTGTAGGAGATATCGAATAGCTGCTATGGCTGTGCAGTCAAAACCTGCTCCGCTACCGTCATGGGGTTTCGCCGTAGCTGGTGCTACGGGCGCCGTTTTAGCTAATGCATTAGTATACCCGTTGGATATGTAAGCTATTCTTCAGGTTTGCGCGGAATCGGTACTGATTACATGTTTGTTTCTACAGAGTAAAGACACGTTTGCAGGTCCAGGTTAAGCGAAAGCCTGGTGATACGAGCGAACACACCGACCCTCATTACACGTCGACGTGGGATGCTATCACTAAGATTACAGCAGAGGATGGAGTCAAAGGATTATATGCGGGCATGAATGGTGCGCTATTGGGAGTCGCTTCGACTAATTTCGCCTACTTTTATTGGTACTCAATCGTGCGAGAACTTTACTTCAAATCGCAGAAAGTTTCGGCCCCACCGTCTACGGCCGTTGAGCTGGTACTGGGCGCCATAGCTGGTGCCGTAGCCCAGTTATTTACGATTCCGGTGGCCGTGGTTACGACGAGACAGCAAACACAAAGCAAGGCGGATAGGAAAGGCCTCCTAGATACGGCTCACGAAGTTATTGAAAGCGAGGATGGCTTCTTCGGTCTTTGGAGGGGACTGAAAGCCAGCTTGGTACTGGTAGTCAACCCTGCTATTACATATGGCGCATACGAGCGATTAAAGGGCGCTTTCTTCCCTGGAAAGGCCCGCTTGACTGCTGGAGAAGCTTTTCGTAAGTTTACCCTGATGTGATTGGAAACAGTAGACAAAGAGTAGACTAACCAAGAATATAGTCCTTGGTGCTATGTCGAAAGCCTTAGCTACAATTGTTACACAACCTCTAATAGTTGCAAAAGTTGGCTTGCAATCGAAACCCCCGCCACAACGTGAGGGAAAGCCATTCAAGGGTTTCATCGAAGTGATGCAATTTATTATCAAGCATGAAGGTCTGCTAAGTCTTTTCAAGGGCATTGGGCCCCAGATTATAAAGGGTTTCCTGGTGCAGGGAATACTCATGATGACCAAAGAGCGGTAAGTTTTAGTATTATTATATCGATTTAACTCTGGGCACTCATATACTAACTTCTATTCGCAGGATGGAATTTCTATTTATCCTCCTATTCAGATACGTTCGTAAGATTCGATCAGAACATCTCGCTAAAGCAGCTGAGTTGGCGGCAGCCACTGCTTCCAGAGCGAAGCTCGCCGTTCCTGTTACAATTAAGTAGTCGAGTGAGTCTCTTAGAGAAGAATTTTAGAGGCGAAAGAAAACACATATACGCAAGTATATACTAAACAGGAGACAATGCATTTATATAATCGATTATGAGTTAGGAGTACAGGCAGACTAGGCGCAAGTATATAAGAATGTCTTTTTAGGGATGTTTTAGAATCATATTCATAGTGAAGTCAAATAGTTTTAGCGCGAATTAATAATTGAATGAAACAAAAGCACCTCTATAGGTATTATACTTGCCATAAGAGATAGAGGTTTCTTGGCTTGAATTCTGTTTTTAATATCTCTATTCATTGTAGGATAGGTACCATATACATAGGTATGTAATCTGGGTAAAAGTACTTAACCTAGGTAGATTAATATTGTGACACCCCCACCTAGCGCAATTCTTAGAAAGCCACTAGTTATCATTTATCAAAAAACACTGTGGCTTGACCCCTCGCTTAATTTTTTGCCCACAACTGGTAATAGCAGACGCACCAACTGAACTTCTATCTTTTCATTGACAACATCAACCTTCGTCGATTACCGTGTGTCCTCAAACAAACCGACGTCAATCCAGTCACAATGGCGAGTAAGTTACGAATATTATGCACTAGTTATCGGGGAATGGTCAGCTCACAAATTTATCATAGAGTCCAAGAATTCGTCTCAGCACAACCAGTCGCGCAAGGCTCACCGTAACGGGTATGTCCATTTCGAGTCGATATAGCTATTTCGATGAAGCTTTCTAGATAGTCTACACCCGCCGAATCCTAGCTGACGAATTGGTGGTGTATAGTATCAAGAAGCCAAAGACCAACAGATACCCCTCTCTGAAGGGAACCGACCCCAAGTTCCGAAGAAACCATAGACATGCTCTTCACGGTACCATGAGGGCTCTGGTACGTCACTCGTCCTATCGCGCACACATAGCTTGACTATGCGTATTGCACAAATAAGCATATGCTGACGATCAATACAGAAGGAGCTGAAGGATGGCAAGCGAGAGACGGCTTGAAGTGGTGGATAAATGGGTTCCGAGACACGACGTCGCGAATGCGCATCAGGGCACGATTTGGGGTCATTCAGGCATGATCAAGGAGTCAAGGTTATGCATTTGCTGCTTGTATCCAGGCACAGTCTTCTACAATAAAGAGGAAGAGGTAACCAACTGAGTTACATTCGCCAACGACTTTCCTGCGCCTTCGCGATTTTTCTCCCTTTTGCTGCGCCTAGTATAATCGTAAGTTGGTCTAATATGTGATGACAAAACGGCATATGTGTGTACAGTTCTAGGCCTACCCCATGCCTATCTACTGAAGGATATTTCTTCTCGTGCCGAGAGCAACTCGCCAGTCAATTACCAAACACTCGTGCTTCGACCTGCTCTAAGGCAAGAGTGCATGGAGACTAGGCAACATTCCTGGATGGTCTATTTCATGTTATCAATGGACTCATCTTTTCCCTATCTATAGTCGTATATCTGCTCAAAAAGATGACAATGGACAAGCCAATTATTAGGTGCTTCTATACCATAGGTACCTTATATTATAATCAAAGTCACGTGATACAGGTATATTCCCTCTTAGCATGCTTCTTGATTTACCTGGATGAGATATATCTAATGTGATGTCTCAATATCTATACTCAGAGTTACATGTATGGTATACAATCGAGAATATCCCAGGGTCGAGGATTCAGACTGACTTGAGACAACTTCTGACGATATACTTCATACCCTTCTGTTTTAGATAACGTTGTTAGGAATGGCCTCCAGCTATGATTGATATAAAATATATATAAATCGAAACATATACGTGTTCTTAATGTAATTCGCATAAGTTCACAGCCGCCGTACGCTCACGGTCCAATCTATCAGTTCTTCAATATAAGGTAAGTATGGAACATAAAGGGTGTGTGTGGATGATCACGCCCTAGCGGACAAGTTAGGCGTTTCGAGTTCTCCTAGCCGCACTAATAGGGGACCTGTACGAAGCAACGAACTCCTTTATAGTAGGTGCCTATAATGGATATATGTAATGTATAATCCAGGGGCTGTAACCGTAAGCCTTCCGGGCCAAAAAAGACTTCGTCATTGCTGTTATTTTAGTTGGTGTAATTGGGGTCCTAGGTACATAGGTACCAATGTTGTACGCTATACTGTGCTACCTCTATCGCACGTTTAGATTGAATTTTAGCGCTGAGCCGTCTAAACGCATGCAAGTCGACACTTCTTGCCTCAAGGCTTAGACAGCACGAGCTACGTCCGACTAATAAGGTTAAGAATGCCTTACCAAAAATAAGGCACCTGCCTTATGTATGTAGGGGATGTTACTTTACGCGGTGCACACTTTATGTACTTACATATATGTACATATGTACATGCATATTTGAGGCAACATCTATGTACATTGACCGGGAAGCGGGCTGTAGCGGGCTGTATATGTATCCACAAAAAAAAGGGTTACGGATTACGGGGCGGTCGGCCTTCTGTTGGAGAACTGGTGCTTCCATCCATAGGATCCTTAGCCTCTTGTAACAGTGCAGAAAGTGCAGCCTTTATGCCAAGGGTCTTTCCGAAAAGAGACCAGGCTTTGTGCCCGAATCTGGCCAGTCCTTTGCTCTAGTCTCGAGTCTCCAGTCAATTCTCTACAGCTTCTTTTTTTCTCCTTCCCTTTTCTTCACATCCTCTTCCTCAGCAGCTCGAGGGTAACCCTGCCGCTGGTTCCTTTCTTTTTGGCCCTGGAGTAGAAGTTGATCTCAGTGTTATTGCTTGGTAAGTTCTGCTTGCTTTTTTGTCTTCTGCATCTCGTAACCCGTCGCATTCAATTCCGAATTAAAATCCCCTTGGACAATATTACGGTCATGGAAATTTAGCACCTATCACCGCTATGTCAGACGAGTTTGGCGAGTCTGACTGGCCTTTGTTGCCTCACATGTCAGAACTGTCATCTGTCATACAGCCTCTATTCTGTACCTACATCTACCTAGATTCCTCATCTTCGGATTAGATCAGTCATCCGGCATACATACCGCTTCCCCTGTCGAGGCGGCTTTGATCTTTAACCAACGATGCATCGTTTACTAACATATACTTATCGCAGTCACCTATCTAATATTCTGCATTATCAATAATCACTTCGTTCCCAACTGCCTCCTTTCAAAGACTCCTTTGAGGTCAGCAGGCTACTGCAGGAGTTCTCGAGAGAAAGAAAAAGGTATTCTACCATCGTTCTCTGCTAGAGAGTTGAGCTCGAGCCTTGCAAGTCAATCATATCACGAACGACGTATACAGGAAACTATTACGCTAGACTTCCCTGTTCAATTGATTCGCCGACGTTTTAATTCCTATCGGTCTCTTCGCCCTGAAAAGTGTCACAAGTTGACAACGAATCCTCGCCGGGCTATTTAGCAATATAATCGACATCGCTATCACTCTAGTATTCTATTATATCAACTATAACTATAGTTCTTCAAGGTTATATCATCGAGGGATAGTCTTACCGTCGTTGTCTCATTGCTATCGTGCAAAGACCTGAGCGTTTTTTATTTGGCAAAGACACGAATATTAGCTTTTCGCTGCATCATTTAGCTACCGACCATTTACAGCTTCTCGAAATTTTGCTACGATATCTCGCCAAACTCTTTAGAATCTACAACTTCAACGATACTATCAGCATGAACCGAAACAGCACTCCGGAGGCCTCGACTGCTTCGTCACTCCGTCCGCCGTCATCACGAACAGCCGCTACTAATAATCACCACCTTCGCGCATCCGCTGACATGGCCGCTCTTGCTGGTCCCGCGACGTCGAATCGTATCCGTCCATCTTCGGACTTTTATGGCCAACAAGGCCAAGGTCAAGGAGCTGCTGATGCAGACCCACAGGATAAAGTGACCCAGCAATGGATTGCTGATATTGATCAGTACGAGACAACTCTGGAAGAAATGGCTGCCGCCACCCTGGATCAGGATTTCAAGGACGAACTCAGTGCTATTGAACAGTGGTTTCGGGTCCTATCCGAGGCTGAGCGTACTGCTGCTTTGTATGCCTTGCTTCAGCAAACTACCCAGGTCCAAATTCGTTTCTTCATCCAGGTCCTTCAGCAAATGGGAAAAAACCACCCCATGTCTGGCGTGCTATCCCCGGCCAATTTTGACAAAGGTGTGTTTGGCGATAGTTCCGCCCTATTTACCGTGATATAATACTGACCATCTTACTCTCCATAGATCCCATGTCGAATCGTCTAAGCGATGCTATGAATAAGTTGAACGTTGGGTCAGCTAGGAACTCGCTTTCGCAACCGCAAGCGTCGACTAAGAGACACTCTGGGCTTGACCCATCAACTATAAATGCTATGTTCCCTGATGCTGCGGCTGCCATTGCCACTGAAAAGGCCAAGTTTACCCAACAGACCGGAAACCAGCCTCCTTCAAACCGCAACAGCACAGCAGTAGATATCCGAAGCCCTTTAGGTGCACCAACCATCTCCGCGCCGACCGAAGGACTTGATCCCAATGCACAGAATCCCGCGTCGCCTTGGGACCAAAGTGGCTCGCGACCCAAGTCATCATCCGGTCAGACTCCCATGGGCCAGTTTGTTCAGCCCCCACCTTCGGCAGGTTTGAGATCGCCTCGACCCCAACTAGGCGGTAACAATAATATCCAAAGTACCACGCTCAATGCCCCAGACAAGTCGGCTAACGAATTGCCGCTTCTCTCGCCATACGCGGCTGGAAGTGGAAATTGGGCTTCAATGGTGAACACCCCTATGGTTCCAACATTTAACACTGGTAATTCCGCCAACCAGGCAGACATGGTCGCCAATGCGACGGCAATGAAACTCGCGGCGTTATCTACAGTCAACAATCGTTTCGCCCTTGATGATGTACGCAAGTACCGAAGAGCCCGTTCTAACGACGCGCCTGGTCAAAGCCAGAATTCTATGCAATCCGTACCCCAGGGATCAAATATCCCTGGCACAAACATCATCATGGTCAATGAGCATGGCCAGGTTCTGAATAGGGATCAGATGCTTGCCCTACAGAACCATCAGGCCATGGGTGGGTTCGCAGCCCACAGATCTCGTCCAAACTCTCCTGGCATAGCAATGCAGGGTTTCGGACAAGTGCCTTTTGCTTCTCCGCAAAATAACGGCTTCCTAAGTGCGTACGATAGCGCGCAGAACCCGCTCCTAAACAACGGACTTGGTGCCATCAGCATGGGTCAACTTGGTGTGGGTGTTCCCGAGGGTTACCTGTCTGATCACTCGGATATGGTTCGTGGCCGATCGCCCCGTGGACGCCGTGGAACCTCGAAGCCCCCGGAGGATCCTACTGACCCGACCCTTCTGCAAGATATACCAGCCTGGCTTCGAAGTCTAAGACTGCACAAGTACACCGACAATTTGAAGGACATGAAATGGACGGATCTGATTGAACTTGATGATAAGGCTCTAGAAGATCGCGGTGTTAATGCCCTCGGAGCCCGCAGGAAGATGTTGAAGGTATTTGAACAAGTCAAGGGTAAATAAAATTTGTTCCCTGCGCCTCTCTTACAGAATTGCTAACACATACACAGAGGCCAAGGCAGATGGCAAGCTGGGCTAGCCGCTGTAACTTAATAATGATGATATTTGTCCACTACGACTGAATCATCACAATTTGAAGATGGATTTTGAAACGAAAAGAAAAAAGAAGAAAAAGAAAAAAAAAAGCCGTTGCCATGAATTAGGCTGAGGGTCTTTGATATTTACTCGGCATCCTAGTCGTGGATTGAGAGATTTCAGTCAAGATATGAGAATAGAGTTTATATGAGCGGTTAGGAAAATATTTTGCTTTTCGCATCGGATAAAGGTTTGGACAACAAACCCAGGTTGAGATTTGGTGGCCATGACAAAAGCTATCAAGCGGTCCTCTGATAGCAGATGAGGTTGTTGTTGTAAGGTATGCGTGTACACAGATTATCACTATTAAGACGTAAACATCTTTATCTTTATCCGAAATGAAATATAAGGGTCTTCCAGTTGGAGATGTCGTAATAAGCAAGCCGATTTAATACGCCTTCAAAGCCATCGGAAATGTATCTACCTAATTAAGTGACTATACGAAGTAGTGACTTTACCTTGATATATTGTTTTTTTATAAGTCGTCACGATGGCTTATGAATTTACTCGTTTCCATTGTTAGTTATACCTCGGTTAAATGCATTCGAGTATGTAGATAAGCCATCTTTTTAATTAAAGGACGGGACTTGCCAATTTAGGTAGAATTTCGAGCTACTTCGTACCTACGTACTTGAAATCTTCACTTATACGCAGTAACCTTCTCTACTTCTTCAACACGGTTTGCGATACCTTCCACTACTTACCTCCGCGATTTTCTTCATAAGTCATCCGGAATGGTCAATGTCAAGCCTCCGCTGCTCATATCAACTGATTGGGGTTAGCTCGTTCTAAACACGCTGTGTGCCATCGGCCTCCTTCTAGTTGAGACCATCTAGGTAAACCAAGACGCCATCCCGTTCTCCTTTTTCCTCACAAGAAACTTATGCGGCACCTCATCATCTCACCATGAGTCATCCATTTTCGTCTACATTTGACGCCCTCCAGGCGCACTTCACTCAGAAGTCAGACAAGCCAAATTCAACAAATCCTCATCCAGGAAGCACAATCCCGCCACCTCCACAGACACAACCCTCTTCTCAATTTGCTCCGGATACAACCCAGTACGAGAGGCTCAGCATTGGCCCAAGTCATATGCAAAATGCCTTTCATCCTTTACCAAACACAACTGCAGGAGCGTTGCGGCCACAGCTAAATAGCAATGTCTCCATGCCTAGGTCGAACTATCCGGCGATTCGACCTTATCCGCCCCGGGAGATTCGACCTCTTCTGAGGAAAGAAACGCCATCAATGATGTATCCGCATCAACCTGTTCATCCCAATACGGTTAACTCACAAGACTGGAGTTTTCCTTTGGGTAGTGTGCCGAGAGATGTACCAAACCCTTATCCACCCCCAGGGGCTCCTCATAATGAGAGAAGTCTCCCCCAGTCGCATAGCTCAGCACGCGACTCACACAGTATGCCAGTCAACACAGCGCTCCAAGTGATAGCTGTAGAAGACGAAGCAGATCCGATGGATTCCGCTACCGACGCGCTCCTAGAGCGACAGAATCACCTCAATTCGGAAAATCCCATGCCAAAACTCCGTCCTATGCGTGGGCTTATCAGAAAGTACCTTCGTGCTGATATCAAGCCAGACCGTCCTCGAGGTGGCCACGGTGGTCGAGGCGCTAAGAAGCGAGGACCCAGGAAGGCTGCCGAGCCAACTGGCGATATTAAATATCGCCTTAATATGGCATCAAATGCGTACATGGATGGGCGTATTGATGAAGCAATCGACTTTGTAAATGATGCTATTCGTATAAATGCTGAGACTTATCGGGCTTGGGTTCTCCTAGCTTCGTTACGCCAGGAGAAAGGTGATAGAGAGGGGCATTTCCATGCACGGCTGTTCGCCGCGCATCTACAGCCAAAAATCATAGACGAGTGGCTTCAGTGCGCAGAGCTAGCCATTGCTCTTCGAGAGGAATTTCCAGACCAGGCAGATGAGTATCTCGACAATGCTGACAAACTTTACTCGAGAGCCCTAAGAATCGACAGCAAGCATAGCGGAGCACGTCATGGGAGAGCCGCGGTACGTTTTGAAATGGGCCACCTTAAGTCAGCAGTCAAAGACTATGCCGCCTTAGTTGAGCAGTGCCCATTCGATATATATGCCATCCGTAGTTATGCTGAAATATACGTTCTGCTCGCGGACACCGGAAACCCCCGGTTTGCAGACGGCCCTAGCAAGGTCATAGAGGCATATCGACGTTGCATCGCCCACTTTCGAGTAAATGGATTTGATCTTCAATATCCCTTTGACTGGCAAGACATCAAAATCTTCGTCGAACTTCTTGCGTATATTGAACACTTCGAAGATGCTATTCATGAGCTAAGATCATTATCAAGGTGGCTCCTAACTCGATCGGATGAGGCGTTTTGGGATAGCCAAGGGGACGACTGCGAATGGGATGAAGATAGCACGCGACGATTAGAAGTAGGACAATATCAAGATGGAAAGCATCCTATTTCATCTTACGGCAAAGGTCTTCCACTGGAACTAAGAGCAAAACTTGCTGTGTATCGCCTCAAACTTGGTCAAGAGGATGAAGCTATGGTAAGACTGCATACTCTAGTGTTGCCATCAAAAAACTAACACAGATCAGCGTCACTTAGCGTTTATTGATCCAGATATTCTTCATACGCCTGAACTACTCCTAGAGCATTCGCATCTCATGATTGATGCAGCTTCGGCATTGTACGAGACGGGCCGCCTGCCCATGGCCTTACGCTTTTATGAACCGCTCCGAGAACCTGACCTTCTTGATACCGAGTCTCTTATCCGGGCAGGTCAGTGTTATTTGGACGCGGGAGATAAAAGACAGGCCGAAGAGTGTTTTACAACTGCCATCGATCAGGATGAAGCTAATAGCGAAGCTTGCATCGATGCACGCTACGAATTAGCAAAGATGTACGAAGCCGCAAGAGAAGAAAGAGAGGCCTATATCCTTGTAAATGAAGCCATAAAACTACAGGAGGCCCACGATCAAGCTCGTGAAGAGGCCCGTGGAGACGACGAAGATTTGGGAGAGGATAATGATGAAGGTCGGGTGTCAGACGACGATACTTCGCTACTCGAAACCGCCTTGGGGCGTGTCACTGGAGAAGATATAAGTGCAAACCCAAAGAGAGTCAAGCGCCTACTCAAACCAAAGGGCGAGAAACCGAAGCTGCTAAAGCCCAAGTCAAAGCCGAAGGAACGTAGACCCAGAGCACAACCAGATCCATCAAGGAGACGGCGCAAGGTGTTTGGTCACACTGATGAAATGCAATTGGAAGAGAGGAGAAGGGCGGACGAGTTATCCGAAGCATGGAAGGTCGTGCGTGACTCTCGAATTTCGACCAAAGCTGATTCTAATGGCCCATCCAATGCATTTTTATCCGCAGCTCGACTCCTTGTTGATGATTTTAGATCGTACAAGGATTTCTATAGTTGGGATAAGTATCTGGCGCATCTTGGCATAAATCAGGCCCGTGAGAAGGTCGAAGCCCGAAAAGGAAATCCAAACCTTCTAGCCATGGCCGAACGTTTATCCAACAGTAAGTTGTAATATCCAAATGGTAACGAGTTTATACTAATCCAAATATAGACCTAAATCCAGAGGACTCTGGCGCCGAGAAGCAGATCAAGGTAGCCGTGAGCTATCGAGGTGTCTCGTTTGCCGAGTGGCTTGACCTTTTCCTCGAATATGCCATCGGTCTAGCCCAAGTCGGGAGATTTCAGGATGCTTATAAAGTATGCGAATCTGCTCGCGATACCACGATATTCTCCAAGTCTAAAGAGGACGTGTTCTTAATACACGTAACGTGGGCTGGTAAGATCCTCCTCCTCTCTGATTGTAAGACGGACCATAGCTAATACAATATAGCATGTGCATTACGTAGTAGAGACGAGGAGACGTGTGTAGCCACAGCTCGTTGGCTCATGAGGGAGTATCAGTATGATACAGATCCTTTCCGGATGTTCTCTACCTTATCCAGATTATGTCCATCGCCAGCATCATGGTATGCCTCTGGTCCCGTCCAGAAGTATATGCTACGACAGATCAAGCTCATGGACCGCGCTATTACCGCGGCGGCAGGGGCTGAAGACAGCGGGGACGAAGAGGGTGTACCTAGCGGCAGGGTATACCCAAGTAAGGAGTTGGACATCACGTTGTTAATGCTTTACGGACATATTTTGTTTATATCGAACAGCTTTACTTACGCGTTAAGTGAGTATAAAGATTTACATAATGATCTATCGATTTGTAGGCTACTAGGACACTAACACTGTTATAGACTACTTCATGAGAGCCTATACTCTAGATCCGACCAACAGTATGGTCATTCTTAGCGTGGGCCATTGCTATGTCCACTACGCATTGAAGAGGCAAGCCGAGAACCGGCAATTCCTCTTAACCCAAGGTTTCTTGTTTCTACACCAATACTACGAGCTCAAAGTAGCCTCGCCGAGCGCGGCGCAGCGACAGGAAGCTCATTACAATCTTGCGCGTAGCTACCACGCCATCGGCATCCCACATCTTGCCGTTGAGTACTACCAGCGTGTACTTCGGGATGTGCCCGACGACTCCGGGAATGGTATCATGGGCAGAGACGATCTTACCCAGGAGGCGGCGTATAACCTCCAGCAGATTTACTGGGCGGGTGGTGATGTGGGGGCTATTAAGGGGATCGGGGAGAAGTATTTGATCCTTTAAGCATGATAATACGTTGTAGGGAGGGTGATGGAATATCTTGAAGTTACCCGAGATAACCAACTTATATTAATTGATACCCACGGCTTTGTCGCCGAACATTACCTTCTACCCCTTTTGGCCAGAGTTGTTACTTCACCCGCCGATCAATAAGTTTCCATGTCACTTTATATACCTACCTGGTGAAGCAACTCTAACGGTGGAGCATTTGATTCTTACCACATATGTATTAGTTCGGATTGCTAATGCAAGGGACAGATACCTCGTCTAGTGAGGCTCAAGATTCGATTCGAAAACGACGCCTGATTTGGTAAGCTAAGCGTCATTGTATGACAGATCTAAGAAGATGATCCGAATTCCCGGATCGAGATGCCAAAGGGAATAACCCTGGGCCCTATATTGTTGCCGGTTGCACGGTATGCATCGGTTACCTGTCGAGGTAATATGGAGTAGTAACCTACCAAAAAGAGAAACGTAACGGTAGTTAACTATGTTTCAGGGTTACCAAAAGAATGATGCTGATGATGATGATGATGATGGTGACATCGGACTGACGACATCTATCCCCAGGAACGGCAACGGCCCGTGCCCGTGCTCGTACCCATGCCCCCCTTCTCAGCCCTACAGTCGATACCGTGACACGGTGTGTATTTACTACTATATTGTAGTATCATGACTACATTCGCACGGTCCCCTTTTGCGGTAGATATCCAATTCTGGACACGCGGCGCCCTTGCAAGCCACGATTCTTCATCGCGGTGAGCATGCTGAGTCTTGATATCAGGATTACGGAATCAGTCTCACCACGACGCACGTCTATGACTTCATGACGGATGACTTCCGAATATCGATATCTCACCGCTTTGTCCCTGTTGGAGTCCGGTGAAGATATAAGGAGTCTGTCTGTCTGTCTGTCTGTCCACAACGGCTTCTTTCTTAGCCGACAGAAACATCACACTACCATACTAACAGCGTCGATATCGCACTCAACAAATACCTATCTAACGCAAACGACTTATCACACCAATTCTCGACCCAACTCTTCATCAGTACTTTTCCAACGTAGCCACCATGCCGCAGTACAAGACCGGCCAAACCGTCCGCTACAAGCCCATCGGTGGCCCCGACTCCAACACCTCGGAGAGCACCGGCAAGATCACCGACGTCATCACCGAGCCCGGCGTCCAGGCCGACCGCAACGTCCAAGCTAGCTCTGATGATCCGCGTTACGAGGTATGTTGTTCCTCCTTGTGATCCTTTAGCCTATTTTACCCCCCTGTTTTTTTCTATCTATCTATCTATCTATATATATATATATATGTGTGTGTGTGTGTGTGTGTGTGTGTGCTAGGGAGGAACAGTGCTAACGGGTTGGGTCGGCGTATATAGATCAAGAACGACAACACGGGCAAACTCACATCCGTGTACGAGAAAAACATCCTCGGCTCTGCTTAGGGGGAGGCGGAGGTTTGAGATGGCGTTCTACCCGTCGATTTGAGATATTGGGGTTGGGATTCTGTTTGTTTATACTCACTGGATAGTGTTAGGTGGTGTTTAATCGTTTTGAGTATCATTACTACTAGCGAGTAGACAGCCGTAGATTAACAAATACGTATTCTAACACGAAAAGCTGGCTGTCTGTATTAATGACTTCTGGCGTGATCTTACCCTTCCGGTCTCGTTGCTAGTGAACTTACAATCCCCTTGTTTTAGATGGATTAATTTTGAAGAAACTTGGGTTTCTAGGTCTCTTACCTGGGCTGAATTATAAGATGTCCGAGGTTATTCATAAATGCCGAGGATATGTTAATAAGACAAGGCACACATACTTTCTTAATAACAACCTGAAAGTATCACATAAAATAGCAATTCACGCACATCACCCATACCCTGCGAAAATAGCCAAGTAGCAAGAATTCTTATCGTATTCACATCACCATGCTCATGTTGAGAAGTAACAATTAGCCGCCTCTTTCACACATCGCCCGACCAAAAGCCGCGCTCTCTAAATTCCAAGCGACGTCCTTCATCCGGCAAGCGTAGCAGTAGCAGTAGCAGCAGCAGCAGCGAATATATACAGCAGCGTGAGTTTTGCTTTGCCATACACGAAAAGACTAGTAAGTTTAGAGGTTATACAACCCAGCCAACCCAGCGGCAAGAGAAAACACCAGGCTCCCTTTCCCCTCCCCCGCCGCGCCCCCAAGGGCCGGGGGATGATGAAAACTTTGTATGCAACCCTCACTTTTCATCCTCACCACAAGCGTTCGGGAGGAAACAGACTCGCAAGATCGCAAAAAAAACAAACAATACGCACACACCGCGTCGTCGGCTCGGCTCAGGCAGTAGACTTCGTAGACGATGATGGACGGACATTGGTGTTGGAACAGACCCGGACGTACAAAAGAGAGGGATATGGGTATGTACCTAATCAGAAAAAAAAAACAAAAACAAGATTCCCAGATAGGTATTGGTATGGTATTTCGTCATGATGAAGATGAACGATGGATGGTATGGTATTTAAAAACTCTCCCGCGTCTCCCATTCTTTGCCCCTGAACCGCCCGCACCGGGATGAGGTGTTACATAAGACGCGACAAAAAAAATCAAAAACCAAAGATACACAAATGAATCTTCTTTACTCCGAGCGCCCTACACCGATGATGATGATGTTGTCGTTGTTGTTAAAGGTTAGGGGTGCCGCAAAAAAAGAAGAGGGCGAAAAAAAAACTAAAATAAACAGAAAAAGGTCGGCCCAGAAGTGAAGATGAATGAGATCGAGATGAGAAAAACACAACTTGTAGCCTATACAATCAGCAGAGTAACGCGATAGAGAAACGCCGGCCTCATGCGAATACTTGTGAAACGAAGAATACGGCAACGGTCTACACCGTGCCTCGAAGGCGTTGCTTACGGGCTAACCAGTCCCCAAGCATATTATCCAATTGCTATATAATCGTTAGTCCAAAGTCAACAAACACTATTAGAAAATCGTATGGAAGCTCACCGTCGTAATTTCAGCTAATCTTGCGTTCTGCTCACGGAACAGAGAGCCAATGACAGGATGTTCAGGGCCCGCGGGCGCCACATCGTTCTTGTCGTAGACGATGACCAGCAGATCCCTAATATCGGAGCCCGAGTCGAAGAATGCACGAAGGCTGGCGTCGTTCCAAGTCGGCGTAGTCGCTACCGACGTCGATGTCGTCACCGAGTCTTGCTTTGCGTGAGTCCTATTGTCCGTGTCCACTAGCTCTGGCGATGGAGATGATGCAGGAGAAGATTGGCCTTCCTGACTGGAAGTATCGACCATGAGGGCGGGTGGGTTCGATGACATGACCGGTGAGACCTGAACAGGAGATTCCGAGAGCCGCTCTTCGTCGGCGGAGCGTTGGGGCTTTATCGTTTGGTCACTGAGCTCTGATGTTGATGTTAGAGTGCTGACATAACTATCTGGATATGCTCCCGGCAGAGTTGGTCGCGTTTGCTTCGTCTCGGCAGGCTGCCGTGTGGGTTCCGGAGGTGTCCTGGTCGACTGTGACGCAGTTTCATCTTCCTCGGGCGAATCGAAGTCATCAAGTTCGAGTCTTGACTTCGCTTTGGTAACCTTCTGTGGCTTGCTTTCCTTCGTAATGACCGACCTCGAGCTGCCCTTCTCGTTCTTCTGAGATGATCGGTCTGGACTTTCAAGCCGATCAGACTCCACTATCCTCAATGTCGCCGGCGGTACGTTCGCTACATTGTTACTTCTAGTTTCTGACGCTAGCATAGGACCGCGCTCTGAACCAGCCTGTGACGGCGCGATAGCAGGTTTGCGAGTAGGCGAAGGGTCGGTACTGGGCTGGTGCTTCTGAAGTTTACTTGTATTCCGCTGAGGTCCGTTAGCCTTTTCGGGCGACAGATCCGCATCGGCTGCGTGCGCTTCCTCCGCTTCCTTCTCCGTCATTTCAGCAGTGGCATCCAGGGACCTCTTGCCAAACGAATCGTCGTCATCATCAAGGGACTTTTTCTTATCCTTCCTCGAGAAGAAACTCCGAATCGCGCTTGGCTTCTTTTCTTTCTCCTTCTTATCCTTCTCTCGCTTCTTCTTATCGTCCTTATTTCTGTCAGGCGTAAGCTCTTTATCCAAACTTGGTCGTTGCCGCAGTGACTCCTTCGAGTCGCTTGAGATCCGCGGCTCGTTATCGTCCCGTAGCAGGCCAGGAGTCAACGTGATCTTCTTAGTCTCTATCGTCTCATCCTTAAAGAAAGAATCCGTGTTCCTAACAGTACCGTTCCTTGTAACCCGCTCACCCTTATGATCGAAAATGTCACTACTATCCCTGCGGTCGTTTTGAACAGGCGACAGCGTATTGTCCTTATCATCAGTCTTGGTAGAGTCCGATTTGACCTGTTTCTGTAGACCCTTAGGCTTGAGCGGTTCCACCTTTGCGGATTCATCATCTGAGGCATCATCGGTAGGCCCTTTCTGCTCTTGTTTCTGTTGCTGTGAACCCTGCTCTTCGAGTTCCTTTTCGCTATCGTCCTCCTCGTCACTGGAAAACTCGGGGTCGGAATAATCAACATAAGTCGGAGCCGTGAAGGTGACAGTTTTCTTTCTTCTCCTTATGGCAGGCAGTATAGCAGTACCCTTGATCTTCTCTGCCTGGTCGCCAAGCATTGTTGCCGATAGCTAATTCGCGGTTAGAGTTAAATCCTTGGTATCTTTGAGCATAATTACATACGTCAATGTTCCGATGCTTATTGAGACGCGCTAGCCTTTCAGTAGGCGTCTCGATGTGTTCTGCTGGTAAGTATCCTGGAAAACAAACGTGAGTCTGGAGCCGGGCTTCGAATATACCAATGGCTCGTACCTATGCTGCTATCCTTGACCACCCTTACAAGCCACCAGTAACTATTACTGTCGTCTAGTAGCACCATGGTGTCGCCTTTGGTCGCATTGGCCTGACCCTCGACCGTAGCGACGAAAGTGTGGAGAGCGTAAACGAACTCGAAATCGATGTCCTCTAAGTCTTGTAAGTCTTTACCACCCCAACCAACATCAATGAATCTAGTATTAGTGGCCAAAGAAATATTGTCATAATCATCATCATCCTCTTCGGAGGCATCATAAGGAAGTAAATAATATGGCGAAATGGCGAATTGCTCCTCGTCTAGCTCGGTCTCGATGGTTTGTGCACTCGATTGATGTTTCAAAGAGAAGTTCATGGTCTTTAATTGGGACTCGGAGGTAACGCGTTGGTCGAAGTCCCCTTTTTCGATATACTGTCCTGTTTCATCTACCGGAGCCGTCGTGTGTATTTCCTACATGCTCGATTCGGATTCGGGTAGTGACAGGTCGTCCGGGTCTTCTGTATGGTTCGCGCGGTCGGTCGATCCGTTATACTCACCAGGAAAAGGATGATGATGATGATTTGACTTATAAGCAGAAGCCTTGCTTGCCTGCTGATCTGGGGGGTGTATAGATGGGTGTTCAACGGATTCGAGACACGGTGAAGGTAGTCTCATCTCGCTGGGTGCTGGAAAATTGAGGGAAACGGAATGCAGGGCCAGAGGACGTAGCGAGTCGACGCGCCGTGGCCAAGCAGGAGGCGGAAGGGTGTACCCACCATCTTCAATTGAAGGAGAACTCGAAATCTTATCCATCATGTCATCATCAAGGCCATCATCCGCGTCGGCGTCCATGTCACCATCGTCGGAGCCATTCCCCAAGACGCCTCCATTCTGCGCGATTGCGAGCGCATCTTCGGATTGCATCTTGTTGCCATTCAAGGAATTCGCGAGTTGTTCGGCGTATTGCTGCAAATCGCTACTGCTATCACCATCGGTCCACGAGATCCTAGGACTTCGAGCTTCCTCGCCAGCCCTATCGTCTTCAACTTCGCGCAAAGTTTCAGCCTGGTGCGGCGCGAGTGACCCGTTCGGCGCTGCGTTCGACGATGGAGATTTGTGTTTCTTAGCAGAAGGCGTGTCTTGACTTTGTAGATCAATAGTGTCTGTAGAATTCGAAAGGACCAAAGTATTAGCATAGCACAAGGAACAAACAATTCATAAAATTTTTTTTTTTTAGTAGACAAGGGGTCAGCCGGGTGTTGCATTGTAATAATCTTCCCAAAATTTCCCCCTTCTCCCCTTAGCCCTTTTAGAGGCTGGCAGGCTTGTATGTAGATCAGACTCACCTGCGCGAATCATCTGGGGTCTGGTCATGGCTGCTATTTTTCCAAGAGTCCGCGGAATCAATTACCACGGATCAATGTTAAATGAATTTTGATATGGGTCCGCCCTTTCATAATAGTAATCGATAATGCCTTATCCTAAAAATTTATTCCAACCTTGTACTGTCTTGTGCTGTCTTGTGTTGCCTTGTCTCCCTCTTCCCTAGCCTCTTCCACAGTATTGCGCCTTGGTGGTGGATTGTCGCAAGGGGTTGGGGGTTAAAGTTGGTCGGGAACGCCTTGACCACAGACCAATTCAGTGCCCACCTAACTTTATTTCCTAGAAAGTCGGCACCCAGTTTGCCAGTACAAAGATCAGTACAAAGATCGGCATGCGGTGGATTGAACTTGGTGCAAATCTCGGGCCAATTGTGTCGAATTTTGTCGTGTGCTCGATTCTAAGAATAGATGGTAATGGACCATCGAAGGGGCATAAATGAATGGATGTGGTGAGATGAAATGGAGAGTATTACGGATTACATATGCCATGCAAAAGAAAAAAAAAATCTTGGTTATCAGTAAGGTCTTACTACTAGACTCGGGAAATCGCTGATCAGATACAACGAAAATGCGAAAGGAGGCCCTGCAGATTGCGGTCCAATTCAGGTTGGTCTGAAACAAGGTACTTGGACAGGGCCCGCAAGGGGGGTCTATGAGGGCGATATGTAAACACTAGGCATGTATCTAGGTACATACTCTAGTACTTTTATAGTTAGCAACTTAGTGGAGCTACACAACTGAGATAGGTATTGGCTACCTGGTACAGGCCTAGCGTATTCCTTAATTCCCAAGTAGACAGTACAATAATAGCAACTTTGTCCTCTTCCCGTCATCCCCACATCGTCGACGTGAGGGCTAAATATAAGTCGGGTTTCTTCCCCATACCTGCATATTCGTGTTACCATGAGATACATGACATACACAACAAGCAAACGCCAATGGTCTACACTCGGTACATTAAGTAGATCTCATCGCTCAACTAACATATCTATCCTGTTGTCATAATTGGTACGCCAGTTATAGCCAAATTTGTTTCACTCCCCACCATTCGCGATGACATTGCCTACCTACATACATACTTTGGGTATGACCAAGAATATTGGGATTGAAATTCGTATAGTCTTTTTTCGTATATGCTTCTAACATAGGTACCTAAGGTTCTTCGAAGTCGTCATAGAGATGTCTAGGAAAAGCTATAATCAAATAACTAATATTCAATATCTATTAGTTAACTAGGTAGTCTTATGCACAACTTTGAGGGTTTTATTTCTTTTCATTCATAAAATGACTTACAAGTGCAGATCTCGAACTACCTGCAGCTTAAAAACAAAATGTACTACCTATGTAGTAAGGTATGCTCATACATGGCCTAATAGCTGTCCCTGCCAGAGCTGTAAATCACCAAGTTTACCATACCTGAACAGTTTGTTATGTCTTTCAATAGTGTATCGCTGGCATGTAAATCGATCATATGCATATTATTATTACGTTATTGCTAACAGTAAACCAAACAATTCATTCCAATGAGCCTACAGATCTACTCCACATGATAAACAGCTAACCAGTTAACGATCTAATCTATTTACTATGTATGAAGATGTCTATGAAAATATTCCAACCTTCTTGCCCCTGTCCCAAAGCCCTACCTACTTATAGTATAGCCTAGCGGTTCCTGCGCTAGTGCGAAGCGTGGGCCTATATCGTGGAGAAGGCCGAATCGGCGACCAAGAGTTTCCCGAATAGGGGCCTACTCGTAGACAAGCCCCATTTTACATAGCTTCGTCAACTTAGTGATATATGAACGGAATGCACTTCGTAGCCATAATTAACGCCTCATCCGAGTCTTGTTAAACATATTATGACTTATCTAACGGGAAAAGGCAAAAATCCCAAGAAATAGATGTATTTATCAGTTATTAACTACTTGTTAACTACACGTTTTCGAACAAGTTTGTTAGCAATTGTCGACTTCGTCGTAATAACGTTAAGGGACACCTCTAAGACGTAAACAACCGTATCGACACTTTGTATTTAGAATTAGGTATTCATTCGATATTACAGAGTTTACATACTAGCTTTTAGTATATTTTCTCGTAGCTACGGGCCGGCCTGCGCTAAAGAGCCCTGGTGTGGCTGATGTCTTGACATCATGGACTCACTAAAGCCCACGAAACAAATTCAAGTTTTCACAAGCATCTGTTAAGGATAGGTCTTATAGTCCGGCTCTAAGCCAGTGACAATAGTCGAACTCACCATAATGGGGAAGCCGCGCGTAATATACTGGTTTCGAACAGACCTTCGGCTACACGATTCTCCCGCTTTAGAAGCGGCTCTTGAACTAGACCCCATTGTCTTGTGGCCTATCTTTACGTGGGATCCTCATTATGTATACCGCGTCAAAGGAGGAGTGAACAGGTGGCAATACTTGTGAGTTTCATGTTTCGAATGTTGAATCCGTGGAACCAATCACTAATACTACTAGACTCGACTGTCAGACGGACCTTTCAAAGTCCATTCAGAACCTCAATCCCAAGTCCAAGCTTTTTGTTTTGCGCGAAGCACCACAAACACTCTTCCCCAAACTATTTAAAGCGTGGAATGTAACGCACCTAGTATTTGAAAAGGATACAGATGTCTATGCCCGAGAAAGAGATAGAATCGTGGTGGCCTTAGCAGAAAAGGCTGGCGTTAAAGTAATCTATCGTTATGGGCGTACGCTTTGGGATAGCGATGAGGTTGTTGCCAAGCATGGGGGAAAGCCAACTATGTCTATTACTCAACTCCAAGCTGCCGGGAGGAGAGTTGGGGAGATACCTCGACCCGTACCCACACCAGAGTATCTTCCAGATCCAGGAGATATGCCCGTAGACTTTGAACAAGAGAAACCGGAGCCGGAACCGGATCTTAATGCTCCACACCGGAGTGAGATTGATAAAACCTACTCGCACATTGCGGGACCTAGGGGAGATTTTGCTATTGCAACTCTTAGGGAACTTGGGTTCCCAGAAACAGCTACTACACCGCACCGTGGTGGTGAGACAATTGCTTTAAAGCAGCTGGGAGAAATCTTCTCAGACGAGAAATATGCGGCCACTTTCCAGAAACCGAAGACTAGTCCTGCGGCTTTTGAGCCGCAATCAACGACTCTCCTATCACCGATGCTACACTTTGGTGCACTCTCGCCACGCCTTTTCTATTGGCGGGCACAAGATCTAGTTGAACGGTACGGCAAGGGAGCATCCACACCGCCTGAAAGTCTGACCGGCCAGCTGTTGTTTCGGGATATGTACTTCGCGGCTCAGGCGGCGATTGGATCTCCTTTCGGTGAGTACCTAATGTTACCAAGCGGCTCTTGACCCCATTGATACGCATGCAAACTTCTGACTCTAGCATTACAGCCCAAACTATGAATAATGCATACTGCCGGTTTATTCCTTGGCACTTACCCTCAAAAGTAGAGGAAACTGAGACAGGCATTAATGCAATTGGCGGCAAGTATCATGTTGACTCTACACAAGCAGAGGAATGGCTTCTACGTTGGAAAGCGGGCATGACTGGGTTTCCGTTCGTTGACGCTTTGATGCGCCAGCTACGTGTTGAAGGATGGATTCATCACCTGGGGCGTCATATGGTAGCTTGTTTCCTCACTAGAGGTGGATGTTATATACATTGGGAGCGCGGAGCCGACGTTTTTGAAGAGTTGCTGATCGATCACGAACCGGCTAGCAATGCTGGAAATTGGCAATGGGTGAGCTGTACTGCATTCTACTCCCAGTATTTTCGTTGCTATAGCCCCGTGGCGTTCGGACAGAAGTGGGACAAGAAAGGTGAATTTATAAGAAAATGGGTGCCTGAGCTGAAGAACTTAGACGAAAAGTTTATTTATGAGCCGTGGAAGGCTAGTGAAGCAACACTGGACGAAGCTGGTGTGAAAATTAAAGGAGATGGACTCCATGAGACAACGGATGGAAATTATCCAACTCCGATGTTTGACTTTGGACAGAGGAGGAGCGCATGTATTTCTGCAATGAAGAGGGCATATTCTATTGGGCTATATGGAAATGATGTTAAAGTCAAGGATGGGACATGGAGGGGATTATTTGAGAAGGTCGGTGAAACAGAGATAGGAGGTTTTAGTAGTAGTGGTAACAGCGATAGGACGCACAAGAGCCATGCTGACATCCAAGATGGAAGTGGAAAGGGCGAACTTAAGCATACAACTCGGGATATAGCGGTTAGGGAAGGGCCCATGGATAGGTTTGCTAAGAAACTGAAAAGATGAAATTAATGTAAGTTTCCTTTTCAAGTCACTCTTCACGTTTTATTGTCTAAGCCTTCACATTAGGATTTAGCTAATCTAGTATGATATTTTATAAGGAAATTCTATATTGATCTGATGTATAAAATAAGAGCGTTTACTACCGTATCATTTTTTATGTAGAATACCTATATTGGCCCCCTAGTTGTTTCCTTGTGAGTAATAACTGATTAAAGGTCTTACCATACATGCGTTGTAAATTGCGATTCAGACCGAAAGTTCCACTAACATCTTTGCGTTGCTGCTCTTCCTTTCTACCTTCCACGCAACACCCTGCCTACACGAGAGTTTGTCCTGGCAATTACTAAAATAAGGAAGGTCAACGATCAATGACTATGTACATTTGACTATTGTTCAACCTCTTACGACCCAGTCAGCTAATGGGCAATATTTTATTAACATCCGTTGTCAAAGTATCATCACACTTCCACACACAGACTGTTCCTGACGTACTATATCTTGGACATTGTCCCAGCCCGGTATCAAGCAGTAATTAATGTCTTATCCGTTTGACTATTTATACAAAGCTATTGCCTGGCTGCAAATATCTTCTTGATATCGTTATTGCAAAACACTTCCACAGTAAAGTACCCTTTAACAGCGGTGGCATCTCGTGATGACAACTAAACAATCTAGGCAACTTCGCAGCGCATTTTGTCGCCAAGCCAAAAGACAAAACACAACCACTAGCACATCTCATAGAGTAATCAGTCATAACCAGCAGTATCAAAAGGAAAGGGACGCTATACCGGCCCCAGACTCCACTATGGTGCACTACTCGAACCATGATGGTGGTCCTGCGCGGGCCTTACAGCAGACGATGCTCCCTCAGACCCCAGCGTCGCCACATGTCTTTCAACACACTACATTCTCATACCCCTTGGGTGTACGACCTGCCTCTCCCAACGAGATTTATGGCCTGGCTTTGGGAATATGTTTCCTAGTCCTGCTTATGGGATGGCTTCTCTTGGTGGGTATACGAGTAGGTATCAGGTCCTTACGTACGAAAGAAGGCAAAGCAACCCAAAACATGGACCTGGAGTGCTGTCACATACCGGAGGAACGACCTCCAAAAGAAGATATGTCGCTCTTATCCAAGTTGAGAAAAGTATCGGCGGAAGATCTTATCAAGTCGGCCTGGCACAAGACCACAGATCTTGCTACTAGCATTGAGAGGGATATATGCGAGCTTAGGAGAACAACGCATCCCTTACACGGGTTGGACGAGGAGGCGGTACTTGGTTATGCGGAAAGCAGTGGAACTAAGGGTAGTGGTTCTTTTTTACGCAGAACATGCCGGACAGCGGATGTGCTATCTGTCTAGAGGAGGAACTGAAAGTCCGGCATAGGACAAATCGCAGGATCCTACGCCTGTTTCAGCGGTCGGTGGACGTTGAAGAGCTGTGAGGGACAAGCACTGCTAGTGATATCGACGAGCAAATCTTGGATGCAGAGGACGGGGGCTTGGTTGAAGAATAGCGCTCCTACGACCTGCCAGGGTTTTCAATCATTCATTATATGCGTCCCCCCCTAAAGCGTTTGATATGGGTACAGAGAGTTCCGGAAGATCGTGCTTAGCTCCCTGCTTTATTAATGCATAACATGGAAGTCTTTCTTTTTTTTCGATGAGTGAGCTCCTTCCAATTACGCTCGTCTCAAGGTGGTAAGGCCGTCTATTGGTGTTGTTTCTGTTGTACAGGTGTAGTAACGCTCGCGAATGTGTCTTTCGTCGAGATGATCCTCACTAAAGCTACCATCCAGCTTCCCTTCATGCTTTCCTCTTCAGCTCCTGTGATGCTTGCTTCAAGCTCCAGTTGCACTCCTCGTAAGCCCTGCCAGCGCCGAAACCTACTCCCACAAATGCGGGCCATGCTCTTCGTCGGAATAAGAGAACTGAGAAGACGACACCGAATCCGAGACCAAGGGATGACTTTATGAGCATGTTGGAAATGCAGCGGTCCCACTATGTTATTCTCATATTAGCGACCCTTATGCGACGACGGTAGACTGAGACTAGGAGTAGTAGTGTCATACCTTCTCGTTCAAAAGTGCCTCGCTCACAGGCCTAGAGACCGTGCTAGGCGGCGCGGGGACCGAGCTGTCCGACATGATGTCAAGAACTACAATAAATAATTAGTTTCAATTAGGTGATTAAAAGGTTAGGGAGCTCGTACATTTGAAATTGGGTATTTCTTGAGTATTTCTTAGGTATTCCTTAGAGGCTACGGCTGAACTATCGTTATTTCGACAATATTCTCTTTCGGCATAAAAGCAATCAGGTCATTGACGCAGCTTGATCGGCTTGTGTTCCCTGGTACCCGAAGGCGGTGACTTTATATAATTCCTTTTTAGGTTAGTAATAGCGGCAGAATTAGTGATATTTTGGAGATCGCGGGGAGTTCCACAAAAAAAAGTTAGAAGCTTTCAACTTATTGCGTACCTTGAGTGTCGCAACAGCTTATAACATAAAATTTAAGCACCTGGCAATGCTAGTAGTGGTTCAATTACAAGATGGAGGTGGATAGCGACTTAGGGGTAAGCTGAATTCATACGCTGTGCGATTTTACGCAATAAATGCAACACAATTGGAACTAATACATAATATCTAGTCGCGCCGGCTTGCTCTAATCAAAGCTGTAAGATCTCTCGATGAAGATGGAACAACTGCGCTATCCGAAAAAATCTGCAGACTTTGGGTTTTACTTTCAGCTACAAAGGGTACAAGATTCCATGGTGTTGAAGAAAACATATTACGATGGCTATTCAAGAATATGAGCGGCAAGACCGAGGATGCTGAACAGGTCCGACGGTATCCTCTTACTTGGTCTCTTTTGAGCCATGTATTTCCCAAGATCCCGACGCAAACACTGGGAAGATCGCTCGCATCTCTTCGATTCGTCTCTATCCTGCACCAGACCGTAAACGACATCACCACGGCTCGAAAGCCTTCTCCTGTATCGTCAACTCAAACGAATGGAACTGCCTCAGATAAAACGAAAAAGAGGAAGAGAGACGACGGATTTCCATCCGATATCGAGGAACTTCGTACTCCGCAAGGTTGCATAAAGTCAGCTGCCGAACTATTTGGGGCTTTAGGTAGTCTCCTTGATCAGGGGGCTCGCCGCAGAGGACCTAATACTCCAGAACGAAGAGTTGGAGCCGAGCATATCAAATCGCTCTTCTCTTCATCTAATGAAGAAACCAGAGATATCGCTGCAGGACTACTTCTGACCTGCGATCGCTCACTGGGCGTTCTCGAACATGGCCTTTCCGGAGATCAAGAATCATGGATCGGCATTATAACTACTCTCTGGAATCTCCGCGTTCATAATAAAGATGACAGCCTTGAGTTTGCTAGACATATATATGTGCCTATATGTTCTATTCTAACAAGGCTACGTGGCCTTGTTGGGGTGGCGCCTGTGACAGTGACCAGCGATGGGGCTAGGAGTCTCTGGATTCGACAGCTTGAGCGGTTCTTAAATGCATACTTCGTTCGCCCTGCAAGGCATACGTTCGCGACAGACGAAAATGTTGAGGTAATAGAGACTGCTCTGGATCTGGCAAAGAGAAATTTAGGCGGCTCCGCCATTGTTACATGGGATGTAGCAGCAAGGACGCCTCGAGATTCGAGTAATCCGAAATCGAAAACTGAGCACACGTTATGGGCTCAGAACGTCTTTACGGTCTTGCTCAAAGCTATCCAACCTTTGGAACCTTTAGTTCGAAATCAAATCATCATTCAATTATTAGATACAGCTATCCAGGCAAACTCGGTTCCAAACACCACAGCTCTACGGACCGTGTGCCGAGAGCATGCGCTTGGAACGGATGAAACTGACTGGAAACTAATTTCAAAGGCTCTTGCCTGTGATGCTGATGTGTTCCTCACAGACGATTCTCTAATTGAAGGCGTTTTCAACAGAATAAGTTCTATTTCAAGCCATGATCTTATCACAAGAGAAACTGTTGTTAAGGAGGTTATTCTTCCCTTAGAAGATGCCTTCGCAAAATCGCGAAACTTCTCAGGCTTTATCCAGAAATGGCATGAATGTCTCGGCGAGAGTGCTACCGACTCATTGGGCCAATCAATATGGGTTGATGCCGAAATTCGGCAACATTTGGCTAAGATTTTGCAAAGCACGTTAACTAGCACACAATTGATCCGTATCTTAGAACGCCTAACTTCTTCAGATGTTCCTAGCGGGGCACTCTTAGTCGTCCTTGATGGGATCTCAGCGGGAATCACCGAAGAGGATTTCACGACAAGTGCTGATTCGAAGATTTTCTCCGCGCTTTTTGAAGGCAAGAACTACAAGGATATTCCGTCTTCGATTTTGTCATTAAGATGGCGTATTGCTGGCCGTATGGCTTCTTGGGAGACGTCAGAAGAGGTTGATCGGCTTTGGGTTGAGTTAAAATCGGCCCTTAAGCGCATTCTAAGGAAGGGTCTTCTATCTGACCCTGAGACTTTTGAAGCATTTGGCTATTCTTACAATGTATGGCTGGCTAACTATCCGGGAGGCAAGCATTACGCGGATCTTGCTAAACTCACGCGTTCATTTCTTGAAAGAGTCATCTCTGATATGAAAACTAACGTCGACTCCTCTGTATCACGGCCTTACATGGACTATGTGTTTAGATTCTTACCAAGGCTTGCCGATATACCGAAAAGAGAAGCCGCTGACCTCAGAGATCTCATCATAGATATGTTTTGGCAGACTGAACAGAAGTTCATAGTTGATAAGGACATGCTACTTAGTGACGCTCTACAGCCCCTCCTGCATAACTTCGATTGCGAAGATGATGAAGCGTTAATTGATGCCCTCATATCAAAACCACTTGATGGTCTTGACGATACAGAAAACCAGTCAGGCTGGACGCAACCGCGGGGCCTCTCGATGCTTTCGATTCTCTTGGACTTCCCACGCGAAGCCTTGACTAAAGGGCGGCGAAAGCGCATTATGTCTTCATGGAAAAATTGGAGATCGAAAATAGCCAATCATGCATCGCAGGATTCATTATTAGCAGTTACTGTGCTTAGATTGTTGGTCAAAGTAATGCAGCAACCAACATTTTACGAAGTAAGTAGCTGCTCCTAAACCGAAGCATTGATACTGACAATTTTATCAGGATATGGAATTTGACGATCTTGTTTACATATCTTCTAACATGTGGCAAGACGATAAAACTGTTGTTGCTTTAATTGAGAAGCTCATCGACCTGACATTACGGTTAGCAGCAATGCATATCTACCTACTCATATCTCGCGCGAGACTGACTTCACTCTAGGCAAATGGTCACTAATACCGATGGGCCTTCTCTAGCCTACTTGACCGAGGCGTCGAACTTTGTGAAGAGCCTTGAGCCAAAGGCATCGAAACACACAGCTGCTCAAATACTTCTGGTGAAGAGTATAGTCTCCGCACTGCACAACTCCTCCAACAAGTCATATATCTCAACTATCAATGTGGATGAAATCGTACGCAAACTAGAACGACAGGTACAAAATAGCTTGACCAGATTTGCGTCCGAGAACAAACAAACGGACCTGGCTATGGAAGATGAGTCTACTATACTCTCACTTTCTATAACACTAAGCGGGGCGGCATGTACTGCCGATGCTTACGAAGAGAGACGGATTGAGCTCACAGATAAGACTATCCACCAATTGGAAAGCATAAGTACATCATACGTGTCTAAGAAAATCAACATTGGCTGGAAGCTACGAGCATTCCTCTTCAGAAACCACCCAGATCGATACGACTCGTTAGGCTTATTTACGCAGTTAGGACAAGCATCTACAGCGGTTGGTGAGGATGTCGTATATGATTTGGTCGATGCCTTTGTGAAAAATCGTGATCAGCCCGTAAGGGATCGGCTGCTTGGTGAATTAATCGGCAGTGGGAAGCTGGCCGGTGGCGCTATCGGGCCCCTCCTGGCTGTTAAGAGGCTTATCGAGCTGCGTCATGGTGAGTTTTCCTACAATTAATACTCTCAAACAAAGCTATGTCTAACGTCATTTTAGGACCTGCTACCTTATCATCTAGTGCTGAGGCGCAAGATATTATTGACCTTGGCGTCGTACATGAGCGACTTGCCTCTCTACTAAGCAAGGCAGAATCTCTCCGACACTTCAAACAGTTGTCTGAGATCTTATTGCTGCTTCTTGATAAGCACGCTAACTCTATGGCCCAGTTCAATATCGAGACAACACTAAGCAGTGTTGTTCATGTATGTTCACAGACAGGCCCTAAAATACAGGACCATAAAGCAGCAGGAGAGATTTACGATAAGTTATACCGATTAGTGGCCCTTATACTCAAACGACACCGACTTCGCTTGACGGGGCACTTCCCGATCCTGCTTGCCGCATTGCGAGCACTCCTTGCTACTTTACTGGCCGACCCTGGCCTCGATAAAGCAGATGCAACATTCTCACAGGCTTGTCCACCATGGCTTGAATCTCACCTGCAGTCGAGACACGCAGAACGGTTCACTCGCCTCCTCATGCTTATATGTGAGCCAAGCGCGGCATCGGTGGCCCGCACACGATCGAACGAATTAGATTCCGCAACAGACATTGCGAAACGGACAGCGGGGCAGGACATGTTCACCATACTAGAGTTATATATCAAACTGCAGCTTGAGGTGAACGTGCCACGAGACATTAGAAAAGCTCTCGAGCCGGGCGTCTACTCAGTCCTCGACATCACGCCACAGGGATGTAGGAGGGTACTGAATGAATCCCTAGATGCGAACGGGCGCGCCATATTTAGGGAGATGTTTGCGAATTACAAAAAGTTTGGGAAGTGGACTGGTGTCTAAACCGAGTCTCGCCCTCGTTAGGATATAATTGGTGTGGTCAGCTACTATAGATACCCCCCTTCACACCATCAGCCCGAATATAGAATCGAATAGCCAAGAGATGTGCCCGCAAGTGGAGTAAGATATCGGGGAATCACATCGCAACCATAGAATAATCTGCTTACCTATATTATTGAACATATTCAGCCATATCAAAAGAATGGCTATTATAACGCTGCGGCATAACACTCGCCGCATAAGCATATAATCTTAAAGTCCTGGGGGGGAGTTCAGCTCAGGACTCCTACGAGGTCAACACCAACATCCTCGGAGATGCTATAACGAAGGTCTATTTTCTAATTCTTTAGTCGTAATACGTATCACAACCTAGGAATACGTAACGTCATTTCTGTGGACGACTGTACACTTGGCAACGTTGGTCATAGTTTAGTTATCAACCATGAGGCATGAGAGTTCCGCCGAGATATGATGTTGGTGCAATGCGGCTTATCATTGCGCCATAGGGACAACTCGTGCGTATGTAGGAAGTATGTATGTTAGGTACCTGTTTAAGCACCTAAGCACATGCTGTAGATATGAAAGTATTGGACCCGCTGACCTGGAGACGTCCACACCGAGATCCGGAACGGGACTACTGCACCAAGCCGAAGCGGACCGGCGGCCTCTTAGTGGATCGATTATTCCAGCCTTATAGCTCTGTCTTGCAGGCATCTCACTCCGCCATCGCATCGTAATTACATACGTCGACCAATCTATTAACGAAACTAGCATTTCAATTAGTCAAGATGAACACATCTCCATTTGTCAAATCCCGAGTTTTTTTCTCCTTCGTACTCGAGCAGTCGCTTAGTCCGCGGAGAAGAACAAGAATAACATGGTTCATCATCAGCAGCAGCAGCAGTAGTAGCAGTAGCAGCAGCAGCAGCCAGCTCCATGGCCTAATTTCGAAGTAAGCCAGTGCGTTTATTAGAGATGACAGCTCGGGACCAATTAAATGCTGATCCAAAGGACTAAATTATACTCGGGTCAAGCTACCTGCCTCGATTAAATGCTCAAAATTCATTGCGAAATCTGAAGAGCTCCGGAAAGCTCGCCGAGGCCATGGCGAACTAGAGCGATCGCCAAGGGCGCGATGTCCAGGGGAGGACCCTGTCTCGTGATTTATAGTTCCTTTCTACTTACCTGCCTACCTGTCTCGCGACGCGCCGAAAACTCGCTTGCATAGGCCGAACTATAGGTACTAGCTTCGACTTTCTAGAAGAGCCGGGCCGATTCATATTGTCCGGACGGGCCAAGAGAGACAATGCCGGCGCGTGGCAAAGATGGTATCGGGCCTGGATCGTGAAAACTTAGATTGATTTTACTATATCATCGCTAAAGCGGAACCTTCTTCTCGGCGATGAGTCTACCGAAGAGAGAACTTGATGAACTTGATATTCCCAATGCAGTATAGCAGCTAGCATTCGCGGGTCACCTCGACACGTGGTGGATAGCCCAACCGAGTCTAGGTTTGAAGAAACGTTGCAGACATATACTGAGATCCTTGGTTGATGGCGAGAAAGCTCGCGGGACCTACTGGTTTGAGGATAAGATCGGCAAGTTCCTCACTTCATTTATGTCGGCCGCGTCTGGCAGATGATATCAGCCCGGCACTCCAACCAGTTATTTACATTGTATTGGGTTTTGCGCCAGTATCGGCTGTATTATTAACTGCGCCCTTACCCTTCACGAACCACCTCGTCGACCCATCCAGCCATCGTCAGGTTGGTAGTAGTCGGCAATGAGAGGTGGACAAATCAAAATGTAAGATGCGTAAACATGGCTTTACCGAGCTCTACGTTCGTCTCCTCCCTCCGGTCCCCCTTTGTCCCCCGGACGTGAGAAAATCGCTCCGGGTTGCCTCGGTGTTCAAGTTGTCTCGAATGTCGACCATAGAACACCACTAGATGAGAGTGGCTTGAGTGGACGTGAGAGGTGCTTCGGGGCAATGCCGCGGCAAATCCGTGCCGTTTACAGTGTAGCCCACATCACATCTCGGTCGCCCTACACGGCTTAGGCCGTACTTGGCGTCACCCGAACATCGCATGTGGGCCAATTATACATCCAGTCATACATCCAGTCCCTGATTGCACATTACTTCCCACCGGCTGCCTAATTGGGAGACTTTTCCCTAGAACCATAGAGGCGTTAAGGAAAAAAAAAACTAGAGGTTCGGTAATAGTCCCAGTATAACAGCCTGTATATTTGCTCCTTTTTCTTGGTCATAATGGACTTTTGTCATTTTTTGCTGTTTTAATATCAGCATTGATAATTTTGTCCCTCTTCTATTCCCTCGTTTTTCTTTTTTAATCGTGTAAATTTCAGATGTAGCTAAGCCTTTTTGCCTGATATGCCCGTCACAGTCAGGCCGTCAAATCATGGGTCGACATCCTGGGCAGGTCACAAATACCGACTCGCATCGTCGCCCGAGATCTTGCTACATTATACACTAACCGACGACACGCGCACCAGCCCGCCGCGGGCCAGACAGTTGGTACAGAGTTCGTTTGCAGGGCTCGAGAGGAAGGATAACGTCTTCGCTACTAAGAATGGATTTGTTCATGCGTGCGTGGATGCGTATAATGAGCATCATTGCCTGGTGATAAGGCCGGAGGATGTCTGGTTCGCTATCCTAACGCAGTTTTGTTCCTACGTTAATGGGCACGCGGAGGAGCTGCGCAAGCGATTCTGCACCTACGAGGGCCAACAGGAGTTACATATCGACGTCGATCTAGACGATGCCGACCATGGTAAATTGGCGTATTTAATGACTAAAGTATTGGGCGAAAGACTGCGGGACGAGCACTTGCAACAATGGGTCCTGCCGGCTTTCACGACTACGACTAAGATAGACCAGGCTGTCGCCAGCATCATATTCATGGGCACGATGCAGAAGTATTTCACATATAGTTGGGGAACGCGATGCGGAATACCATCCGTAACCTTACTTGGCGAGGAAAGCGATTGGACCAAGATCCGGGAGCGAGTTGAGCGGCTGGAGACCTTAGGCTCGGAACCGTCCCGATGGCTTCGGCTACTTAGGCCTATCTTAGACGGGTTTGTTACCAGTTTCAGAGACCCAGAGAGTGAGACAACAAGGAGATTCTGGCAGGGCATCTGCAATGAACAGGTACCTAATGGTAGCGGTACTACGACTTACTCGGGATGGATTACATCGTTCTGCTTCTGGGACGAGAGCGGCAGATGTCTGCACGGGGCAAAACCGGGACAGGAGGTCAGGTTGACGAGGAGCCAGATGCCGAGCGGGTTCAGCAAAGTGCCAGTAACGCTGCTAAAGGACGGTATCGAGATCCCGACCGAGATGGTAGCCGGGTCGATGGCGATACGAACATTTCGGTCCAAAGAGGTGGTCAACGCGGGTGGCAGACCGCAGATGCGTCGAGGCACCGGAAATGATACGATACAGCCCGAAGTCGGATGGTTTATGTATAAGACATGACATGACCCTGCTAGGGGATATGGTAGTATTCTACTACTATAACTAATGGTAAGTAACAAACCTCGTATATGCCTTGAGAGAATTAAGAGACTACGCTATCCACTTTTCTCCACATGAACCCGGCCAAGGACGGAGTAACTAACCCCTTTCTTATAGTATAATCGTAACCCGTCCACGAAGCTAGGAGTTGGAGTTCCTGCGACCGCGAGCCGCCGGGCTGACTCTCGGGTTCATTCATGCCCGATCATCTCAACTCTTTCCTGGAAAGGGTAGCTTTAATAATATTTGAAGGACGATGCACCCATACGAATGCCCTTCTTAATTCTAAAGGAGATATAATATCGACCTTACACAATACTCCCTCATATCTACAATAACGTAGTGTACATAAACCCCGCCCTATATCAGAAGCGGCTGGGTTCGCGGTCAAATACTAGAACTTCTGGGGGATGATCGTGGCTATCGGGCCGAAGTCTCTGTTTGTCGTAGGTGGATAACGCGGAGTACGCACTTGCCACTCTTCCCCGCTTCGCTTCGCGGTGGAGGTGACATAGACTTGTTGTCTATCATTGCGTTGATCCAATATTTATAAGACACTGGTCTTGAAAAAAAAATTTGGTCAAGGAATACCAAATATCCCAGAGTCTAGCAAAGGTGTCGCGAGGGACGATACTTGCAGTGTATACCAAGAGGCGGCACCGCCGAAGGGACCATGGCGTATGAGCTGTGGGCGTGGATGTCATATAGCTAGCTACACGACTCCCGGACTTAATGGTTGGATGGGGTGGATACCCAGATGACGGAGCTCCCTGCTTTCCGGAGGAGTCCTGTCGAAGCCGGGCTTCGACTTCTGATAGGTATGACGCGATGTCTGTATATAGGCTACGATGCCTTCTCACTTGGATATATATACCTACCTATAAATATGTACATATACTTTTTTTGACGAGGCTGTGCGTTATCGTAGGTAAATAATCAAGCTCCTGACATCGTATAGTCTATGAAAATTCTATCATGGATGTTACATGTTTCTATAGAGCTTTGACGACCTTGTTGGGACGAAGTATTACCGGCTTTGCACTTTCTATATGACGGTATGGCCTACATTCGATGAATATAATAAGGATTTAAGACTTCTACTATGTTTACCCTAGGTATAACTATATAAATCATTTGAGCAATCCCGTAATCTATTAACGAGTAACCCCTAGTATGCTCACGGCTTTCTTTATATTCTACACATACATGCTTGTCAATCAATACTATGGTAAGAGAGTAGGAATGCCTCTGAAGGCTTTGAAGTTACGTACCTAAGACGATGTAAGACAGGTAGTCAATACCCAAGTCGTCGTAATAGCAGCAATAGTAAAAGCCAACCAGGAATCCACCCCGGTCAAGACCACCGTACCGAGCAAGATACTACAAAGGGGGCTAAAAACAATAGCGAACAAGACCGACGTAGTCTCTCCTATGCTAGCATATAAAATATTTGCGTCTAAGCTTTATATCTAACCCTCCAGGGTCCCGCAGCTGATTGGATTGCGGCTACGAGCGTTTATCTCAGCATAGCCCGATGCCAAATTACCCAATCTTGGCTGTCTAACCACGAACGCTGACCGCGAGAGCAGCTAATAGCACGGTACCGAAGAAACATGCGGGCCAGAAGACTTGCCGCAAGCTAAGCTAAGCCCGCGGAGGTGAAGGCGCCTATATATTATAGTATGGCTGGTTGAGGGAGTACCGGGCTACGACACAATACCAACCGAAAGCCTTGATGGTAGGGACAACTGGTAGCCTGCCGAGCTAGACTTCACCCTCGGAGACGAGTTGTTCGGTGTGGGGTGGCATATTGGATATTAGATCTGATGACATGGTTCTTATGATTCCTTTCTTTGGATTATCCCTAGGTAGTTGATGAATATAATTTAGACTCGGTCACTAATCCATATTATTTATCTCACCTCCCATAGGTAATGATCTTATGCTGATTTCGAATGTGGCTACTATGCCATTTCCACAGATATTTAATGCTAGGGTTAGATTAAACTAAAAGGGGTCATTGCTGTTTCATGTCTTTCTTAACCGCCTCCGAAATTCGCGTTAAGGAGCTTTGACTAGAATAATAGATTAGGTATCTGTTAGACATAGCAAGCATAGAAAGAAGAAAGCTCTTCGTAGGAGCACTGTATTTTCCAGACAACAATTAATCAAGCCGCCACCTAAGTATACATAAAACGTTCCCTGATGCCCTTTTCTCTGTCCCTGCCTAACGCCTTCGCCAATAAATGCGACCTGAATAGTTTCGTAGTGACGGAGGTAGAAGACTAGAACATAGAACCGATTTTTGGTTCTTCCAGGTATCTGGATGACTTGTACAGGAGTACCTTATAGGCACTGCCGTTTCTCAGGAGTCGTCGCCATCATATAGTAACGGCCAGAGACCGGCTTCGGGAGGCGTGGGCGTGTTGCGAACCCTAATTACATCGTATTAGAAGCCTTAAGGGGGACCGAAGTCGATGCGTGGTTTCCCCTTTCTAATTCATTTGCCGCGACGAAGCGTATCTCAAAGTTTGCTAGATGAGATCTGTAAGTTACAATTACGGAATTTGGCGGGCTCATGAATCTGGCCACTGATCCACGAGCTGGTCTAATCGACCATCCATCAACGCCTCGGCATTCATCCGCACGCTATATCTTAGCACCTTGGTCATTTTCTCCTGAAGACCTTCGCCGTGATCTGATATATCGCTGTTGCTCTTTTTCGGACCGGCTGGAAGATGGATCTGGAACAGTGATGGTTCTACAGTTAAGCAGTTATGGTGACCTCGATTAGGCTCCCCAGTCCCCTCGCAGAACCACCTCAGCTCGATATCAAACGCCGAGGTCATATCTTTCAACCCAAGCTCGTATAGGAGTTTCCGCGCCCCTTGTTGCGTAACCGCGTATGCCAGAGAGCAGACGCCGTCTTGCACGTGGTGGACAACCCTTGTGTGGCTCGGATACTGTTGTTTTAGGTCACTTGGCTCGTAGATAGACCATAGATGCTTATGCTGAGGGACGGTAACGTCGTTGGGGCGCACCACCCGGCCCTTGGGTACGATTTTCTTGTCCATGAATGGAAAGTGCATTCCGCAGTGACCAAGCCAGAGCACGTCCCAATTATCACCGTACGGGGATTTCTTGGGAGCCGTCGTAGCGGGTAATTTGCCGAATGTAAGGTCCGGAACGGCCGAGGGACCGTTCCCGGCTGTGGGGAACGTTGGGTCAGTAAACTTGGATGACCCTGTTAAAGGCTGCGTCAAAGCATGTGCCGACAAGGCGAAGTCGTGCATCTGCTCTCTAATCCTAACATCCCAGTCGGCATCGTCTTCCATAATTAACGCCGACGATAGGTTTCTCCGAACGACTCTAACGGGAGGTCAGTAAGACGCGGGAGTCCCCGAACTTGGAAGATAGGTAGTATTCACGAACTCTTGAATCGCATTAATATGCGCCCGCCAGGCTCCCAAGGTGGGATTATCTAAACGTTTAAGTTCATGGCTGCTCGGGATGGCTTTGTCAGGTATATCTTTGCCATCGACGCCGTCTATAAACTCGAACTCGAGATTACTGAGGGCAGTCTGGAGTATCATCCCATCGCGGCGATCTGTGCGGGACGGCAGACCAATGACGAATATCTTCTCGAACTGCACAATGATGTTAGATTTGCAAGAAGGCAGTAGTATTAAATATATAGGCTTCAACTAACGCCAAGAGTGTTGTTGCGAATATCGTCGATATCCGCTAACTCGAGCTGTGGGGTTGTCGCTGTCCTTCCGGCGGCGTTGAGATATGGTACTCCCTCTCCTCTGGTGGAGAGAAGGTATATCGAAACGACCAAAAGGGCGCTTACAGCGATAAGAACGGGATAGGAAAGTCGGCGTGCCGACGATATTAGGAAAGACATTGGAAACGGTAGATTAGCATCCCATGTCTTTAATCAGTACCTAATGTATGAAAAAAAAAAAAAAAAAAAAAGTTAAATGTGAAATTAGTTACAGCTTCCCGAAAAACTGTATGCTGCTGCTGTATGTACGACGCTACGTTAGGTACGCAGGGTACGTCTAATGTTAGGCGGTACCTACCTCTAAGGTAACCTTGAGATACATGCAAAGAATTAAAATAAACTCAGGGGGGCGATCATTCAACGAATAGGGCGACCTGTAAAATGACGAGTCGCTCAGCTCGCAGTTGCTTGGCCATTCTCTTTATGCACGTTGGTAATGTTGGTAACAAACGAGACTAGAAAGGGTTTAGCGCATTCTTCGTGCTTTACTACTTTACTGCTTTGTAGCCTAGTTGTGGATCCACTGGTACGATCGTAACTACTTGTAGATATCTATACTCGCGTGGAAACCACCATATTAATATGTACATTCTAAACCTGTATTACCTATGACATATGCGCTACCGATATATTGACTTAGCTGCCTTAGTGCTGACATACTAAGTTTTGCTATTTTGTTATATTTGTTGCTATGCGATGGTGGCTACTTGCATCCTACAGATATATCCAAAATATTATTACATATACTATCTGAAATATATATATATATGTCATGATACAACTAAACGCGACCTCGATTCAAATTCATACATTTTAATAAAATAGAAGAACTTCAAAGGGTTAGTTAAGTGGAAAGAAGAAGCAAAGAAAATAAAAAATGGTCGAGTTGTGCAAAAGTTCCAATGCCGTGTAATGGGTCCAGTCCGAACAGTCCTAGACTCCCCTGGTATAGGCGAACCAGTGTTGGTTGTATTTACAACATAGCCGCCAGGATTCAGCTCCACGTTTCAAAATTACTTTTCTTCTCTACTGCAGCCCATGCTTTAGCACATGGGGAACCATGGTCCAAGTTCTCGAAGCCCTACAGAATTCTGTAGTACTATTACTGTATTGTGCCATACATACCCGCATACCCTCCCACACAAGCCTAGACCTTTTGCTGACAAAAGCTTGTTGGCGTTCCGTTCCGTTCCCAAGTAACTCCCATCTTCGTTCGTCTCTTCCTGATCTCTGGGATAGGAATTTCTTCTGTTTATCCCACACCGTAAACGTTATGGGCTTATGAGGGTCAACATCGCGAACCCTCTTGGCTCCAGAAAGATGCTTAGGCCATCATCGCTCATCGCCTTCGTAGCGGTGTTCGCTACCTCGACCGTAAAAGCGCAACAAGAATCGCTCAAGGTCGGCAAGTTCTTCAACCCTCCTAATGCTCTCGACGGGCCAACCGATTATTCGACGAACCCAGTATGGACGCTCGGCGAGATCCAAACTATCAAGTATACCACCACATATTCGAATTACACCATTGATCTATGGCAGCAGAGCCGAGATGTAAGTCATGACGTTAAGGCCGCTTTCCTTCCCTGTCTCGGCCGATATTAGAGGCAGTAAACTTCCCTATTAAGTTAATTGACGAATTCTTTCTGAGTCGTTCCTTAAATTCATAAATCCATAAATCTCTTGTAAGCATGATCGCTAACTCCAATCGATATAGGGTGGCTCTGCATCAGCTGGACCAAGCATATTTCGTAAGAAAAATATCATAAACCCTTTTCCAAGACGTGACAGCTGACTTAAGCAGAGACGCGGTCTGGTGCTGTAACTCAATTTGACTGGTCGGTCCAAGCATTCGAGTTCGACTTATCGAATTTCGACGTGTTTTTCCTTTGGCTGTCACCATTGCAATCGGATGACCCGAACCCGCTCTCTGTCACCTCGCGTTACTTTAACATCACAAGAGCCCCCGCTAGTACGAGCACATCTTCATCGTCGACTAGTGCCTCTAGTTCATCTAGCACTAGCCCGCCATCCAGCAGTGCTACCCAAAGTAGCACCTCACTACCTGCTGTGTCAACAACGGCAGACGCCGACAGTAGTTTAAGTGCCGGTGCTTCAGCTGGTATCGGTGTCGGCGCCGCCCTTGTAGTTATCGCCCTCGTAGCAGGCGGCTTCTTTTTGTGGAGGAGGCGGAGGAATAGTAACAACTACCAAACACCTGCAGCCGCTGCTGCTGCTACAGGTCCTAATCATAACGACAATCTGCCAGAGATGCCAGAAGTGACGCAACTTTCAGCGCAGAAACCGCCATTGTATCCCGTGGAGCTGGAAAGTGGCGGATATCCCCCTCAGTACTACCACCCCGAGAGACCCGAGAGGGTTGAACTCGACGGAACACGCCGCTCTGAACTCGATGGAGGCCACTAAATCCCTGATTCACGTACTGGTTTGGTTAATTTATTAGCGACACGAAAATGAAGATCGAAGGGCTGTTTGATAGAATAGACTCTTGTTTCAAACCGAAACGCGGCCTTTTCCGAGGTGCTTGGAAACACATGTAATCCTAGATGGTGCGGACTGGATGCGATGATGCATTGGCGGATTTGGATACTATGGAATGTACATATTATAGATACTACAATACCCCCTTTTATATACCCTTAATGTTACTAAGGAATCTTATCTTTTTTTTTCGCTGGAAAGGCAGGTTTCAATGTTTGGTTTGTATTCAAGACGTTTACTTGACTTTATGATATCCCGGTTCGAAGTTGATTTTTTTAATTTATTGATTTATTGATGTTGTACAATATACGATTACATACATGTACATCTGTACTGTTGTCACATCCTTCCTTATAGTTTCGTGACACGTGACACGTGACATCTGCGTCAGCCATGGAAAGTGAGTTTAACAGATTAGGTTAGATTTCTTAGGTATAAGTCACGATAAGGTGGTAAATATATGCGGCTTTGAACGTGGCTGGCTCGAGGGGCGTAGCTAAGATAAATAGTGCCATATAGATAGACAGCGACGTTCTTTCGAAATAGCGTATTTGGCATAACAAAGAATCATAAAAGAGATTATAATAAATATATCAGGACCATCAACTCTACAAGAGCCTTAACTTACCATTAGCTAAACCCAGTTATAACCGAACTTCAGCTTATACCTATCTTCCAAGGGCAGCATCACACAAAAATCTCGTATAGTTTCCGACCCGATAGTCACACAGCAGCCTTCACGTATCCGTTCATAAGAACGTTCAAAGCACCTTCGTCATTATCAGAAAATATTTTTTTATCAGAAGATGAGACGATGCCATTCATTCCAAACGCTAGGCTCATGCAACGATGCTGAAAGGAAAAGATTATCCGTGATAATTCCATGACAATGCGGTAACGTAAAACACACCCTATATACCCGAGCCCCAAGTAGTCTCGCTACAATCAATATATACCTATTACTCCCAAGAAACTATAATCCCCAAATTAGAAGAAAGAAAGAAAGAAAGAAAGAAAAAGAAGTTTAGTGATTGTGCTCTTTCTCCTCTAGTTCGCGCATATACTTCACAAATCTCTTTTTGTGAGTCTGCGTCCGTTAGCACTTAATATTACCAAGTTGGTGATGTAATGAGTATAGACTTACCATTCCAGCATAGCATCCGTTTCTCAACGCGCAAATATATCGTAAGCCGAGCTTCGCAAAGCATTCATACACCAAGTCCATGGGGGAATTAATATCTAAAGCAAAGGGGGCTGGGTCTATGTAGGGGGTGAAGTCGGTAGGATCCCGCTCCGGAGACTCGTCTTCGTCGACGTTTGGTATATTCGCCATGAGGCAGAAGCTGGAGCTCTCATCCTCGAGGCTATCCAAGGCATATTCCAAGTCAGGGGCCGGGATCAGGCCGACGAGGACGTCATCCCTAACAATTGGTAATCCTCCATCCAACTCACCGCCCCGATGAAGCAGTTCGAGTTGACCACGGAGTTGTGTGGCCGGGACTAACGGCGAGTCGCTTATGTCAATGACACGTTCTCGGCGAACGCGGGGGACTATATCAGCAAACTCGGATGTGAAGACCGGTTTATGCTTGTTATCCAGATATGGATAAGCATTCATGTTAGTAAGGAGGTCGTAGATACTGAGCGGTTCCAGGGCATCCGCTGTCCATTTAGCAACGAGAATAGCCAAGGAGAAAGGCAGGACGTAGTCCAAGCTTCCCGTAAGTTCGAAGAGGATGACCGCGAGGGTAACGGATAGTCTCGTTACACCACACATTGTTGAACCCGCAGCAATGAGTGCATACACGCCGGGCTGAACACACGTAGACTCTTGAAGAAGTGGACAGGTTCCCCAGATACCCCAGTGTGGAAACCGAAGTACTATCCATTGAACAAGATGACCAACAACCCGGCCCATGAGGCCACCGACAACCATAGAAGGGACATAGATACCGGCAGGAACCTTAATACCAAACGTGATAGTTGTCAAAAAAGTCTTGATGATAAAAGCGGCAAGAATATTTCGAATGATCCCAGGTATCTCATCAATATTTGACGGACATAGCCCCAACTCAGAATCCCTGCTATCGTCTTGGCATGGTGCAGCAAGGTTTAGCAAGAGCTTCGCTACCGGAAGCTTAGTTAAGGTGTTCCAATATCCTATGAGTCCTGTCACCAGCGCCACCAGTACAACTTCAAACAGTGGATATTTCTTGATGACTGGAATCTTACGGAAAGATAGAGCCCAACGACGCGAAGCCTTGATAAAAAGAGCACCGATAGCGCCGCCTAGTATTCCCACTAAGATGAAGCCGAATAATTCAAACCACTCCCAATCGATTTTGTACCGGATCTCAAACATGACGATCTTGTGAGTACCATACGGGTTGAGAAACTTCAAGGTCAGAGCTGCGATTATACAGCAAAAGAATGTGCGAAAAAGCGTCTTAGCCGGGAAGTAATAGGCAACCTCCTCGAGACCGAATAGCACACCACCGAGAGGAGCTCCAAACGCCACAACTACACCGGCCGCAGCTGCGGCAGATAATACTTCGCGCCTCTTACCGTCGTTATGATCGTACTTAGAGAAAAGCCGACAGCAAATGTTGCCAATACAAGTTGCAATATGAACGTAGGGGCCTTCTTTACCCAAGCTTAAGCCAGAGGCGACGCTCAAGATCAGTCCCGCGGATTTAATGATGAGAGTCTTGAAACCAAGAAACCCGTGCAAAACGAATCCGCTGAGAATGACACGAACTTCGGCGACACCACTGCCAGCTGCTGAATAGTATACCATGGGTGGTGGCGGGTCGGCTTGCGTTTGCCGTACCGCTCTGGGACTAATACTTCCGCTCTCATCGTTATCGTTGTTGTTATCTTCCGGTTGCTGAGAATAATCGGCAGCCAAGTTCTCATCTAGTGTTGACATTCGGTAAGCTGAAGGGACCACCGTTTTGGTCGTTAGGGTAAGGAGACATGAGAGCACCGCGAGTAAAAGGACGGCGATGATGTAAACTCCAAATTCAGTCCAAACTTCACCGAAGGGATGGCCACCGAGAACCTCAGACCAAGATCGCCAATCGGTACACGGACCATGGGGACAACACCTCTGTTCGCATTGTCAGCTCCCCTGCACATTCAGCTAAACGATATGCCATCATCATAATAATAACAATATATAGGGCTGAGTAGTCGGTACCTTTTCTCTTAAATACCAGGCTCGCGCGCAGAAGCCATCCTTATAGTCAAAGATGGTTGTCTCAGCCACATCCACACAATAAGCAACTACCGCGACTAGAACGCCAACAACAGCACTAAGTATCCAACCCTGGGCGCCATCAAATAAGACAACGATTCTACCCCAAAAGCCTTTCCGGCTCCGCAACTGTTTAACTCGGTAGGCATCGGCGATACTATCGTGGACCCAGTCGGTCGAGGTAAATTGGTCGTACCAGATACGTTCGTCAGCAAGAAGAGAACTCTTAGATTCGGACATGGGATCGGTCCGATCCGAAAGCGCTTGTATTAACCGTTGTCCCCATGATTCATGTCGGTTATGATATCGTGCCCCGTGAGGCGTTGCTGATACAAAGAGAAGGATTACATCAGTACGCAACGACTTTCAACGAGGATACTTCAGTAGACAAACCGGCAAAGCTATGGGCCCTTGATAGATAACCTCTAGGGGTCTCTAGGGGACTGTGGATGCGCACGCGAGAGCGTGAGGGCCGCAAGAGGGCGGTATTTTCATCAGGGGCTTCGGATATCGAAGGTGGCCTGGATCTTCTCGAACGATGGCGGTGGTATGTAGGAGAAGTAGGAACCGACCCATAGGAATCCTGCGAGGGAGGTACGGTTTCGTGCGTATTCATACCTAGGTAGTATGGCGTATCGAAGCAATAGGAGCGCGTTAGAGTCTGGTAAAACGTAGTATAACGTGATCCAGAATATCGGAGGTGGGCAGTAGCTAGCTTAGGGAACTACGTCTTGAGCAACATGAGGCGCGTGAAGCATTTAGCAGGGATTACGCGGGGAGGGTTATAGGGTCATTTGAATGAAGCACAATTCATAATGAGCAGAGTAGGTAGAAGAACGGTGGGTTTAGATGAAGCTAGGTGAGTTAGACGAGTTCGAGTGTAGGTAATTTCTAAATTAGAAGTTGTATTGTGTGATAGTTAATTGATAGTCGATAGTTGATACTGTTAATAGCGTAGTATGTCCCCCCATACCCCGGTTACGGATACACTACCTACCTACCCTACCTACCTAATAGTAAGGGGTGTAGAGAACGTCAGCAGCTAACCTCCGCTCCTACCGAGTAAGAATCATCGTACTTTCCGCCTCATTGTCCTACAATCTCGCTGTCCTTTTTGCATTTCTGTCTTTCTGCAGATTCGCCAAGAATAAGCCAATGAAGAGCTAGGTTCGCTTTCCAGTAAGACTGCAGTATCTAGAAGCTACTGTAATGGTCGGCTACTAATAAAGGTCAGATGGAGATGTTGGTGGGTGGATCGGAGATGGTGTGTGATCAAGAAACAAGGGCCTGTCTTGCAGCTTTAAAAAGCTTCTCCATTTATTAATTATTCGTTCGCGCTCGCGTTGGGGAAATAGAAAGCACGTGGAGTTAGGTATCTCATCATATCTGCACGTTCCAATGATTATAATCGATGGTGTAACAATCCCACTATTCCGTATACCTAGCACAATTAGCCCGCTGTAGCCGCGTGAAACAGCAGCTAAAGAAATCCCCTAAATTCCAAACTAACAAAAGGGTCCAATAAGCTTAGGTATCTTAGGTGAGGTATTACATCACCAAGATCCACAAACCGTTTTTTCTGCATGCATCTATTAGCCATAAGCCACAACATGAAGCCACCATTCAACTTCATCCAAACAACTTCCAAACTTTCAACCATCTTGAATATTACTCATCTCGACTATTGCTACTAAATACGGCTACCCGAGAGGTTCTAGTAGTACCATTGGGATTTGATGTTGTAGTGCTTGATAAGCTCTAATATGCCGTACTCACTTAACTCACTTAATATCTAACGTATGGTAAATATTCAATCTCAAGGATATTCGGTCCCAAGGATAACCTAGTAGCTAGTCTCGAAATCTTACGAGCTGCATGGTGCAGCCAAGGTAGATCCATCTAGCATATCCGTTCTGAATGGTCAACAGCATACCATTCTTTAGTAGTCTGCATGTGGGGGGCACAGAGCGGAATATTGCGCTATTGCATCAAACGTGCAAATAGAATGAGTAACTATACCGTAAGATATACTTCTCCGTCATGTCATCGAAACAGGAGAAACCATCTACCGTACCCAAGTTTTCCTCGTTTAAGCCTCACCTTGAGAAGCCTCAACCACAAAATGAGGCCAAGCCTGAGGAACTGAAACAACGCGGTACGCTTTCTATCTCAAGACGCGAACGCCATGATTCACCGGGAGTTATATCCCATCACACGGAGAAAGCCAGTCATAATAAGCCCCCGCAGCGACCTTCCTCGCCAGAGCAAGATAGAGACAGTTTTTTCGTATACGATAAGCGAGGTGACTCCTTGATTCGGAGATATAGCGGTAACGATCGCCGTGATATCCCTAATTACCGCCGTTTTGGATTCGGTCGTATCTTAGGGGCCAATGGCTATATGAAGATTGACCATACCGGTAGCCGTGATGAATTCTTTCTGCTAGGCTTTCGTGAAAGCGGTTCCTTGCTCGGTAGCGATAGGAAAAGCCTTCTAGCCAAGGGCGGTCATTTTAAATCGCAACCTATTAGAGTTCGACGAGAACAGTCCCAAACTGTGGCTGGCTCAGAGGACTTTGTACCCTTGAAGACATCAAGAAAGCGAAAGCGGGATAGGTCTGAACCGGCGGATTCATCGAGCGACGAAGGACAAGCCTATAGGTCAATCCATGGCAAAAGCAAAAGCCATGAACATTCCGATAGTGATATGGATTACGGCAGCGAGACATCTACAGGCTCGAGGGACCGAGGTGCGGATGAGCCCACGAATCTAAAGACGATTGAGCTGTCTAGAAAGGTCCGTGACCATCCGCAAGACATCGATGCTTGGCTAGAGCTCGTTAATCACCAAGATACTCTTCTGCGAATAAGTGGACAAGATAGTCATCATTCTACCGGAGCAGAGATTAAGAGTTTTGCTAGTATCAAACTGTCCTTACTTGAGCAAGCCTACTTTCATGCAGCCACTGATTCGCAGCGAGAGAGACTACAGCTAAGAATCATGCAAGAAGGTTCGAAGATATGGGATAGCATAACCATTTCAAAAGAATGGGAATTGGCTCTGGGGAAACACGGAGTTAGTTTTGAATTGTGGAGAGAGTATACAAACTTCCAGCAGACAAAATTATCGACATTTCAATATGACAAAATCCAACGCCACTACGCCAATCGTATGAACCGGTTAGCAAGGGAAGCCCTGATGGAACAAGACCGTTCGAACGAATTTCGAATGTACGAACAAATGATTTATGTCTTCTTAAGAGCTACACGTTTCATCGTAGATTCTGGGTATAAGGAACTTGGTATAGCAGCATGGCAGGCCGCCTTAGAATTGACGTTTGCGCGCCCACCCACTTTATCCGAGAAAATATCTATTGCTCCACCATTTGGCTTTAAGGATTTTTGGGAAAGCGAAGTACCACGGATAGGAGAGGATGGAGCTTCGGGATGGGCAACTTTCGAAGAAGGCGAGCAAACACTGGAACTTCCCGAGGCTAAAGCTCTAGATGAATTCATATCTCCAAGTACCCGAGATGGTTATAAAGCTTGGTCAATCCTTGAGCAACACCAAGCTCGGGTGGCGGCAAATCCCGTTCGTACCATGGATGTTGGACCAGAGGACGATCCATTCCGAGTCGTCATGTACGCAGACATCCAGGATATACTCTTACATCTTCCGAACGAGGCTATTCCTGGTCTTCAGTGTCAATTGTTAGACGCGTTTTTGATATTCTGCCAACTACCTCCAGCGTTCTCTTCTAGCGAAATTGTCCAGGATATGCTTCAGGATAGTTTCCTCGCTCGTAGCCCGGCGGACCCAATCACCATAGAGAGCTCGCCTAGTCTGATTATAAATACCGAGGGGCAGAATAAAAGGCCGCCAGAGTTCTCACATGACTATGAGCGAATGGAAATCACACCAGAGGTTCTCTTCCCGGTACCTAATTGGTTTAAAAATATGAAGAAGATTCGAGGCGACGTTCCCGCGGATCAATACACGTGGATTTCGACTACATTAAAGCAGCTCGTTCGTAAATTTGGCATAGGTGAGCTGGGCCCATACTATCTCGCCTTTGAATCTATAAATGAGCCCGGGCATGAAAAGAAAACGGCAAAGGCACTCCTGAAAGAAGATTCTACAAACGTCGACTTATACTTAGGTTACTGCATACTCGAATGGACAAAAGGCAACAAGGATATCGCTCGCATTACAATTCCTGCTGCGATGGGCTTGCCAGCCATCTCAGTTTATAGCAAGTTCTCCTTGAACATTGCTGCCGCATGGATGGAGCTTGAAGATGGCAACCTGACTAAAGCAACACTACAATTATGTATCTTGTCAGATGATCCCCCCTCTACGAGATCAATATCGGAAAGCCCACCAGCTTCCACAGCCCAGATACTGAAGACAAGACATTCCCTATCATCGAAACGAGACTATTTGTTGTCGTTAGGCGATGCCGAGAGTGCTATCATATATGCTGAAGGTCTAGCGCTACTTGAATATTTAACAGGGCAGAGTAATAAGGAAGCCTCCAGCGGAAGCCAAGGGGATATTTGGTCTGCAATATCTAGTATCTCTACCTGTTCCGATGAGTTAGTATCTCGAGATCTTAGGAGTAGTTCAGCTCATGAGATACTACTCCAATTTGCCGCTCGTTTACTTTACTACCATGCTAGTCAAGGGTAAGTAAATCACACCTAAGTACATAGCCCTTACATACCGACTAATACTCACTTAAATAGGCCATTTAGACCCGGGTTCCTCCGCGAGCAGCTGACGAAGTACATCAATTTCTTCCCCCAAAACACAATCTTCCTCAACCTTTACGCATGGAGAGAAGCGCGACTTAGTATCGACGATAGGGTGCGTTCAATCCTCGACAAAGTCGTTCTCGTTAAGCCACATGACTGTATTAGTAGTCGCGTGTTTGCCATTCGATATGAGTCCCGCACAGGCAACATACACTCAACGCGGGCAGCATTCGAGCACGCCTTCGAAAGTGAAGCGTGCAGAAACCATCCGGGCCTCTGGGTATCGTATATCAGGTTCTGTCACGGCAGAAAGGAGCTGAGAGCCAAGGCTAAGAGCGTATTCTATCGAGCACTCCAGTGCTGTCCCTGGTCGAAGGAGGTGTTCATGGAGGCGTTCGTCACGCTGGTTAGAGACATGGATTCTTCTGAGCTTAGGTCGGTGTATAATACGATGTGCGAGAAAAGGCTGCGTGTCCACGTTGAGATGGAGGAGTTTGTGGAGGGGTGGCGGAGGGAGCATAAGGGGAAGGATAGGGCAACACGGTAGTAGGTACAAAACCCTTGGAGTTAATATGTACAAATGTAATATTCCTTAATAGAGAGCCGTCTCGTTCTAAAATCAATACTGAATAGTCTTAAACTGAAAGACATATAATCCTCAAACTACCTAAGGTACTTACCATTTTTTTCTTAATTTTACTAACTACTAAATTGTCGTTTATTATAAATTTAATAAGCTACCATTTACCTATATCGGTGCTCCCGTACCGCATACTTCTAAACCATATCTCCGTAGCCTTGAGATACCCTGCGTAAGTTTCCGCGTTTACGTTACACCTAGGTAAAAGCGAACTACTGCAGTCCTAATGAAGCCTGATCCCAGATCTAATTAAAGGGGGAATATTGTCTTAGTAACACTAATGCCTACCAAAGTATCACGATAGCGGCTAGAATCAAGCGGCGTCCAGATGCTTCTAGCGAGCTAGATGGCTCGCGGTGCCCTTGGTACATACTAGCCAGTGTTGGTTGCTCTCAGATAGTAGGGAACTATACCTACCTACATATGCATGGCACAGTAGCATAATAATACCTAGATAGAATAACGCCAAGGTCCCAGGGAGATCTCGATGATATCTTCTGGGAATACTATAAACCAATTGAGTAATTAATAAACTGTATCTTTACAGTAGCATTTGGTATTTAAGAAGCAGCCATATAGATAGATAGACTAATCAAGGGAATCTGCCTCGTCCCAGAAAAGAAATAGCCTGAATTGGTAGTTTACTAGGTTTGTACTATGTATGAGGTATGTATGTATGTATGTAGAAAGTAAAGCAAAGCACGCATAGCAACCGCATATATTGCTCGTCAGGGGGGGCTAAAAGGAGACGAGAGCAGCCTAGCCAGACGATCTACCTATCCCAAGTGTACGGCTCGCCCCGGGCACAGCATACGGCATGCGCGCGCAGGTGTGAGAAAGCCACTCGCTCTTGTGAGTCGCATCACGAACACCCTCGTTTCAAATGTTTCCCCCCCGTTCGTAGGATAGGGGCGGTTTCCCTTATTTTTGGGTAGATAGATGATGTATGTATGTATGTATGTATGTATGGACGTGTAACATACGACCTCGCGGCACGGAGCGTCAAAATCTAAGACATTTCTGTGCGAGTGTCTCCGGAGGGTGTGGTCGTATATTACTACACTGCCTGATGCATTTACTTGAGGCACTCCCGCGTCGTAGGTTGGTTGGTATGTACGTATTGACATGTACAGTGAACACAGTGCTTCGATGGGACGGGCGCCGCTCGCTCATGTAACCTTGGTATCACAGCCGATCTTTCTTCCATTTCCTAAAGTACCTACCTACTATATTTTGTCTTCCAGATGAACACAAATTTTTCTTTCTTTCAGGGGTTTGCAGCAATATCAGAACGAGTAGTGGTGGCGATGGCGGCGGCGGCGGCGGCGGCGGCGGCGGCCGTAAGATATGTGTTCTGCCATCGCCCTCTTCTCTTTATCCCGACGACTTTATACCTCTAGGCACATGCACGGAAGCTAACCCGCGTATAACAGCCAATCGCGCGGGGGCTCGGTATGCGGGCGACCATATGTTTCTGGGGTAGCACGGGACCGGTGAGACATGCATTTGCATTTAATACCTACATGCGATAGATCAAGTATTTTCGTACCTATCTATATCTAGGTACTTCTACTTTGGTATAATAGGTATATATTGCCAGAACGGACCCGACTTATGCACCCCATACGGTGATCGCAGAGCTAGAGACATTTTAAACGTGCCCGAGACCCACCGGTCGTCTGGATCTGGTTCAGTGTGTAAGTACATATGTATGGTAGACATGTAGGTAATGTAAGTCATAGTGAGTGGGTGTAGTGTGCGGTGGCCTGACTGGCGGGAATTTGGAGCTGCATGCGAAGGAGTTGGGGACCTACTCAACGCACGCACGGGTCTTGTATCCCAAACGGGGGAGATACCACGAGGACGTTGGGTTTGGGTACCGGAATAATCTTGAGTGGTAGTAGCGATTGCGATTGCGAGGAGAGAAAGGCTAGGCGGAGTATATAATATAGTAAAAGGGAAAAGGGAAAAGGGCATTTAAACGATGGATAATTATTATATTAATAAAAATAACTATTAACAATGGTAAGTTAAACGGTTATATAAAGTATAAATAAATCAATTATAGATCGTATAAGATGTTATATATAATACCGTAAAATAATATTCGAAAAAAGGTGAAAGGGAGGAGGGGGGGGGAGGGAGAGAGGGAGGGAAATAAATCTGATCTGATATAAAACATCAAGTACTGTCCATCGTGATCTAACTACCTTATACATGATATACTAAACACACCCTCACGTCCCATCAAACATTAAGTACCTCTTAACTAAAGTCCGCAACAATAAACCTTTTTCGTTTATGAAACGGAGCTTTGACACAAAATATTACCGTATCATGCACAATATTTTTATTTTATTTTATTTTATAAAAAAAGAAGAAACCCCCCACCCCCTCCAACCAGCCAGCCCGATGCAATGTGCTGTGCTGTCGGCAGGTAGCCATGCGCGCAGCTTACGTACATAGCCAGCCAGCCAGCTAGCCAGCTGTATGTAATGCAGGCGGGTGGATTCGTTTCTAATGCACCTCATACCCAAATCCTTCCGCGCTGGGCGGGCCGAATCGTTGTGCGACGGGATGTTGTACATACGCGGTATTTCGCGCCCTACCGTACCAACCAACGTACCTACGTATAGACGTACAGAAAAGTACCAGGTACACCCGGTACAGTTTGCATTTATTCCTAGCCCACTGTCTACCCAGGTAAGCAATCGATGACGCCCGTATCGCGTGGCCTTTGAGCCTCAGAGGGGGGAAGGGGGGAAGGGTCTAGGGGACCGAGTTTACAACAAAGACGACAAAGAAACGCTACTGGTAACACGTGTCCAGCTGCTATGAGGACGTCGGGAACAAGACAAGTATGCACGTTACGTACGTAGAAATAACATTCACTACTCGAGTTGGCAACTCCAACCGCATATCAGCGTCGGGCTGACACCGAGTCAGGTTGGAGTAGTGATATTCTCCAGAGCAGACAGGAACTCCAATGTCCCGGGAATAAGAAAATAAGATATGTAGAAGTATGTGATGAATTTTGTTAGTCCTTATTCGCTCCCTAATCTAGACTTCTCTCGATCCATGTATATATGCCGGCTGTAGCACACTTAGAGTAAAAAGGGGGCTGACAATATCAACACTCTTGAACGTATCAACAACAGCAGCATAAACAGCAAACTTGATAGAATTTATGATGCAAATTATATTCCTTGTATCCGATATGTCCCAACGGGGAGTGTGTCGCTTAGGACTGACCGATCTATGTATGTATATAGCCCGCAACAAAAGAACAACCGCCTGAATAGGCGTGTGGATTCGACATTATGCAAGCCGTCCCTGTAAAAGGCCCCTATATTCCCCGTGAATCTTGTAAAGTACATCCTTCCACACAGAAAAATAAAGAAACCGATTAAATACTTGTCTGAACAGCGAATGAAGTCTACCTATGCGGCACTGATGCATCTTGTCTCAAACCATGGTCCACCTCGGATGGTTGCCTTTTTAGCTCCCCTGTCATATTCCTTAGCGGGTATCCCATTTTCTTGTAAATTTTTTTTTGTTTGTTTCTCGTCATCACATACTTCGTTACTGTTGCCTTGCCATGGCTTTCCGCCATCTAACTCCACGGCAGCAGTATTATTTTCACCGCTATTGGGCTCTTCTGCTTGATCTACCCGTGGGCACCCAGCACGACCTGAAAGCACTCCCGGATGTGTATATGTTGGCCCTGTACCTATCCCACGATTGGCGTTCAGCTGAGCGAGGTCAAAATCCTGTGTAGTTTACCCCCTCATTAAGTTCTCAACTCGCCAGCTCCCATGTGGGACCCCTTTTGCTAACCAACCCTTTGCCTTGTCTGATTTTTTGGCGTTGACCACGATTCCCTAGAGCTTAAAACCTATCCACGCGAAAGTGCTTTGAGAGCGCTCAAGCAGATCACAAATCTAATCTTGGACATATTGGTTCTGTATCCTCGAGAAAGGTATAATAAAGCATCATGGTAGATACTCTTTACTTGTCCATGCCATAAACTAAGTAGCTTGAGTAAGCCTTTCTGCTATTTTATACACAGCTCAGTTTGAGAGGCCAAACATAGAATTGCGGAGCACAGCCTGTCATGGGACAGGCTAGCTCATAGGAAGCCGGATTCGGCCAGTACCCTGTAATATCAATGTAAGCCTTTGTATAAATTATACTAATCTATGTGATGGACGTACCTCACGATTTTTTCGTCTTCACGCTCACGTGGTTCTACAGTCAAGCTCTTGTCATACATCTCATGTACATCCCCGGCTGCTTGCATGTTGCTTAGGATATAATCCTGTAGTTCTGGGACGGGCTGAAGCGAGTAAGGAGCATTTTGATATTGCTGAATATCGCGGATAACTTCCGCTGTTTTCGCACGCTTGGCGAAATTAATCATATTCGTTTTCTTGATAATCGAAGGAATACCGTCCTCAATAAAAGTGAGATCAGTAAGATATACACCTACGAAATGAGTTAGCTTGTATGCAAAAGGGAATACGGGTATGAGTATAAGAGCATACCAAAGAAAGGAATGCATGGCGGGTTCGCAGCATGCAAAGCCTCTCTATACTCGCCGAAATTCTTCGTGCTCGCCATTAGGCGTCGCATTGTCTCGAGGACAGCTTGAGTTCGGGCTGGCACCTGATCCCATGTTCGCTTTAGGCGAGCAATAGGGGCGGTACCTAGGGCTGAAATGATTGACGTTAATGTGGAAAAGTTATTAAGACTCCGGCATTTCTAAAATCGTTAGTATTGCAAACTACAACAAAGACTTGGGCATTGAAACTCACATCCGCAACTGATACGAAATGCTTTATGACAATTACTCGCTTCTTTATGTCCATCTGAGCCAGAATCATCTCGGCAACCCAATTTGTCATTTG